TTGTTTTGGGGGTGGTGAGAGGCAGGGGGATTTAGAAAATTGTGTGTACACGCCCCTGAAAGCCCATCAAATTTGATCGGCTCCTGTTATAGTTTAATCGGCTCCTGTTTAATCCCGAAACTGACATTAACTCGCAATTGAGCTGACTCCATGTTTTTGCAGGGCTTGGAAACCGGGATCACCCATATAAACCATGGTCACGTGTTTGCGTGTGGACAGCATGATTATCAGGTAACCTCGTCCCCAGGGTCTTCTCGTTTTCCAATATGGCGGCGTTACTTCCCGAGTCCTGACGCCGCCATATTGGAAAACGAGAAGACACTGGGGCGAGGTCAGATTATCAAGTAAGTGACAGGTAAGTATTAATTATAAGTCCAGTCAAATTTGCCATAGTAGTTCTTGTTACAAGCTAGCCTGTGAGCAAGAGAAGCGACATGTCACGCCAGAGCAGCACGCAAACTGGGAGGCACAAATACGAGTTCTCAGAAGTATTAATTTTCCTAGTTCATGTTACTAACGGAAGTTGTTGTCTCACATTAACAATATTTCTTTTCAAAAGATTGATCTAAAAGAGGGGAAAAAAGAAAAGAAATATATATAAAAAAATGATAGCGATTGTTGAAAAAAAAAAGGAAAATATTACCAGGAGTGGGGTTCGAACCCACGCGGACAATACGTCCATTGGATCTTAAGTCCAACGCCTTAACCACTCGGCCATCCTGGTGTCACGTGGGATGCTTAGTCAAAAATTTGTATTTCAACAAAGATCGCAGAATTCAGAGTGCTAAACACTGCGAGTGGTGCTTGTCTGTACACGTATTTTTAAAGCAAAAGGAAATTCAGTATTATTTATGAACACAATCTGAGCTATAAATAGAAAAGTGAGGTGGAACTTCCTGTAAAATGCATATTCTAATAAATGGTAGCCTGAGCTGCGTGATAGCATCTATTTTCGATCTCCTAACAATATCAATATATATTAAAGCGGCCGGGTAATCAGAATTGTAATAAATTACAGTCGAACCTCTTGGTATGGACACCTCTCTCATAAAGACACCTCTATGTTACGGACAGTTTCCAATGTCCCGACAAAATTCGCATACATTTTCTTTAAAAAAACCCCCATTATACGGACTCTCTCTAATACAGACAAAGGACACTAGATCTTGGCCCCAGAGTTTTATTTAGTTAAAACAGTGATTTGTCTACGACTGTACCTACGTAGCTGCATATGTACACAAGTGTTGTATGCTACGTTTGTACTGTGAATTATTAAACCTAAATGCAGTTTTAAGCCTGGATTTAGCTAACCTGCAAACCGCAGACGTATTTCAGGTCGTCGCTTCTCAATATATACGTCTGTGGTTTAGCTACTGAATACTTAAAACTGTAGGTGGAGTCATAAAAGTGACATCATCGTAGTGACCCCTTTTATACGGACACATCTCTAATACGGACACTTTGCTCTGTCCCTTCGGTGTCCGTATTAGAGAGTTTCGACTGTATGCTCTGATCTTTATCAAATTCTCCCAACTAATTCAGAAAAAGTACAGTTGGCTCTACAACGGAAACAGGGGCACCCAGTGACGCTTTCCTCCCTAAATACTTTGAAAACACTTTTTAGGCTAGCCAGAGTACTTTTAGATATCTAGAAATGCATCCAAAGCGGCGCTATAAAATTTTAGTACCTTATCCTACTCCTTTTCGATATTACAAGGGGTGGGTTACTCCTTTTCGATATTACAAGCTGGGTGGTGAAATGTGCAAAAGTTAACTTCAGAAAATCGTATAGGAAATTTTATACATTTGTATTTAATAAGCTTCGAAATTTGTACACAAATAAAACGGTCGTCTAGTTGCCTCCTCGGACATATGTAGTTTACAGCAAACAAGAAAGTGGCCGTCATTTGTGGAGATGGCGGCCGCTTTGTAGCCTGCGAGAAAGCTCTCCAGGGGCTCCAGGGGCAACCTCGTCCCCAGGTTGCTCCCGGGGCGCTCAGCTTGCTTGCAGGTAGACTTGCCTTCAAGTCGAGCTCAAAATTTTCCTTGACGAGCGCAAAGCGCGGGCTAGAAATTTTTAAAGTCACTACGAGAAGGGAAGGACTTTGAGGAAGTCTATTGTAGCTCGCAGGCTAAGTTAGGGGTTGTAATGACATCTCCTGCTGCCACAGGCAGCCCAGTCGTAGTCTGTGTCAACAGCATGGCCAAAATCGACAAAATTGGCCATTTCCGAGTTCCAAAAAATCTCACTTTCAAAGCGAGGCTAAGTGCGAAGCCATTGATATGAAAATGATTTTTAATTATGATGCAAATAAAACTCATTTTCACAACAAAGGTTTCGCACTTAGACTCGTTTTGAAAGTGAGATTTTTTGGAACTCGGAGATGGCCTATCGGATCGATCGGAGCTAGACTAAGATCAGCATCGACGATATACGACTGGAAAGGAATTTAAAAATAATTAAATATATCTTTACCATTATCGCTATGTGCATTGACTTGTCCTGATTTATTTTCCCTAAGAAATTTCTTTATTTCTTACAGAAACGAACTGTTCGGACACAGTGTGCTGCAAATTACGGGGCCCCTAACAAACCCCTTTTCCAAAAACTCGGCATTTTTGAAATTTATATTTTGCTTTCATTTCAAGTTGGATCCTTCATATACTTGTACCACCAGGAAATGTAACCTCTCTCTTTTCAAAACTTTATTTCAAACTGGAAGTACAGATCCATAATTATTGTACTAGATATGCCGAGTCATACAATACTCATGTCTGCAGAACAAACATGAAAAGAAAGTGGAAAGTATTTTATAAACTGGGCCCTAGAACTCCAACGGCTTTGTGATTTTAGTCAACTCCTAGCCTTTTACATTTTTAAACGGAAGACTGGTGGTGTCTCCGTGTGGGAGAAATGAATACTTGACAAACGAATCCCAAAGGACATCTGCGGGGAGGCTAACTCTTTTGTACATTTCCTCATCTTGCGAGAGTTGTCCAATACACACGAACTGAGTCGGGTCGTATAACCTTCAAGTCGACCCGTCTACCGGAAGTTAGGTCGTGGATTTAAAGCTAGAGAATAGGGTGGTGACGACCCGACTTTCTGGTCGTCCGGTGGTGAGGGACTTAAAGAATTTTCATGATTTGTAGCTTAGTTCATTTGTGAAATATAAGGGGGTGGAAAGATGGTGACGGATCGTGACGATCTGTCAAGGGAAATTGTCGACCCGACTGTGTGGTTTTCGAGGTGAGAGACTCATTTCGTGTGTATTGGACACGAGTGTTCTTTGCCGTTGTTTTGCACGAGTAAAACGTGAAGCTTCCCAGTTACACATTATTTTTTATGGAGGAATTGTCGTATGTGCTCACCAAAAATTTGTTGCTACAATGTAACACACAAGCTAGCTTCTCTGCATCTTCGCCTACCTCTTTGGAAGATCAGAAGAAATTGTTTACCTGCTCAGAACATTTTTGAACGGTTATTGAAAGTGTTTCAACGAAAAAGGAAATTCATTGGTTAGAGCATTCGAACTAGACCTCGGAAAGTAGTGAGTTCTATTTTCACCTGGAGCTCGGAAGCTTTTTCTCAGCTTTATTGTGTTTGATTTCTCTTTCTTCTTTAATTCATAAAATGGGATCGAACCCGAGCCTTACGACCTGGAAACTGGACCGAGTAAGCTGTCGCAAAGACGTCTGGGACTGTTACTGGGGACAGGGAAAACAAATTGGTCATCAGGGAGTTTAAGCAACGACGACGTCAACCCAACGAGAACGGCAAAAAAGCAATTGGTTTAGATTGGCAAAACAACAACTTTGCACGTGCATCACGTTTTTTTGTACATTTCTTTGCCGTCAGTGCACGACTACGGCGTGAAACTGAGGACGTGAAAACAAGACAACGACTTTCTATATTTCTTTTCCTGAATTTTGATGCAGTCTTTTAGAATTTAACTCAAGAAAATATTGCCAACATTTGACGAAATGAACGAGATGGAATAAGCGCGATAAAGTTTGAAGCAGGGCGACTTCACTTTTTAACTGACGTAGCCGTCGCCGTCGTCGTTGCTTGAGCTCCCTATTAACTCTTTGGCGCGTCCCCAGTAATGATCCCAGTCTTTACGAAAGCTAACTTGGCTCAGTTTCCTTCCCGCCCTCAAAGTCTCTCTTACACAGGGTGGGAACTAATTCGAACCACTTCTAAGACCTTTTAAGGGTTGGGGGGTACGTTCATCCGTATTCACTATTTTCACATAGACCATAATGCACTTTGATTACCCCCCAAAATTTTGCATAACCATTGTCTTCGATTTCTCCTGGGACGACTGTAATACCCAGGAGAAATTGGAAACAATCGTTATGCAAAATTTTGGGGGGTAAACAAGGTGTATTATGGTCTATGTGAAAATGGTGAATACAGCTATTTTGAGAGAGGTTGTCGGAAAAACTGCTCGCGACAATCCCGAAAGGTATTGTGTGTGGTTTTGTATTCACTGTTTTTCAAAGAAATTTTAAAGAATGGCACGAGAGGCCATGGACATATGTTTGCGACTGCTAAAGGAAAGCAACAAAAGAAGCTTCGACAGCTTCAGTGTCAGAAACAGTGTATTGATCATATCCCATAGTTACCTTTTGGGGTTGTCATGCGCTTATTTTTTTCCGAAAACGTTGTTTCGAAATAGCTGTACGTAATAAGGTACAGGCGACAATAACTTGTTGAGAGATCAGAATTCAAGCTTCTTTAATGAATCACTGAAGTAAGAAGGGTTTCAATACAACTTTGAAGGCAATGGTGGGAGAAATTACCAATATTTATAACTTAAAATAAGCAAAGTTGAACACTGTAAAACCTTCGTCTCAGCGTTCATTTTGGAAGAGGAAATTTAAAAACAAACTTTTAGTCATTCAAGTTGACGAAACTCTTGGCTTTGCTTAAAGGATCCACTTCCTTGAGGTCCTGAGACATCAACCGTGTTATTCACTTTGTTGTAGCCTGAGTTCTAGTCGTACTTGTAGAATCCTTCTCCAGTCTTCCTGCCCAACTTGTTTCGAGCGACAAGGTCGTTAAGAATTTCGCTCGGCTCAAAAAGCGGCACATCTGGGTATTCTTCATGCCAACCTGAAATATAAAAACGACAAGAAAATGAAGACGATATCCAAAGGTTTGTATTTTATAGCATAGAATTTTGAAAATGCAGGTGTAGACAACCTTCCTAAAAATTATGAGCAGAGAGAGAAAGTGTGAAATAAATAGGGAAGAAAACGGTTAAAAGGCGAGAAAGCAAAATTTTACGGCGGGATGTTTGCTGTTTTTTGGACAAACGTGTAAGGCCTCAGAAACACTAGAAATTCACTTTTCCTCGCCCCATTCGACTCGCTTGCTACGCCGCGGCGCGCGTAAAAGGCGCCGCCGCCAAGCATTAGGGACCTTACGATCCGACAACGGCGACGTCCATGAAAACGTCGCGATTATCCCAATTCGCCCTGGTACTGAAAGGAAGGGGATTTTGGCTGGAGCTGAACAGAGGGAAACGCGCTCAAGTTCGGACAGAGATGGTAGAATTTATCGCCTTGCCGTTCCCGTTCCCAAGTAAACTTAAAATTTGGTCATTTCACGTCGTAGTTGTGTTTGACGTTCCCGTTGCTGTCGTCGTCGTGTTTTCGTAAGGTCCCTATTTCCCCGAACTCTCACAAGTGAGCCTGATCGGAGGCTAGTTTTCCAAGGCATTATAGACGGGAAAATATGGGAAAAGTCTCCTTATTTATTTTTGAACATGGAAGAGTTGTTTTCTCCTTTGGAAAATTTCTTCAAGGACGGTGTTTGCCAGTGCAATTAATTCAAGGACATGTCCATGGTTTCATGGAAAATTTCGTATTATCTGCGCTGGCAAATACGAGTAACTACTTGCGCATCCGCCTACTGAGAAAAATTGAACCAAAAATAAGCGACGTTGAGCCTACGCACAAATCATAAGCTTTGCAAGGCAACAATATGACACAACTTAAATAGAATCCGAAGGGCAGAGATGCACTTTCGTCTTACTTTGGACTTGACTACAAAACATACCGTCAATAATAAACTTTGTCGTGTCGAGTCCTACATAATCTGCCAGTTCCATTGGTCCCATTGGATAACCTAAAATTAGAAAAGTAAACAAAAACAAAAGTTTACTTAAAAATTACCAGAAAGGGTTAAAAATAAGTCAAGAAACTTGGAGCGCAATTTGACGGGCGATGGGGTGAGGGGGGGGGGGGGGATTGAACACACGATAAAATGGGACGGGTGGGATGTGAACATGGGTTCGCTACCCGAGGGAGTCCTAAACGAAAGGAGGGGGTGTTAAGTGCAGATTTTGGTGTTACTTAGGTGTTCAGGATGGCAAGCCACTATTTTTCGACAAGCATATCTGCCCCCCTTTACTTGAAACTACCCCTCCCCCTTCTGGGGTTTGCATGGTGTGCCTAAGGGGTCAAATAGAGCCTGAACCACTAATTCTACTTTTTCGACAAGCACAACTGCCCCCCTCACTTGAAAGTACCCCTTCCCCCTCCGGGCTTCGTATGGTGTTCTTAGGTTTCAATAGAGACTGAGTCAGGGCCATTTTGGTTTAATTCTAATTTTCCGACAAGCATAACTGCTTTTCAGGAAGTACCCAGCCCCTCCACCCTTCCGGGGCTCTGAAATTTCTCTGATGTGCCCGTCACGTATTTTTATTACGAAAGATACCGTTATACGTATACCCGGCGAGAAATATGAGCAAGAATTTGAAAAAATATCCGTACTACGCGTAGTAGCGTAGTTTTATGCGTAATCTTTCTTTGCAGTATGTAACAAACTACTGGGTTAAATGAAAAGAATTTATTATCACTGATATGCACTTGCAACCACTGTTTGCTGTGTCTTTTATACTTCTCATTACAGTAAAGTTAGCTAGTAGCTTTTTCATCTCTTCTTTCTTGTAAGACCTTTTTCTCAACAGATACTGTTGTTGTCTAATTATTGTCCAAAAAAAGGGTTTTCTTGGTAAGAGATAACCAGTATTATAGCTTTTCACTAACGTCTAGTTCTTGAGTAAATCTTCAGTACAAGTACACCGTAGCAGCGTAGTACACTGTATGGCGACTATTACCATAAAAAAATACGTCAATATTCTTTGCAAGTAGGCCGTAGTAGCGTAGCAGCGTAGTAAACGGTACAACAATTAATTCTTACTATATAAACCGAAGTACATCTTAAGTACAAGTACACCGTAGCAGCGTAGTAGCGTTGTACACTGTGTGACAAGTCTTACAATACAAAAAAAAGTCACTATTCTTTACAGGTAGGCCGTAGTAGCGTAGTAGCGTAGTAAACGGTATCACAAATCTTACCATATAAACCGAAGTAAATCTTAAGTACAAGTACACCGTAGTAGCGTAGTACACTGTGTGGCGACTATTACCATAAAAAAACCCTCAATATTCTTTGCAAGTAGGCCGTAGTAGCGTAGCAGCGTAGTAGACGGTATCACAATTAATTCTTACTATATAAACCGAAGTACATCTTAAGTACAAGTACACCGTAGCAGCGTAGTAGCGAAGTAGCGTTGTACACTGTATGACAAGTCTTACAATACAAAAAAAAGTCACTATTCTTTACAGGTAGGCCGTAGTAGCGTAGTAGCGTAGTATACAGTATCACAAGTCTTACCATATAAACCGAAGTAAATCTTAAGTACAAGTACACCGTAGTAGCGTAGTACACTGTGTGGCGACTATTACCATAAAAAAAACCCTCAATATTCTTTGCAAGTAGGCCGTAGTAGCGTAGCAGCGTAGTAAACGGTATCACAATTAATTCTTACTATATAAACCGAAGTACATCTTAAGTACAAGTACACCGTAGCAGCGTAGTAGCGTAGTAGTGTTGTACACTGTATGACAAGTCTTACAATACAAAAAAAAGTCGCTATTCTTTACAGGTAGGCCGTAGTAGCGTAGTAGCGTAGTATACAGTATCACAAGTCTTACCATATAAACCGAAGTAAATCTTAAGTACAAGTACACCGTAGTAGCGTAGTACACTGTGTGGCGACTATTACCATAAAAAAACCCTCAATATTCTTTGCAAGTAGGCCGTAGTAGCGTAGCAGCGTAGTAGACGGTATCACAATTAATTCTTACTATATAAACCGAAGTACATCTTAAGTACAAGTACACCGTAGCAGCGTAGTAGCGAAGTAGCGTTGTACACTGTATGACAAGTCTTACAATACAAAAAAAAGTCACTATTCTTTACAGGTAGGCCGTAGTAGCGTAGTAGCGTAGTATACAGTATCACAAGTCTTACCATATAAACCGAAGTAAATCTTAAGTACAAGTACACCGTAGTAGCGTAGTACACTGTGTGGCGACTATTACCATAAAGAAACCCTCAATATTCTTTGCAAGTAGGCCGTAGTAGCGTAGCAGCGTAGTAGATAGTCTGGCCTGTCTTGCTGTTCCCTCACAAAGGACGTACTGGAGGAGGAAAGTCGTCATGTTGCTATGGCAGCACCATTTTTGGAGGACAACGAACCAAAACGTCTCTTACAAAGTGAATTCAAACTGTTTCAAACTTCATCGATCTAATTCAGGTTCATTTAATTCGTTAAATGTTTCTGGAGTAGAATCCGCAAGTCTGACCGTATTTGACCCTAGAAAAAAAAACAACATTTTTTGGCTGTGTTCACAAATTTCTTATAGAGCGGGCGCGTGAAATTAGGAAGTTCTCTATAGATGCGAAAGAGTAGCTTAATACCTTGTCTGTAATAATTTTTAAGGGCACTATACCTAGCACTTGCGGGAAGGTGTAGCTAGTCCAAGTGACACCCACCCTTAAATAACAGTTATTTGAAATAGTTACTTAACCTAGCACATGCGGGGACGTGTGCGTCGTTCAAGTGACACCTCCCCCTTTAATAACGATTTCATACTGACCTATTCTTGCTGAAAACAGGACATTTGTTGATAGCCAATCAGATTTGAGAATTTTGTTTTAGCTATGTTTAACCTACTAGTAAGAGTAACGTGTACTAGTTTCCCCGAGATGAGGGTAATTTGTCTATTAACACTTGCTTTCTTATTATGTGTTAAATACCCTTCCTGTCTTTGCAGTTTCGAGAACAAGAAGTTCTGAAATCTTCACTTTTTTCTCTGAACGCACTATCGTCAAATGGCTTGGGGTTCCGTGTTAACTTGAATTGATGGTCCTGCTCAAATTCTCCTCACTTGCTTCGCTTCATCCCTTTTTGCATACACCCGTTTCACCCATTCTTGTCACGTAGTTCGTTCTGGCGTTTTCACTTAGCACAAGGTTGGTGACTGCATCCCAGCGATTGCTTTTTCGGTGAAAATACCGACGCAGGTCATCATTTTCGCCTATACACCTAAAAATGGATGAAAGAATGTAAATTCACCAAACGGAATTTCTATTGTGGAGAGAAAGTTTCTGTTTGAATAATCAGAGTTTTTGAGAACCAAGACTTTAGGAAATATGTATTCATTTGTATCGTCTGTCATGGAAGAGCAGGTGATTCATTTCCCGTGTTCCATGCACTTGCTCATATAAATTGACAAAAATACCTTGTCCACTAACCTTCCTCAGACTGCCATGCTTTTTCATCATTTGTGGGACATGATAAATCATGTTATGCACGTATGGTGTAATAATGATGGTCTGCATTTATCCAGGGCCACTGCCAGACATGGCGAGCATACTGAGCATGTCCTTTCCCCAACTCAGTGCCTGCAGCAACAAACCAATAATTGAATTTTTTTTTATTTAGCACAGTCTTTGTACAGTGTTGAAGCCTGCCTTTAAGATTCTTTTGTAGTACTTGAAATTTAGTGGAAATGTAGAAATCTTTCTCAGGTACTTGGCAATATACATGTGCCAACCTTTCTCTCGAAGGTTTTTATGTCGTTTCCTTGTTGAGGTACTCCAGCAGCTCTCTATTATTCTTTGCATTGAAAACAAAGAAATTTATGGGTATTAGTAAGTTTCTTGGTTAGTCCTTTTTATCCCTCCTAAAAAGAAGTCAAGGCCAATGGAATGTCCATCGATTTTTCTTTCGTTCTCTTTTACTGAACTGTCGACATCATACTAACTTTCGCCGGGGACTCTTTTAAGGCTTGGTGCAGTCTTCGGATACTTTCACGCTACAGCAATGGCGCGATTCCCTGTTGGGGAAAAAGTGGAATTAAGCAACATTAATAAATCATCCAACGACATCTGTTTGGTTATAATTAATAAAAAACCTTCGGTTCTAGAAAGCGGAACGCATAGGTGATCGCAAACCAGCTTAAAGTAGTAGCGGTGGACAGCCGGAAACTGACGTTTTTGTTTATCATACAAAACTGCGCTTGAAATTCTAAGAACCTCTTAAACACTACTTGTTCCCATAAATATCGAAACGAACTCGCTTTCATACCAGTTTCTATACTTATTACATTTATGGTTAAAATTTATTACATTTATGGTGAGCTAGATCATTACATCTATGGTCACAATTTTACGACATTTACGGTTATTAATTTATTACATTAATGGTTCGTTTTTATTACATTTATGGGTGATACACCCACGGCACGTTTAGATTCGGTTTTAGCTGTCTTGAGCATCTTGAATTGTCAAGGTATTTCTATAATTCCTTAGGCCCACAAACGTCTCATTAGATAGCAACCTTTAGGTCTATGATATTATACTGTTGGGATGGATGGTTTTTATGTACCTCTACACGATCCTGTGACTGTCTGCGCGTCTAACCTACATACTCCGCATCACACACGCTATGTGCGACACATTGTTCCATTTCACATCGGTAGGCTTGTTTCGTGAGCTTTACGTTATTTGTAAATTTTGGAGCTAAAAAAACACGGCTGGATAATGGTGTACGTGTTTAGGCAGACTCTCTTGTATATTTAGGCAGTTGTAAAGGCTGCTGCTCAAAAACATTCCATTGAACGGGATGTTTGATGGTAGAGTTAGGTGTTGTAGGGAGTTCAGCCGTGAGAAGGTTACCCTCATGCCGACTCCAAAGCGTAGGATTTTATCATTCGTTTTTCTCTTTTTTGAGAAAACTGTTACTGAGACGAATATTTTAATTCTCTGAGATAAAATTAATGCTTCAGCATAATCCTTCCAGGAATAAAACATTAACACCAACTTGCATCAGCATGCACATTTTATTTTTCAAGATAATTCTTCAAGTCCCCCAACTTTAGCAAGTAAATATTCCAAAACTTTCTTCCAAATCTGCCTATGGGATCCAAGTTGTTGATTCAGTCATGAAACATGGATAAAGTTTCCTAAAGCGGAAGATGTTATAGAGAAACAACTAAATACTTGATAGCGCAGACTTACATAGAATAAACATTATTACCCACTCGAATAAAATTGGGAAATAATTCAAGAAATTCAACCTAGGGCACGTTTAATGCTAGAAGAGCAGAGGAGATAAAAAGACGAAGAGCCTGCCGTATAAAAAAAAAAAACAGACTAACCACTTACAGAATTGAAACAAACTAAGGCAAAATATTCTTTTTCACTAATTTTAAGACCCTAAGCGTTACTTCACACATAGATTCGTTCCAGACCCAGTACCGCTACAAAGTCTAGGTCAACGATAAAATAAATAAATAAATAAATAAACAAAAAAAGCGTTGTAAGAGCGGGTGAAAGGGGTTATTGCGTGATACAGGATTAAGTGCTTTTAATTTTCGTCAAAGGTGAAAATACGAAATGAAAATCCGGGAACTGTGAATGGTTGCTTGTCGTGATACGTGAACATTAAAATCTTTCATTCGATATTCGTGATTTTCATCCAATTTTTTTTTCGTGAAAAACAAATTTTACAGTGAAGCAAGTGGTGCTTCAAATAAACTCTTTTAACAGGTCTTAAATGACTATAAGGACGGAATTTAGCCAGAGTTTAGCCAGAGTTCAACAAAACCGTGTTCTAAGCCATTTTCCATTTTGTCAGCGCTTTTATCTAAACACCGCTTATCGTGAAATGTTTCATGGCAACAAAAGGTTAGACGGGAGAAACATTTATTTTCACAATATTACCCACTTAGAAAGAGATCTGTAGTCCCAATGGTTTCTTAAACCACGGACTACGTTGGTCTTCCCTCTACATAACCGGCCCTTACAGTCGTTCCTACAAATGTCGTCCTGAACTATGACCTAGCCTGCGAGAGCAGACAACTTTTTCGGCTCTTGTTTTACCCGCCGAGAAAGAAGCGTATGCGATCTCGAGCTGGGAAACGATTTCCGTGAGCTCGTGAGTCAGTATTTTTTAACCAATCATAATTCAACTCTCATTTTCGTGGAGCTAACACAAGTGGGGTTTGCGTGGGGATCTCGGTTGCGATGGCCGACAGTTTTTAAATTAGAGGGATACGTTTTTAACTTGAACGGAGAAAGATATTGTGTAGATTCCAAATCTGTGGGATCCGTGGGTTTTCTTGGAGGTAAAGAACGAATTCGAATATCCATAAACAGTAAGATATCATCTCTTGAAGCTCTTAAACGCCACATCATTGATTACGTTGGTTTGAAAGCTAAGTCCGAAAAGCGTGGTCTAGGATCCTCGATTGGAATAAAACTCTGTCGATTAGAAAAATCCGCTGACGGGAGCAAAGCCTATGCGATAAACAATGACGACAACGAGGATGAAATGACTTTTCTACGACCAGTCACTGCTCGTAGCAGAAGCCTCCCGGTTGTCTCAACTTTGAGATAAGGGAAAGGCAAATGACGTTCCTTTTGAGTACTATATATCCGTCAGCATTAGCCGGGGTCATCATCAGTTTACCTTCACCTACATTTCATTGTATGTTTAGCTGACTTCCGTTACTTCTCTGCACGAGTTGTCTGGAAGGCACAAAAATCAAAAGATCGACTCTTATCATTAACTCTGCAGACAGCGGCATTCTGAACAGGTCCAGCCATGCACTGTTCTGTTTCTTTGGAAATTTACGTGAAACGTGAACACGGTATTTTAATCCCCGTGGTGCGTTATTTCTACTTTTAAATGTCCGTCAGGCGTGCGTGGAACCTCTCCTTTACCCCACTCTTATAAAATGTTCAATCAAAACACTCCCACACAATTGATGTTGCCTCCGGATTACAGCCCTGGAAAGGAAAAGCTCTTGCTGAGAGCAGGCATATTACACTTGTGAAGAGCAAGTCTGTGAAAATTAAACACAGGTCGAATACTGAAAAACTGCTCGATTATTTCTTAAAGAAGTCTCGCACTATAAACTAGACGTATTGAAATCAGCTTCCAGAAGGAAGCCCATGGTTGGTTACATCGAAGGTGATATGAACAATGTGTAAAGACTAATAGATGATGGCAAACTGCGACGGCCGCCTGCGAAGATAGCCAAAAGGAGCGAAAAATAATAAACTGGGAACGCGTGCCTATGTTTCCTAGTTTTACACCCACCAATTACCAACATGTGTCCTGTTGCAATTGGCAATTCAAACCGTGTCGCGCTTTGTAATTATAATAGACTGCAAAACAGTCAGTTTTTTCTCAAAATCAGTAAAGAAATCGATAAAGAGTGTGTGGTGTAAGAGTCTTACGCGCGCGAAGCGCGCGAGCGTCAAACGCCCGTAGGGCTTGTGAGGCGAGAGAAAAAAAATTATTAGTATTTTTAGCGTCTCTCCCCAGTCTTGCTCTCTGTTTTCAGCCTCATTTGTTTGACTGCTCGCGCGTACACGCAAAAATACGGACTGTTTTGCAGTCTATAATTATAAAAGCTGTCGCAATTTGTAACAATGCCATCGCGTTTGTTGAAAAAGGTAGTAATTTTATTTGGTCAACGTATCCCGTCATAATGGCTGACACCACAAGTACAAGGCTAGGACTCGTAAGCGGAGTCATGAGTGCAGTGGTCGGAGTGGGAAGAATCAAAACGCTTCCATTTTCTTCCGACTAAAATCTAGAAACTTAAATCCAAAGTTAATTATTATCTTCTGGGGATTGGAGAAAAGTCACGGGAAACCTGAGCCGTCTTAAACTTGCGCTCCTTTTTTTTCGTACTTGGACTGAGGATTCTCTCATATTTAACTAGGAGTAATAGGTACTTAGAAGAGTGCGTTCGATATGTTTGCTAGGCGTACAGGTAGCAGTTGAGGGGAAAGGGTCGATGGTTCTCGCGATAGATATGATTATCGCATATTTTGAACGTAACAGTTGCGTACAGCGAAACCCCGATTTAAACTGTGTATGATAATGAAAAGGTTTTGAAGGCTAGCGATCAGCGTGATATCGTATGGTTCGTCTCAAGTGCTTGTTATCTGAGGAGACACTGGCCAGAGTGACGTAGAGTGCTTCGGGCGTGTAAAAGGAACTTTTTGTTTTACTGGCGCAATAGATGTTCTACAAGGCGCAGTTGTTTGACGGCCGATCAGGGCTTAACCCGGGTTTCTTTTTCTTATGTTAAAAAACATTTCTTTGGATAATTTTCTCAGTTATTTTTAAGAGCGTCCAATCATCAACTTGTTGGCAAAATGAAGCTCTCAGATCTGAGTTCAAATTTCGCATTAACCCTCGCCTGGGTTATCTTAATCCAGCTTTGAACAACCTGGCCCAGTTACTGTTAAAAAGCAAACAGTTGACAAAGTTTTAGATGTAATCATTCATTTTATTTAATATTGGGAATTCCAAATGTAGACAATTACTGAAATTTACCGGCTATAAAATGCCGGAAACCGTTACTGACAAGTCTTCTTAACTTGTGATGATATTAAAGAACGACCCAAGACCACATTTTTGTGGTGAATGCCGGGGCACAATGATTGTGTTTGAACACTGGTTCACTTCCACTACACCTCTCAATTTCACACACGTTTCAGGGGAATCAACAAAGCCTTCAGTGGAATGTGTGTGCGGCTCACGTCAATAACTTTTCCAGTAATTTGGTCGAGTGTATTGATTTCAGTGGCTTAAGTGGCACTACTGTGGGCTGGTCACGTTTTTCCGAATAAATAACACAGAGCTTAAATGTTCGTTTGTCCACTAACGAAAATATCACAAGACATGATGAAATGGTGCCGCCGAGCTTGACATCTCGGTAGATTTACTTTGTGGAATAACGGCCGCCGCCGAGCTTGACTTCTCGGTAGATTTACTTTGTGGAATAACGGCCGCCGAGCTACACAGCTCGGTAGATTTACTCTGTGGCACTACGGCCGCCTGGCACAACAGACGCTGAGCTTCACAACTCGCCGGTAAATTTGCTTTGTGGCACAACGGACGCCGAGCGAAACAACCCGGTTTGATGCATGCACCAGGAGTAGCACGCATTTACCAAAAAAAAAATATGAAGGCTTAATCCAAAGTAAAATTTTACTCAGGGTGTAAACTTTCAGCACACTTTTGAAAGATGAACGCTTCGGAAGATTCATTAAACACAGATCAATAGTAGACCTTCAGCAAACTCTTAAATATGTGCGCTTTGCGAAGATTCAGCACACTTTTAAACTGAGATGAACGATTTACGAAGACAGAATAGCAGACTCAGCAAACGTTTGAAAGATGAACGCCGAGGACACACGAATCACCACTTGAGTTAACGCGTCAAAGTGAGGTAAAACGTAAGCAAGCGCCTCATAATGTGTCGACGTCGACGACGACGACGACGATGAATGCAATTCTCGAAAAAAGTTCCCTTATTAATTGCACAGGAAAGCCAATAATGCACAGAACACCCAACACAAATTAGGGGTTACGTTCTCGCACCTCGAACGCCATAATTACTCAAATTCATTGACAAAGCTTTTCGCACCTTGCCTCACAACTTCTTTTTTGGTGGAAGAACAAATTACTAGGTAATGTCCAATCTCTCTTCTCTTTCGTTTAAAAACGAGAATGCTAACAAAGTAACGAAGTACCACCAGTTTGTTTTGAAGGTTTGTCCCCTACGAGATCCAAATCGGTAGGAATTTGAGGTCCTTGGATTTTTTTCCTCCTGACCTAGTTGGCGGGGCGTGGAATACGGTATTTCCAGAGCCGCGAGCTCTTTCTGGCAAATACCGACGATATAAGCGTGTGTTCATGGAAACTCGCGCCAAATGCACCTTTCAGTCCTTCGACGAGCGTGTCATTTCTCGGCACTTTCTCGAGCTTAAACGTCATTCCTCAAGTTCCTGTATTTCTCTTTGATTTTGGAAACTATGGCTTCTCCTGTAAAATCGTTAAGCTTTAAAAAGGCAGCAGATGGGTCATTTTGCATTCACAAGAAGGTTAAGCGTGGCAATTACAAGAGCGTTGCTGACTTCTGGTTTGAGATCGAGAGTTTTGTCCAGTTCCAGGGTGCACTTAACAAGCATAGTGGATACATCTTTCAAGTCCACAAGACTTTGGGGGAGAACAATGTGTCGAAGTAAGTTGATATTTTCTTTCTATACTCATGGATTATTTATTTTTACCGAAACTTTGGGAAATGTACAATATATCTTTTGACTTGTGAAATTTTGGAGCCGCGTGATGAATTTGGTAATTTAATTAGGTTTTTTTAATACTAAAACGGGAAATGACATTCTACGAAGTTTATTATGGCCTAAAATAAGCTAATGAACTACAATGGGCTAAAACGAAAAAAAAAATGCAGCTCTGAGAGAAAGAAAGTAAAGAAATTTTCAAGGCAAAGAACCTCTGCATCTACAGTGCTATGATTAAAAAACATACCAGAGTGCACTTTGCACCAATCAAAACCTTGTTGCTGAGCAAAAATGGAAACTCTTCAAACCAATCAAAACTTTGTTGCTGAGCGACTTGAAAATCTTCACTTTGCGCTCTGAACCAATCAAAACATTGTTGCTGGGCAAAAGGTATAAAACTCTTCAAGGTTAATTATGGGCGCTTTCCATTTAGTCAAAATTTCCGGAATTTCCGGTTCGGCGGTAAATGGAACACGTTTCGTCGGTTCGTCCCACTGGAAAATTCCCAGAAAAAGTGGAAAATCTAAAAAGGTGGTCCCGTTTTCCCGGTTGGAATTTTCCAACGGAATGTCGTGTGCCATTTACGTTTAACGTAGTTTGTACCAGTTCCAGGTCCACGGTCGGGCACCGCCACGTACCGGGGTTTACGACCAAATGGAACAACTTTTTACCAATCGGAAATTCCACTTTTGCTACCACCGAAATTTCCGGGTTTTTTTCCTAAATGGAAAGCGGCGCGGCGGGGAAGACTTAAGAGCTGCTAAGTTTTACTCAACCAAAAATTCGTGTGTGAAGGCCTAAGTAAAATCTCAAGTAACTTTACTTTGCGGTTGAAACGATTCAAGAAAGTTTCAAGCGACTTGAAAACCATCCTTGACTTGCGGCTACTTGCGGTTTCTTGAGCTTTGAGAAAGGCGAAACTTGTCAATCAATCTTAATTATGTTGCGTGGGAAGATAGCTTTAAGTTAACTTGAAGGTAAAACTTGTCTTGAAATATTTCTAACTAATCTAACTATACCGGCCATATAGCCACAGCGCGAAAAATAGGCTAACTTGGGTACTGAAATGCGAAAAATTAAATTTTAGAAAATCGTAGGGAATTTATTAGATATATTACGAAAATTGTACATGAAAGGAACGGTCATCTAGAAATTTTTAGCCTTCCTCAAGCTATAGAAAATTCTAGGCAATTTTTGCCTCTCCAAACAGATATTTTACAGAAAACAGTCCTTGCGTGCCCCTGATTAAAATTATTTCTGCATTTACGACCACGCGCGTAACAGTAAGTCTTCTGATAGCTGTTATCCTTTGGTCTGTCCTACAATCGACTAAAAGCGTGTATACAAGGTAATCGATCACACAGAAAATTGATAGTTTCTTTTCGTAATTCTTGTTCTCAAAACTGCTTGATTTTTTTTTCGTTTTAGTTCAAAGCAGGTATATAGACTTAATTGACACGAGGTCACTTTCAAGCAGGTGGAGGTCACGCAAGTGTGGCCTCCCGGGAAACTATATTTAATTGTCATAGTGTCCTTAAAAAATACACTCTACCATGGCCATCCACTCTCGAAAAATACACTCTTCAAACCCTTACATTTTAAGTAGCCTTTTTCGTCTGACTGACTAGGACCCTGACTGTCAAGCAAACACAAGAAATCCCTTTCAAACAAACACCTTCTCTATCGCTGTATCAGTTTGAATAAAACAACTTGGAAACAATTTCCAAGCACTTACATGATAAGTTTAAATTTCCTCCCCCTGACATATATCAGGAGCTCGGCGTTTGAGCAATGAGAATGCCCTGTATAGGATTTTGGATGACATTAGCCAATAGGCAATACTAATAAAGATTTAAAATGTCACGATGTAACATTTGTCAAACTTTTATTTTCTAGAAAGTGCTTCATATCATGTCTAGATATGGACTCGGCCAAAAAGTTCAAAAGTTCATTGAACAATGCATTGGCTGATTGTGGAGGTGTCTTCTGGGAAGATGTAAAGGATGTACAACTACAAGGTCTTTTGAAAACTATGACAAGAAACTATTTTTTACAAAATGGAAAAGTACACAAGGCTGTCACGACTGTGGGTAGACAGCCCATTGAAATCTCCATAAAGGACCATCTGCCGGAACAGGACATCTACGTATTCAATGAGTCGGTGCAGGTATCGTCAAAACCTCTTAACCCTTTAAACTCTAAGATCAAAATTTGAAATCTCATTTGTTGCCCCTATTCATTTCCTATAGAAGTAGTGAGGAGAAGTTGATAAAATATCAAGCAAATTCATCTTGCGCAATCATGTTTGTAATTCTTATGTCCACACTATTTTACAAAGCATTGATATTACAAGGAGAAATTTGATGCTGATCACTCTTAGGGCTTAAAGGGTTAATATTGAGATGATGTGATACAAAAGGACACTTTACCGACTGTAAAATGATTTTTCTCCAGTTTAAGGTAGCTATTTCACGTAAAAGTATGTACGACCTTTCACTGTGGTGAAAGAAATGTGGTTGGTCTCTGCCAGCCGTGCTCATAATAGCGGCTAAACCTAGACAGTAATAGCTAAGGTCAGTTAAAATGTGGGATTAAAAGTTCAACTGCTCGGTATAATATTCAGTTGACCATTTCATAACCAGCTTTGTTTTTGTGAAGTCTTCATTATCTATAGTTGATTAAAATGACTTTTAGTCAATGGAATGACCTCTCTAAAAATATTTTGAGAGCACTGAGCACTTTTTGCACTGAACTGGGCTATTAACAGAGAATGGTGTTCTCCTTTCAGATGAATGGGAAAGGACAATTAATCCCAGAGGAGGAAACATTGTATGTCTGGATGGACAGCTATGGTGCTGGACCTAGTGATAATAACGAGTTTAAAGTTCAAATTTCTCCAGTCCTAAATACTTTTAGCTGGACGAAATTTCTAGATGTGGCCCTACCTGTGTTTAATATCAACTTTTATCAATCAGTTATGATGATGGCTGGTGCCATTGCGTGCTTCCATTACCCTTACTCAATTCTGATTGCTGGTAAGTTGTGTATGTTCAAGCTGAGCCATAGCAAAAAAACATTCACGACCACACACTGTACATGCAGGAGTTTTTCAGCTTTCTGCAAACAAAATTTCAATGCACTTGAGAGAAATGTTTCAATGACTTTTGACACACATTGCCAATTACAAGTAACTGGGCTATATGTCACTTCATATTTAAAATATTTTGTCAATTTCTAGATGCTTGTCCAGCTCCAATGGCCATAGGGGCACCAGGATCAGGAAAGTCTACAACAATTGAAGTAATTTCCAAAATGCTTGGTTGTAAGGTGGAATCTCAAGCAACAGCTGAGGTTATACAGTCTCTCCTTTGGAAGACTACAGTACCATTGTGCTGGGATGATCCCGCATATCCATCCACAGTGAAGGGTGTATTAGCTGGTTCATTCGATTCAAAGGGCAAGCGCACAAAAGGCAGGGGGAAAGAGGTTCCAGTGACAAATGTTGTGTTGGCAGTTAACTTTGATTTAGATGAGGACTTAAGGTATAATGTATATGTAATGTTTACTTCATAGTCATATAAATTCAGATTCTGATCCTGAAAGAATAATGTCTCCTCCCAGTGATGCCATTGCATGCAAGGGCCTGCTATAGAACTTGTTCCTGAAATGAAGCAGTGATTATAATTTAAGGATTCAGTTAACTAAAATTGTTCTGTGTACATATTTCGGCATCTCTGTCCATGCTTGTAGTAATATTACATTTAAGTTGAAGTTCTGGTATAGTTTCCCGTACTTCTGTGATATTAAATTTCACATCTCACATCTTTTAATATTGTTTTCTATAGATCCTTCGAACGGGTTGTTCCTGTAGTTTACCAGAAACCAGAACCGCCGGAAGACCCGGCGAAGTACAGGCAATCCAAACAAGATCTGAACGAGCTGTGCACGACTGAATGCATCCCATGGGTGATCCAGCTAGCCACTAAGCTGTGCAGCAACACTCATTTGGTTGATAAACAGATAAATTTTTTTTTTCAACATAAAGATCCAGAGCTACCACCAAGACTTCATAAACTTTATGGTCTGTACAAGGCTATTGTACACGAGGTGCGTTTTGCTCGTTGATTCGTACGTACATCTGTGGGACACGTTAAATAACTTTAAAACGTCTTTCTATATAAACACCAATTGTCCATGCCTACAGCCACAAAAAAGGAATAAGAGATTGAGATGAGACGCCATTTCATTATACACTGCCGAAACAATTCTGTACAATTGCAGTACTGTTGGCGTAAATCCTTACAGTGACAGCGACATTATCCCCCAATTCTTTATCTTGATTATCCCATTCGCCCGTGGGAAATTTGCCGAAGAAGGCCTTTTGAAGATAGTCGAGCCGTTTTATGGTCATCTAGTCAAGAACAACCAAAACTGCCTAAAATGCTGCTTCATGTAACATGTAGCCTTACGCACATTCTCGTCCCCAGAGCCACTTGGCTTAATTTGTAAAAGACCACGTGACCAAGAAACGACGGGCTCTGGGGATGAGAATGCCCTAGGCATGTCAGCTACCGAATCTCGTCATGCGCAGAATACGCTGTCTCTCCTCTATCTTTTTCTTCTGCTTGGCATTTGAAACGTTAGGATGGTAGGATAAGATAGAATTGCAGTTGGGTAGTGCATGAGACAAGATTTCAAAGGAATTTTCGGGTGAATTTTAGGTGTTTTTCTACCCCACTAACATGCAAAAAAGCATAAAAGCATACCAAATATGAACGTTCCCTCAGAAAAAAAGTAACAAACTTAGTCATTTTTCATCTTTTGTTTGTTCGTTCTCTGTCTTTCTTTTTCAGTTTTCTTTTCTTTTCTTTTCTTTCTTTCTTTCTTTCTTTTTTTTTGGGGGGGGGGGGGGGGGGGTCATCTCAATTAATTTGAGATAGAAGGGGAGCTGCCCAAAGATTTCTTATGAAGAGGGGGAAGCATCACATTCTACAGGCAGGAGCTACCCGCCGAATCCCATCAGCACCCCCCTCCCCCATAAAAGGTCCCTAAAACATGCGTTCTCAAAATGTGGTCGTTCAAAACTGATGACGTCACAACGGGTAAAAAAGACGTACATCCGCACGGGTGGTTACGGGTTTGATACGACAGAGAAACCCGAAAACTAGACAAGATGTTATACTTCAAAAAGTGCGTTGTGAGATATGTTATCAATAAACTAGACACCATGATGGATTAAAAGTACACAATAACTTGGCAGCAAAATAGAACTATGGATCAGTGGGGATCTGGTTCTGGCGTCAGAATTTCTGTAGAAGTTGTATTTTTACAAGTTTATGGTTTTCAAAATCGTTGATAATTAGACTTTAAATCTTGCGCCAAAAACTAGAAAAAATCCATCCACGTTTGGACAGAAAACCACCTAACCTGCCTGTCAAATACCAAATAGGGCCAAAAACGACGGCAGAAGACCAATTTTAGCATTTTTGATTAACACTTAGTAATCAATGTGTCTTTTGCTATTGTTTTAGATTATAGAAAGCTATGGTGCAGGTGAAGATGAAAGTAATAACAGTTCGATTTCAGCGGAGGAGTTTGAAAATTACCTGGACAACATGTTTCTACCATATGTAAGGAACATAGTCCAAACGGGTGGTAGTTGTGACGTGGCTGCCCAGGATTCAAGCTTTCAAGACTTCTGTGAATGTCTCCACAAAACATTACAAGTCACGAAGAATATTGAGGTATTCCCAAACGTTAAAGTAAATACATAGCCAGAGTACTCTCTTTCAGTGTTTATTTTGCCAAAATAATATATAATTGGACCCAAATCATACTGTCTGAAACTACTCATGTAAAGCAGTAACATATATACCTGTAATAGTTTGGGATGTGAAAATGTATATCAAGTTAAAGTTCGAATACTACATTATAACTACATTATTTCGGTGTTAAAATAGTTTTTCCCCACAAGCTTATCTTAAGCTTGATCAAAGACCGGACCCGGGAGACGGCGGAAATGCAGCCTAGTTTTGAATGGCATTGTAGTTGTTGTTGTTGTTGTTTTTTTACAGGAACTGAGGAAATTCGTAAAACATGACGTCAAGTCTCGTGACGGACAGTGTCTACACATCATATTACCAGAGGTGTTAACGTTTATCAAACAGCGTTTGGGGCCAAAAGGAACATTTAACCTCACAAAGTTGAGACGACAAATCAGTGAAATGCCTGGCACTTCGGTGGATCATTCTGGTAGTTTTGGTGGCACGCAAAGACGGTGTGTAAAGATCCCAAGGGTTCTGGTGCCAGACAACACCCTCGAGCTTGTTGATGAAGGTATATAGCAATGCTGCAATAAGAAAAATTTATCAAAACCAATTTAGTATTTACAAAATTGTTGTTAAAAGGATAAGTTAAGATAGGCCTGATTTTCTTTCTTCATCTTTTATAAAGCATTTCTTGCCGATAAAGAAGAAAAGCCTGAGGACAGCGCTGCAAGGGAAGAACATGACGGACAGGAATTAGAACGTCTTGGAAAGAAATTAGATGCTGTTCAGCAACATAGTACAAAGCTAATGGAAGAAAAGAAAGTGTTAGAAGAAACCCTTCATAGAGAAAAGCTAAAATGCGCCGCTACTGAACAAGCGATGAAGGATTTGGAGCAAAAATTCGCTGACAAAGAAAGAAATTGGAAGGTTGTAGAAGAAGAGCTACGAGGGACCATCTCTGAGCTGCAGCAGCAGCTAAGGAAGCAAACATGTGAAGAGAAAGCTGTTAAAACTCCCGCAGCCGAAGCATTTTCGCGGATGTTGTCTACCTCAGAAGGTAAATCGGAATTATTATGTATTACCCGGTTGAAACTTGCATTGACAAGCGCCCTCTATTTCAGCCAGAAAGATGGAACATGTCGATTCACATTTTCGTTCATATCAGCACGATGCATAATGACAGGAGGACATTCCTCTCCGCCGTATGTTAATAGGAAAAATAAGTTTACTGTGGTACTGCAAGCTACGAAAATATGTACATTTATTTTACTTCTTTTCACAAAGCTGATGATCTTATTCGTATGAGCCGCCATCAAGTGACACAATACGATATAAAACATCCCTTTTGAAATTGTGATCGGCTAACACTTATCTATTCAAAATTACAGAAAGAAAAAGAAAGAACGAAGTCGACCACCTGTTGGACAAGCTACATGGTGGCATTATCAAAGGTATGACGAAGCCTCTGTATAACCCAAAGGCATAGCGTGAACCCTCCCCACTTTAAGGTTGCTGTATCAGACCGCATTGTAATTTCATCTCCTTTTTGCGCATTGTTTATCACTTTTTCATAATTTTAAGCTTAAGTCATTAGCTTGACATCTTGACATGTACTTTACATTAACACAGGGACAGAAACCACAATGATATAATTTATTTATCCATTTTCAGGCAAACGATCGCGCAAGTAGATCCAAGTACATCGGTTGCGTTAGCGACGTTGGGTGGTTTTGGGTAGTGGGTCTAAGGCCTCAGGATATCCTGGTTTCCGGTACGGGTAAGATCACCAGTGGCGGTACCCGCTACTCTGAGGAACGGTACACCGGTTACACTGTGACTGAAAAGGCTGAAACAATTAAACCTTGTAAGGCTAAGCTTTCCTTACTATGTAATAACTGACTTAGTTTAGTTGTAGTTATATTCTTTCCACGCTTGTTTTACGCACAAAACATTCCAGCAAAGGCATCTGAGCCGCGAAACTCAGTATAGCTTGTAAACAACCTAAAAACATAAACTCAAGGTGTATTACTGAAACTTGTAGACAATTATAGCTATAGACATGAGTGTTTTTATAATTTTGTTAAAAACACTATTTTTTTTGCGCACGGAAGTTAATATTGACAGCAAAACTCTCCTCGGTTAAGCAGTTCTACAAGTCAGATAATTTGATTTTCTTGACAGATAAAGCAAATAGATTGCAGCAATAGGTCACCCGTTTAGCCATGTCCAGTTATAACCTGTGGACCATCGCGAATAAACGGGTATTCTTCACTTGTAGCAGGTAATGACGTCGTCATACAATGAATTCAAAATGGCGCTACTGATACCCGTAGACAAAACCGGGATATCTTCAGGTGCCTATCATCTTGGTACCAAAAACCAGGGTATGATAAGGTTCCCACTCTCTAACATAACTAAAGGCTGATAAATCTTTTCAAGGTACAGTAAAAACCCGCGTATGAGAACGTAGATTTTTCCAGTTAATTAGCCTAATTGATAGGGGCACTAGCGATCAGGTCAGATAACTACTACAGGGCATATGTCAGTGATATGGAATATATTGCTGTATTAATTAATTTCTAGAATACAGTTTACATTTTGTGATGAACAGGCAGTAAATCAGTGTCCAATCATGCAGGTGTAAAATGTATAGCCCTCAAGCGCTTGGGGTTTGATGCGATCATCATGCATCTGACCCTTCATTTTGTAAAATTAGAGCCTATTGAAAATTTTAGACTAAATAGGTTGTTATGAAAAGGGGGTTTAACATGAAAATTTTAGCCTAACAGGTTCTTAACCTTTATGCTCCTTTAAGCGGGTTTTTACTTTACATCATACTGAAATGTAGTTTAATTGAGTTTTACATTTGTTGATGACTTTACTAGTTATTGGTGGTCTTTTCATACTTCGACGACAGGCAAGGTTTTGGTGCACAGGGTTCGTACAGTCTTGAATCTGCGAAGCACTTTTCCAGACTTGGAAAAAAGTCTGTAGAAATGAAATGCGTTTTTTTCTAAATTTAATCTTGTCTGTAACCAAAACATTCCTATTTCAAAGAATGAAAAGTTTCAGAATTTTCTTATGTCCGCAATTGCCGTCACTGTGGTTACTGCATGTCTGCAGTGTATCATGCGAAATGGGTGGATCCTACGTTTGTCGAGGTTCAGTCTACCGATCCCCTATTAGATAACTTTGAGTCTGGAGAGGGAAATTATTGTTTTGGAAAAACATCGGGAATAATTCGTGACTTTTGGATCCAAAACCCTGTAGGAACCCTGAGTACGGGTTTATTTTAGCATCAGTTAAAGTATCCCTAACTTCGTTCAAACCACTTTTTAGCACATTTGGGTACAACTGGCTGTCTGCCAGTGCTGTAACAAAACTGTGAGTATGCGTTTCGCCTCTTAACCATTCTGTGAAAAAAGAACATATGGTGGACGTAGGGCAAAGCCACCATAATTCTTTTTAGCCTGCTGGCCCAAACATTGACTTGTTCGGCTGCCATTGTGTTGAAGGACTTCGATAGTATATGATCAGGATCGTAATTAACTTTGCATGACGGATCTTTGTGATTTTTCAAGTGCAGCCGATCAATGACTTTTTCAACAGTCGTCCACATCTTGTTGAATGGGGGTGGGAGAGGTAAATCTTTTTTGGCGGCACGAAGGGAATCAAGATGACACATGTTATCATATGCCAATACAGTCTCTTCCATGGCCTTCAGTACTTCTTGGTCACTCTTTCCACTTTCCTTCATTTGTTTAAATTTATTGTACATCCAAACAATGGTTATAAGAAATGCTTGTGATGGTGACTCGGACCTGTAGAACAAAAAGTATCTGTCCCAGTCAAATACATTTCAGTAACTTTTAAGGGTAAGATATTTCTTAAACGTTAACGTACAGCATACTTTTCTAAACGTTTTGTTTATGTAGTAAACGTGTAGTTGTTTAATAATAATTGTTATTTACTCTACTTTAGCGAACGGTCACTTGACTCATATGTAATGTTGATCCTTAACCAAGATGCCAAATCCTTAATAAGTAAATGCTTCTATTGGAAATGGTCAACAGTAAGCCATTAAAAATACCGTTGAATTTCATGGGATGGGAATTCTTTGCTTATTTATTTTATCCCTCAAACTGTTTCTCCTTATTTCTTAATTTTTGCCTAACTGGTTTGAAAAGAGCAATTTCCACCTCGCAGGAAAAGGTAATTAAAAAAAATTGCTAAGTGCAACCCCTTATCAAAATACAGCACAGCGAAGAAAGCTTGCAAAAATATCAACCATTGGAATTCCGCGGAATTTTGCTTAGTCAGGTAGGTATTTGTATGCCGTTACTTGTAAAAACCTACTGATGTTCACATTCTTACTTGTATAATGGCTGCCAAAAGTCTATGTGCCCACCAGCTGTGGCTATCAGAAAAATTCCTCTTGACCACTTCTGGAGACGCCTCTTACCGACGGTGTCCTTATTACATTGCACCGGAACCTCTTCTTCGCAATCTTTCAGCAGTGTCATATTTGCAGCCATGAATGATCTGGTACCTTAAACCAATAATGTGACAACATATAGAGTAGTTTTCAATAATAATAATAATAATAATAATAATAATAATAATAATAATAATAACAATGATATTATTATTATTAAGTGTCTCTTCAATTTAACACCGGTAACTACTATTATTGTTGTCTACTGCAACACGAAAACAGCGCATCGATCGATCCAGAATTTGACTAAGTGACTAGTAGTTTGTTTTAACACATAACCCGTCAATAAATTTGCGCGAAATTTGCTAATCAATCAAAATGTAGCAAAGCGACCAAGCGAAAAACGTCTTCTCGCAATCAATTGAAAGGTACTTTTTTTTAGACTGGGCTATCTTTGTGACATTATTTGTGATGAACCCACATATAACGTACACACTCAGGAAAAACTGTTTGAATGCAGAGGTCCACGCAACGCGTAAATATAACTGACCGGTTCCTCTTGCCGGATCTCTAAAAAAAGAGTTGCAGTAGCCAGACGTCACTTGAAGTGTGAAATAAAACAAAACTCAATGTAGGGCTGGCACTACGGCAAAGGGCTGAGTTATTATAGGCCAATATTTCGGCTAACAAAATTAGCCTTCCTCAGGGCCAGAACTATACCGAGAGAAAATATCTTTTAACGGCTCTTAAAATTTAAATTTAAAATAATGAACTACACACACAGTTGTGTAGTCCCTAAGTCCCATTATTCCGCGCGGTCACGTCACATAAATTGACCACGAGGGACTGGGAAAACACTGTACACACACAACAAAATTATCCGTGGTTATAGTGAATCGCTTACTACGAGAAAAACACTAGACTTGTACGTGCTAAAAAGGCGTCCGCGGTTGTAATACTTCCTAAACATTAAACCTCATGTACACACCTTGGTATACGGCTGCATTTTCTGTTAATTCGGAAACACTGTGACCAGGGCTTTCAATATCTTTCAGTACATTTTCAGGGTCTGTAAAATGTAAATGTAATATAATGTAATTTTAATCTCCTAGAAAAATAAGTTCTATCAAAATGTCTTTTGAACACTTCATCTTCATGTTACTGCATGAAACACGTGCTTCTTCTCAGTAGTAATACGATTCGCGCTTTCCGCTTGTGAAGCTTCACAAATGACACTAACTTACGTGACGTGGATGCGGGCGGAAAGGCGCTCAGTCGCGTGGCAGGAGGGATAGATCACCGGCAACGGAGCAACGCAACCGTCAACTTCATCATCATCATCAGTCAATGCACTTTTATATTAAAATGGTTTCATTTAGCTATCGATGTCTAAAGGCGACATTACGGTCACTGAGACCATCCACAACATTGTCCAATAGGACCAATAGGTACTTGTTGTTGCTTGTCAAGTTACAATAGTGGTATCTTTTTTTTTTTTGACCTTGAAAGAAGGGGAAATTCAGTTACCTTGTTTTTTATTCCTGCAGTAATCCAGAAACGTTCTTAATTCAGTTGGTATTCCTTTCTGCTTTACAACCTGACAATGTCTATCGCAGAACGCAGACTGGTACTCTGGACTTCTTGGGCAGATATTTGGGTAGTTGATTTCGGTTTCGTAACCTGGTATGCTTATCGAGACTGGGAACATACAGTGTGCATAACATAACTTCCAGTTTCCATCTAGAACATACAGCTTTCCACATCCTAAGGTAAAGTGAATAGAAAAGGGCATCCGTGCATGCAGATATCAGTTTATTGGTGTTAAGAGGTCTACTTGAGAAAGGATTTCTAGGGTACAAAAACTCTAATGTGATTCCTTAGTTATGAATATGTCAAAAGTATTTGGGGCAGTGGCAGATTTATATCTTCAAGAAAGTGAGGGGTCCTGCTTATCCAGACCCTAAGATAAGAGAGGGTGCAGCCTTTAAATTATTGTTGTAGGCCCCGTAGGCTTCAGTTTTGTCTAAAAATAAGGTGGTGTCTCTCTCCGTAGATGTGCCACTGTGGGCATGATGAAGTGTATTTCCAACAAAATGGTGGTTCTTTAGTTAAAAAGTAACATGGAAAATGACATAGGCAAAAGTGTGCCTTGATGCAGCCAAATACAATGATTAATAGATAATTTATGATGACGGTACCTATGGTAATTATTTATATCTGTCTATCTGATTTCGTTAAAACTTGTCTGCTATATTTTTGCTTGGAGCTGGACATAGCCCAGCTCCAAGCCAGCTGTTGTCAAAAAAATTGCCATTGCCAGGCAGCACCATTTAAGTGTAAGGTTTGTGCAGCGCTTGAAAGAGCTTTTCCTCTTGTCTGGCCTAGGCTAGATCAATCTGGCCACTGCTGATAATAGTCATCATAATAATGATTGAAAAAATGTTCACCTTTGTTCTTACATCCTTCATGGCATTCATGACTATACATTGATGCCGCCCTGCTTCGCACAATGTATTCAGCTGCAGCATCTTTGGGTCCAGTGAAATCATCGGAGCTTGGCTCAACGGTAAATGCCCACTTCTCAACAAGATCCCATTCCAGGAGCTCCTTATACAGTTCACTCTCCCAGAACGCCCTAGCTACTGATTTGCGGTCGAGTTCCCCAGGAAGATGTGCTATGATGAAAAAAAACTTTTATTTAATAATTTTGCTGTCCTAAATACAATAAATAAATATTAAACCTTCCAATAAGCAGCTTTAGAATAAACATGACGTTTGACCAGTAGTAGTCCAGTACTGGAGCTAGACCATGCAAATATCAGCAGGTTTGGTCCGCTACGTTGTACAGTCTTCAAGTTAATATTTTTAAAAATGACATTTCAAGCATCACCTTTGTCAGCTTTGTGCTTTAATGTGGAGGAAGCATCACTGTCCTTTCCTGAAAGATGTTAAAAATGTAACATATACTACAGCTACAGCTACAGAAGTTTATAATGGGTTAGTGATAAATATTCTTGTCTGTGTATCATTTTCCTCAAAATCATGTATTGATCATGCAGTTGGACCCAGCTTTGGTTATCTCCATGCACTGCCCAGAATAAGTGTCCCATTAGTGTTATTGAGTCAATACCCAGTTAATAACTTGCTGCAAAATAAAATGATGAATTGCAAGGGATAATGTCTTATTTACAGGCAAGAAATCTACTTGTAGTATAACAAACAAGAGGGCTAATACTATGGTAATCGGAAGAGACGTCGCCAGTGGTGCCTGGCCCAGACCACAAACAAATGACTGAAACAATTGAAAGAATGGCATGTCATTGTTTTCTGCAACTAATCAGGAGAGACCTTACGAGCAGCTCCTTCACAACTGGATAGTGTTATTGCGATAGTTTTATGAATTTTCAATTGCTGTGATATTTATGAAAAATCTCTAGTAGTCTTTTTTCTGGCCTTACAATAGACTACATTACTTCATTAGTTCGTATCTCTATCTAGGTGACATTTATTGCAACAACAATATTATTAGAAGCATGGTTATCGCAAAACAAAGAGCTTTACAAAGTACCGGTATGAATACTGCTACTTAAAGTATCAGCTGGTGTCTCACTGTCATCCGTGTTCTCCCTTGCATCATCATCATCATCATCAACAATAATATCATTCTCTATAAAGTCTGTTTGAGAATAATAGTACAGTCATTTAGGTGCGTTATTACAACCATCCTGGTTGGCATATTTTACTGTAATTGAGAAGATTATCAAGTACCACAGATTAATTCCTGATTATTTCAAGTCGGTTAATTTGTCATAATCAGGTGACAAATATACTTGTAGATTCTAGTTTCTTGTTAAAACAATTGAGCCCTGGGCACATCCATCCTTTGGTATAAAAATATCATACAGAGAAGAGTCTGTAATGGAATCATCTACAAATATGTATATTTTAACAGGCTTTCTTTTTATTTTTGCATGTGGGCACATATTATGAAATTTAGGTTAAGTTAAACCTGAGACAGCGCTGGCCAGCTGTCTCTTGTCGTATATATGCTTGGGCGCCTGATCACTTCGCAAGATTTATGGGTCATTTTACAGCCATTTTCTTGAGGGCAGGTCATTGCATTCGGGTGTGGTTGCTTGTCGTGGCTAGTGCTGGCAAACTTTTTTTTCTGTGCATTGTCTGGTATTACTTCGCACACAATACACAATACTATTATTCTTTAATAATAGTGTGTTAGCTGCTTTTCTTTAAATCTTACTACAATATTATAACAATATTAAGAAGTAATAATTAGACACAGTTGGAGTACTTCTTTTAAATAAATACGGTAAATAAAATACCATCTGAGAATCCAGCCCCAACAGTTTCTTGACAGCCAGCCTTATCTTGGCCTTCAGAGGAATCTCCTGTGACAACGCCTAACAAACCCAAAGAAGGAATTAAAAAGAACTTGTTGATTTAGAAACAAAACTTGGCAAGCATGGATGATTGAAAATTTACCTGAATCGAAATTTCTTTTAATCTCTTCACTGTATGTTTCATTATAGGAGACCGAAAAACCCTCAAATGATACGAAACAGTGATTTCTGAAAAAAAAAATACGTGTGGCATATTTTAATATGGTTAGTACACCTTATTGTCAGCTGCATATGAAGCTAATCATGAACTGAATTTCTCAGAAGGGGCTATGCGGAAATCTTACCAAAGCCTCTGACTCATCAAGTCTGTGACAATAAATTGTTACTTAATGCGGTACACAGACTGGATCATATAAACATGAATGAATACACCGTGTAATATTTTATCCACTATAAACTTACATTAGCGATGGAAGCCAGCAATATAACTTTTTCTCCATGTATGTGACATTAGAGACTTCTAGTAAATCACAAGTACTGTTTAACTCCTTGGGATAGTAATACGAGCCACCACTTGTGTTAGTCATCATGGAATAACCATATGATACCTAGTATAAAAATAAGAAACAGCAAATGTAACTACATTGTAACTGTGGATTTACACTGTATGTAAGAGAAATATCCTTTTTATATCCTTTTTTTTAAAAAAAAATAATGAAATGCATACTCTAAAATCAGTTTTGATTGTTATTGACAAATACACAATAAAGCTTTTACGTACAGTGAAATAAAAAAAAAGGTGTCAGAAAGCATCTTCGATTAAGAGAATGGTCTCTTAATTGTACATATTCCTTCTTTTTGTATTCATTCTTTTGCTTCAGGTGATCAATACCAAAAAAAGTTTTTAAATGAACAAGAAAACCTTAATTCAGATTGCCCACATCGCCGGTACTCAAATCGCTACTCTTTGCCTAGGCAAAATTATGACCTCAATTGTAATTAAGTTTGTTTGCCTCGTTGCTCCATTCACCTTGTTAGAAAAATTAGTGAACTACATCAGGAAAAGTATCTCCTAAAAACGATTCCACTGAGTTGATTGACAGGTGGTGAGCGAAGCGAAAAACGCCGTGAGCGTTGCCGTTAAAAAAATTCACATTCCCGTGAGCAAATTGAAATTGCCGTGAACAAGTTGAAATTGCCGTCTCCATACAAAGCTCTACAAAGGTGCGTGAAACGTTTCGCCAAATAACTCAGAAACTGTGGGCCACAGAGACCTGAGATTTCGACAAATTGTTTATAAATTAGTTTTTTCATAACATTTCGTTTTCTTGGCTTCTTCCACTGGGCGGTTTCTAATTTATTTGTTTTTGCCGTGTTTATTGCGTGACAGTGACAACGAAGAATTCTCGGATAACATTACCTAGCTGCGTTGGGTGTTACGCGGCGGGACTGGGAACTGGTAAACTTACCTTGCAGTCTTGGCATCGTAGGTTAAGCTTTGTTAACGGTTGTGGACCCCGCAATGTGTACACAATACCGCTGCTTGGTGGATTTGGAGCGATGAGAATTGATCCACAGTGGAGGCAGTCCGTCACGGGAGGTGCTATGAACCTACTAAAATTTACTTTGCCACTGCCATTTAGCCGGAACAACGCCGTTTCAAACTCGCTGGTGTAATCGTTCGCAAAAAAGGACCAGTTGGAACCAAATTCGTCGAGAAAGGTGACGACTTCTTCCATAATCTCAAGCGTGAGCCCTCTTTGAGGGCAAAGGAAATCGACTATTTTGTGAATAATGCCACTACGGGACTTCTTGTAACGGTCGAACGCTTTTGGGACGTGGTTAATTGCAAGCATGGTCCACATGACTACATCGAATCCGAGAAGGAGTGCAAGTAAGCCGGCGACGTCGAAGTTAACCGTCTGCACCGTTCCCAGCATTTCTTTTATCTTCACTAGACTAAGACTTTCCCGAAACTGTTGCACATTTTGCGCGAATTCACGAGCCTGGCTAATTTCGCTCAAGATAGCTTCGGCCGAAAAGTCGACCTTTCGCTTTTTGGACGCCATCTTCGAAAGGCCTGGGAACAACAACACGCTATACGCTACTACGCCACTACGCTACTACGGTATTATTACAACCTGCCTTTTATTTTTTATACTACGTAACTACGAGTAGTAGAACCGTAGTTTCAAAAATCTACCTCATAAAACGTGCCTCTCATGGCTATACGTGGTTTGCAGTCGACTGTGTAGTAGAAACTGATCTTATGGGAAAATAACCCACAAATTTCACAAAATGACGTCTTGCACATGAAATTTTCAGAATTTTAACATTTTTTTTCTCGGGCTCCCATGAAAAATAGTCTTTGGGTGTTATTGACCACTCCAGAAAATACCATAACATACCATAATGCTCTTTGTTTGTCACCCCAAAATTGCATTGTTTTCAGTTTCTCTTGGGGCCATTTTAACTGCCAAGAGAAACTGAAGACAATGCTTATGCAAAATTTTGGGGCGACAAACAAAGAGCATTATGGTATGTTATGGTATTTTTGGAGTGGTCAATTACAGATAACTAATTATATCTATAGTCCTTGAAAAATGTAAAAAAGAATGCGATATTGTTTAAATTATTCTGGTACAAGGTTTTTGTCCACTGAAAATCAAAATTACTTAATTTCCTGATGGATTCTGTCTTAATGTCTACATTGACGTGGAAAACAGAGAGAGACAAAAAACAAAAGGGATCAATTTTGTTGGAAGAAAAACAAGAAAGTTTTATAGCGGCGGTGAGAAAATGAGAAATGCTAGCGGCCAGCAAGGTGAAAATGAGCGGCAGTGAAAAAAATAAAAGTGAACGGAACACATATAACATTTTCTTCATAAAACGTGTAATTAGGGGCTCCACTCGCGCGTGCGTGGAGCTCCGTTATAGAGAAGATTTGAAGACAACCATATCGATTGCCTGCGTGCAGACGTCTCCTATTTCCTTTGTTCCGCGTGCAACAAAGGAAATAGGAGACGTCTGCACGCAGGCAACCATATCGAGAGAGATTATTTGTTGGAAACCCTTTCACAACATCCTAGACTATACAGAACTATTGAACTGCATGAAAACGACAAGTTTAACATGACAGACAGCGAACAGCTTTTAAGAGAAAACAACCCAGTAAAAAACCCATCACGATAGACAAGCCTCATTCAACCGAGACTGATAGATATGATCAACAGACGATAACGGGTTTTTTTCTCTACCGTAACATGACTCTGGGTCAACGTGCTGATGACAAGAACTTAAATTATTTTTTGTTCGAGCGATTCATCTCGAAGCTTAATGTAATTGACCCTAATATATAGTTAAAACCCTACATATACTGTCTCTCCTCACATTTACAGTGTACGTATTCAGAACACTTTCAGTAAAATACGGGTTGTATACACAAAAAGGTGTTAAAGCGAGCCGTGAACTTTCAAAGTTTATCGTGCATCAATCGTGCTTGTTCAACTGTTGAATAGGTGGAGACAGAGAAATTAGGAGAAGCATAACACTCGATCGTGCACGAATTTAATCGTACAGATACAAACAAAAGCAAAAAGTCTGGGCCACATTTAGAACAACTGTAAGCTCAATGATGCTAAGTCCCTGAAACTTGTACAGTACTCTTTTTCATCCACTTGGTATTTCAAGCTTCCGGTGAAGCTTTGCGTTCTCGAAGCTTCGCCGGTTATTTGCCCCCTGGCCAATGAGACTATGAGATAAACTTGAGTGCAAAATTCTCAAAGTTCCTGTTTTCGTCGGACGAGTCTTCTCTGTCCTTATCCGAAATTTTTGGACCTCCAAAAGGCGTGTATTGCTTGCATTAAAGAACAGAATCAATCTCGAAAATGGACAAACATGGTTTATGGATCACCCAACGCCCTTTGGGATACTGGGTTAATAACTGATAGTGTTCATTTTTTGACACCAATCTACGCTCTACATCTGTATTTAAAAATATCGCGCGAGTGATCAGCAGTGGTTCCACGCGAGATGGGCGCGTTTGTCGAGGAAGCGATAAAAATTCCTGTAAATAACTTTATATTGGTCATATTGTTAGCTTAAAAATTATTTGATTGTTTCACACAACAGGTATTGATTGTGTTGGAAAAAAAGTCTACTTTATTTGACAAAAAATTATAAAGTATTCATTTAAACTACTAAAACCAAGCTCGGTGCCGTCCTAACCTGTATCAATGAACCAAAAAAGAAGTTATATTGCTTTGGGGCAAAAACAATTTACAATGACACGAACGTCTGTATCTTCATATGAAAATTAACACAATAGTCGTGACTTTTTAGTGTTAACGTTCATCACGAAATAGTCAATTTGCCACGTAAAAAAAATTGAAAAGCTTTTCAGCCGTTTTAAGGGGCATGCACACCTAACCACTATTTCCTCCCAATATTTAAACCTTTAAAACCCCAAGAGTGACCAACATCCAACTTCTCCTTACAGTATCAATGCACTATCAAGAGAAAAAGTTATGAGAATTCATAAAATGATCACAACAGGGAAAATGCTTCGATATCTTATCCAATTCACCTAACTAATTCTCTAAGGAAATGTATGGAGATCAGTCTGGAGAATTTATATCCTGATACTGGGGCTTAAAGCGCTTTCTAGCCTATTAGAGTTCTTATAGACCTCTAGAAATGCATTTGAAGCGGTGCTATAAAATTTGTACGCGTTCGGTCATGCTAGGCTTTGTGAATTTACAAGCACTTCGGTATTGTTTTATTTATAATTTTAGATGTGTTAAATTTAAAGCTTTACGAAATTAAGAATTTCTCTGATTCCTCTCTCCATCTCATTCTCAAATCCGAAATTGTAGGTTTCCTATTTCTACGAATTACATGTACGGAGACTTTCTATGGTACATGTTATCAGTCTATAGCATGCTACGAGTAAAAAGCTGAAAAAGTCAAGAGGCTTGTTGACAAAACCGTTTCGGTTAGACCACTAACCACATATTTGACTATTGTACGTAATATTTCCTGCTTAACAAACATTTTGTAATAACCAGAGCTTTGTGTATGCCTCACTTCAATTTTCCTAGAAGCCAAAATAATGCCTTAATCCGTTGACCCATGAGACCTCGTATTATGTCTTTGGCGGAAGAATGAAAAGAACGTTTATAAGCGTCACGACATCGAACGCTTGATCGCGCCGAGGGACATCGCGCGTATCGAACACTTGACTAAACAGCACGCGTAAGGTATTTTTCACTCATCTCAGTCTAGCGATTTAAAAAGCAGCTCAAACATGAGGCGATTACATCAACATGCCCATGCCTTGTTAATCCTTATGCCTCTAAAGTTGAGATTTAGAGGCCGGCAATGGATTATATTCATTGCTATACATCGAGAACTTCAGTTGTTTTTTTGTTCCAAATGTTTACTAATTCAGAAACACTTTCTTTCTTCTCGTCTTCCTCAGGGTGCTCTTGATCTTGAGAGCTCCAGTTTGAATCCAGTTTTTCTCCATTTTGTAACGACACATTCGGGGGACTTTCGTCTATCGAAATGACAGTTCCCGAAATCAAATCTTCGGAATTCTGCGAATTCTCAGCGTTGCTGTGAGAATCTGTTGAAGGCAGCGAGGACACATGCACTGTCACGCTACCTTTTTCTGATTCAATTTCCTCCTTGCTCTCTCCTTGCCCTCCGTCTAAGTGATCTGGCGCTGAGTTTAACTCGTTCTCGTTGTGCACCACGCTTGATAAACTGCCAATCCCACTGCTTTCACTCTCGGAACTTTCACGGGCCCTGCTCAAGCTACCCCCTCTTGGTCTTGTGTACCGCGTAGCATCCCAACTCTCTCGTCTGTGTGTTATACTCTCGGGTAGCGGTTGAAAACTGAACTGAATGGGGCTGTAACCCGATTTGCGGAAGGTAGGTTTATCGGGTCTCCTCATAAAGCTTGGTAAACCGGAAACAGAATGAATACCACTCTCAGACGACTCGCTCTCGCCGCTCGTATCCGAATGAAATGACCCCGATCTTTCATTACGAGCGCCATCTTCTCGAGAAACTGAACCCTGACGCGGCAACTCGAAGCTGTGGAATGGCCGCGGCAAGCTTCCCGCGAAAGAGTGACGGTAAAAATTTGGAGCGGTGCGTTTTGCCGCTCTCTCTCTTCTCCTCACAACCTCTTCATTACTCGAGTCAGACTCGTCATTCTTTGTTCCATCAGCACGTTTTGGCTCATCTGCAATCTCCGATTCTTTAGTTCCGATATCAGGAATTTCTTGGCTTTTATCTTCAGCTCCGTCAACGGTGGAAAGCACATCGGAGGCGGGTTCGCCTGTGTACGATAACGTGACGGTTTCTGACTCAAGAGGCATTTTATTTTCATCGTTTAAAACGCCGTTTGTTATGGACGTTTGTTGAAGTTGACTCGTCAAATTGCCGTTCTCTGCCTCTAGTTGTTCCACTTTTTTTGTAAGTCTCATGATCTCTGTCTGCAGTCTCGTGTTTTCTTCTTGTTCATTGATCACCTTTTTCTCGGCTAGGCCTGATCGATCCAAAGCTTCTCCGAGTTGAGTTTTCACGCTCTCTTTCTCTGCTTCACTCTCCAATAAGCGCTTTCTTAGCCGCAATACTTCATCATCTTTTTCTTTCAGAGCACGCGTTGCTTGGTCTCTCTCCTCCATTAACACGTCACATAGACGCTGCAGTGATTCTTTTCGCGCCCTCATTTCGGAAAACTCATCAGAGACGGCATCTAAGCTTGGTACATCGTCGCTATCTGTTTGCCCAGGCAGTAGAGGAGTTATATCAGCTGATGCTTCGTCGCTACCGTCCATTACAACATCGACACTGTCATCTTGAGATCTAAGAGGCAAACAATCATCTGCGACGGCATCTGAGCTTGTAACAGCATCACCTCCATTTACATCTTCCATTTGTAAAGGACTTTCATGATCATCAACATGCACCTCTTCCACTGCGTTTCCGTCAGAAACAACAACATTATTCTGTTCTCCAGATTCAAGCGGCGAGGCACAGCTTGCAGCCTCTGTAACATCTCTCGAGTTCTTCGCGGGTTGTTCACTGATTTTCAGTTGGTCATCCCCGCAGTTGCCGTTAATCTCCACAACATTTTGGTTTAAGTCTTTCTCCAATTGCTCCATAGTTTCATTCGCTGCCATTGTTGCCTTTAAGCGTCTACTCGTACTCTATCTTTCGGTGATAACAATCGGCCCGGTATTCACGCTCGTGATTACGAGTACATATTCCACTTAAAAGCAGCTTTCCTATTGGTGCTTTTCATAAAAGGGAAGCCGGCTAATGCAGGCTTCTGTAATTTTTTACCTGCTCTCACGGAACAATCTTTTACTATACCTTTCAACTAAATCTGTCCTCTTAAAATCCACGCCACGTCAAATCGAATCACTAATGTTTCAGTTTTGAAACCTCATTTATTGTCAATCCCGTCGTGTTTTGCATAGACGTGCCGAGTATCATTGAATCTTTAATTCAACAAACTGAGTCCCTTTTGTTCGAAGACGTTACGCCCTAACGGTTCATTTGTTTGTATTTAGAGCTCTTGAAAGCTCCTGGTTCTGTAACTAGTGCCCTGGTCTCTCACAACTGTTGATATTTTTCTCAAGAATCGTGTTGGTTTGGGTTAATTCTCGCTTCCGCCTAATCTTATCCTTGCACAAGGCAGTCGCATTTCTTCAAGATCTTCATCACTAGAGCGACATTTTTGTGGCACATAGCTCGCTAATTCCTGAATATTTATTTCAAGTCGTCTTTTGTTTTCAATGAGTGCTTTTACCATTAAGTCACTATATCCAAATGACTTTTCTTGAGTTTCAGCTGCAATTCACGCGCGTCCTCGTGTGCCTGCCGTATTGCAGCTTCCTCGCGTGAGAGAAGTGTACTTAGTATCGTTCTTTGTTTCTCCAGCTCTGTTTTGCAGGTGGTGTACTTTGTTTGCAAATCTGCTGCGACTTCACGAAATTTTCGAACTTCTCCGGAAATTTCTCTACTTATCTCAAGGAAAATCCGTGACGTTCCTTCCTGAAAAGTTTGTTCACAACTTTTACAGCTCACCAAAGCCTCCAATCCGTTGATGCTGGGGCTGTAAAAAGGTACTTATGGTTGCTTTTTTCACCAGGACTACTGCTCTTCGTATCGTATAATTCAGCAAGTAACGCGGTTTTATCCCGGAGAGATTCTTCAAGGAAGCTTTCAAGTTGAGAATGTCGGTTTGCTTGCAATTTTATGAGCTCTTCTTCCAAATGTCTACTGTCGGTTTGAGACATGGAAGCGGCTGTGCCCAGCGAGCGCGTGGCGAGTTCCCCAACTTTGTGAAAACCATCGGCGGCATATTCAGTGTCACTTTCAAACAAGAACTGGTCCTTCCAATTTGCTTCCTTGCGGCTAACCTCTTCCTTAACATTTCTAGCGTTGCTTAGGAAGAAAAGAAATTTAGCATTTTCTAGAACTTTTTTCTCGGCAGTTTCCTTCGTTTCACTCAATTCATTTAGCAGTGCACTTTTTTCCTGGATCAACTTGTTAATGTAACTTTCGAGTACGCTAAGTTTTGCTCTTAATTTCAATAGATCTCCTTCCAAAGTTCCTTCCTCGTAATGACAAGTGCCCACCTCTGCGCCGAGCACCTGGGAATTATAAATAACATCTCCAGATTGTTCGACTGAGAGATTTTCCGAGCAATCGTTAGGACCGCTGTCTTCACGTTTCTCACTGTGGCGAAAATTTCTATCAGTAATAAACAATGGAAAGTCGCTAGCTCTTTCTTGTCCTCTTCTACCGACATCGTTGTTTGTCTTCAAAGATCGACCCGAAAACTGAGTTCCTATCCTCATTTGGTCCGAGTAGTGTTTACTCCCAAGAGAAAGTCTGTATATGCCGGCTTCTCGTTCAGTTTTAATACTAGCTTGGTTGTCTGTTGCAAACTCTTTATTCGTTTCAGCAGATAGTTTTTCTTCATTCTGAGGCTTAGGTGGATGATCTTTGCCAACGATAAAACGTTTGGATGTGCGAAACTTTCCAAGAGTGTTAGTGCTACCGTCTTTCTCAACTTCTCTCTCTGATTCACTGTTCAATTTACTCAACTTTTCTCTATGATGCGTTTGGTGCTCCACACTTCTAGATTTGTCCCAAACGTGAAGGGTGTGAAAATCCACTGAAAAGATTCTCTCAACATTGTCTTTTCTCTGACTTAACTCATTCGAAGACAGAAGTTTGTCTAAAAATTGACGCACTTCGAGTTTTTCACAACCAGAAGATCTTCTAGACGAATAGAACTCTCGAACGCTGGTTAGGTACTCTTCATTTCCTCTTACATCACTGATTTTCCTCTCGCCGCATATTTCTCTTCGAAATTTTGTTTTATTACGAGCGGTTTCACCGTCGCGAAAATTCGCCAAAGCATTAACTTTGCAAACAATCTGAGCGTTTTCGTTGTCTGCATCTGATTTCATCAGTTTGATTGTTTCACCTGGCAACTCAACTTCATCACGGGTTAAAATCTTCTTAGTCTGGCTTTCTAGTTTGGAGGTGTGTTCCCGCACCTTTAACTGGACTTCTCCTTTTTCAGGATGAAAACCTATTTGCTGCTTTGAGCCCTTAAGGAGGAGTTCCAAGACAGCAATTCTTTCTTCGAATCTTAAAATATGCTCTTGCAAAGCCAAATTTTGAACTTCCAAACTGTGGTGCGTACGCTCTGAATCCACTACTTTGCACCGAAAAGAAAGCAACTTGCCGTTCAAGTTATCTGTTTTATCGGCACAAAGAATAATTTCCTCTTCAATTCGATTCTCTTTCATCAACGAGCCGCAGCAAGAAGCGTCGAGGAGCCGAACTTTTTTCGACACTTCAAACTCTGGACGGCCATTAAGGTCGACACTTCTTAGTGAAGTGGCCTCTCTGGCGAGGGCCTCAAGCTTCGCAATCTTCTTTTTCGCGCTTACCAACCTTTGCTCCAGCCTAAATGAAGTTGTGTATTTCATCATGAGGCTTACACGCAAACGACTGCACGGTGTGTTTCAGCTTACGGGAAGAGATGTCAGATCCGAAATAACTTTTCACGCCGCAAAATTAACAGCCTTGCGAAGACAAAGAATTAATTTGCTTTTTCCTGGTTTCTTAAATTGCGGTTGCTGTATTTAACAATTTATGCCAATCCTCTTTGTCACTCTTTTCAGACGTTTACTTTCATGTGGTTTCTTGAGCGGTATCCCACCACTTTTGGCTGCTCGCAGTTTTATTCGTGGTCGGTTTCCCACCGTTTCTGTACCGCCAATCATCTTTCATTGGTCTTTCCGTTACTCATGCGGTTTCTAAGCTGATTGTCCGCTAATTCCTCGAAGGTCATCTCGGTTTGTTGTCATTTGTTGGCTAAATGCGGTATATTTAGCAGTTAACTCCCCGTCAGGCAAAATTTGCCTTCGCTCCAACTACTTAATTGTCACGTTTTTGAAAAAATACTTGGCAAAGCAGAATACTGAATTTCCCTTCCTAGATTACTGATTACATTTTGGTGAAGATTCTCAGGCTTTAAGAAAACGAGATTGTTTTAGCAATTTGAAGATAGGTGAAAAACTACACGTAAACGGAAAAAGTATGTTATAAAGAACATGTGCCAACATAGTTTGTTTAATTATGCACGAGAAAATAAGTAAATATTGATACTACAAGTTTAATACATGCACAGGTGGACTGATTTTTTCATAGCTGTTTGCTACAAATCGGCAGTTCAGTATATTTTAAGTTATTGAGAAGCGTGCCTTTTTGGGAGCACAGTAAAACCACTAAGCCACGAATGTTTAGTATCGTAAAAAAAGGATACCTAAAAATTTTGCTGAATATAGAAGTACAAACAGCAACTTTATACAATGGGCTAGGCCAAGCTCAGACGTCAAACTGTTGTTTGAGCCGAACCCAGTTCAAATGCTAGTCGCTCTCTTCTATCTTATTGTTATGGTGGCGGGCGTCGGTGCAAAGCGGCTACCAACTGCCTCAAATTTCCAAAGATTATGCCTCCGAAATCTTTGGATGGCGATTCCGCGCGAGTCCCGAAGGTCTCACGTGCCAGTGACGGCAAAGGCCCTTTTAATCAATGCTGACAAAATGCGAAAGTTAATTAAAAGAAGTTTCTTCCATCATTGTGGGACGATCATTTACTGCGCATGCGTTGTTGAAGCAATAAAAAATCTAAGCGATATTTCTATAATGACAAAAGTTATAGAAAAGCTTTAAGTGCATTTTACTCCGAATGCACTGAAAAAAAAATTCAACTTTTGTGGACTCATTTTTTCGTAGCCTGCGGACACAGATCACGTGGAGAGAAGCGACGACCCGAAATACGTCTGTGTCCGTAGGCTAATTTTTTCGCTGACCCGGCGAATACCCGATGACCTTGAAAGATATAAGAACGATTAACAACTCTAATCAGTCAACGACTATTTGAAGATTTTTGTCGCTGATCTCTTAGCCAACAAAGTAAAAATATATGGTCACTTACGAATTTCAGGTTTAAAACATTTCTAACCTGCTCCTAATTTCATTGCCGTGTCAATATCCCTGGCTGACGCATCCCCTAAGACAAAAAGAACAAAATGTTTAAGAACATGTTAAGTGTGTAATTGAATGATAATATATGATAATGTTCATCTCTATCCCAAGGGCAGCGAAATTGTTATGGGGAAAGAGTACAAGAAGAACCGCCGGGAGACCTTAGCAGTCGTTTCGCTACCAAACATTTCGCCACAAATCGTTTCACTGCATATCGATTGAGTAGTTTGGCAGTAGATTCCCTTCGCATCAATTTGAAAAACATACAAAAAGCTTTGGTTTTAGTGATGCTATTATAGATATATGTGAGCTTAAGACTTAAGCTTGTATTAGCAAGACTTGCATGAAACTTGAGGACTCTTAAAAGACTCATTGGTTTGTTGCGCGGTTATCGAACTTCTTAAGTCCAAGACTTTCTTAGTGTGTGCAGCGGAGAGCTACATTCATGACACCAAAGAGAGATGGAACGAGCTTCTTTTACTTCCGCTGCATTCTCCATTTCTGTATTCAACCCTTCTTGTCGATAATTTCTGCGTTGGATAGTTGGTAGATCGGACAATGGACTAACAGTAAACGAAAGTACGGTATGTCTTTGAAGCGACTCAACTTCTATTATGAGGACAGTCTATTTCTTGAGGTGTGCCAGGCTCTCGGTCAGTGCAGACGAGTCAAAAAGGCGGGCCAGCAGTGAAAAGTCCCCTGTGGTTTTCGCGCACCTTCTCTCGACGCGCTCTCTTGGAGACTGGAACAAGCTACGAAACGACCGCACACCCCAGGAGAGTGTCTGAGCACTTTTACTCTTGATTCTGATTGGACAGGAAATATTTTCTGCCCAATCAGATGCAGAGAATTCACACAGTAAGGGCAAGTGTCCATTGAATATTCCATCCCCAATCTCAGCCCCTAGCTGTTCGAAAATGTATTTACTAACCACTAACTTCCGTTGTAGAAACCTCCACACCCATTTTACATTGAAAAAATATTCAGCATCCCAGTCTAATGAGTCTTTTTTCGCCTTAGTTTTCCCTTAATAACAAAACAAAAGCTTATCGAAAATCCTTAAAATGTTCCATGATGAGTGTCACATACCATCCACATGTTAAGGGTAACTATGGTAACCTAAACAACAGCTATGCCTTTTGACAAAGCCAGCTGCTCCAGTGTTGTCCTGTAGGATTAACTTCTACATGTAGTTTGTTACTTACAGGAACTTACTTTGAAATGTAACAAACGAAACCTTGTCAGACTGGGCATACACGTGTGGTAGTTGACGTTAAAGGGTTTTTTACTTTTTTGGTTTTCCCCACAATCCAAAAACTGACTGAAACTAGTCAGTTCTGCCGGTTCATACCTCTCTCGAGCATTCTGACGGCTTCCATTATGTACGGCACAAGCAAACGATTCACAACAAAACCTGGTGTATCCTATAAAGAAACAAAATTGATTAACCATTAAAAGATACTTTAGTGTGCATAATAATAGGGAGCCAAGAATGTTGCAATGGTGAGAGATCCACCTTCTTCTGTGCATGAACCCAGCCTCCATAATTATTATGGAGGCTAGAAGGCAATCTTTTGAGTTTGTTGTACGTTGTTGGCGACCTTCCCTACTCCCAGGGGTATTTTCTGGCAATCTTCTTCTCAAAAAACAAAATTTATAATCAAAAATTCTAATTTAATCAGGGACGTGGTAGACAAAGAATTGATCGCCTTGTGGATGCGCTTACCTCTAAATAATTTTGACTACTGCACGGGAACCTCTAGATAGTGAAGGGCCAAAGGACTTGCAAAATTTGTTCACTACAACGAGGTTTCGTTATATCGAGATTCTTTTTCATATCTTTTAGTATTACTGGGGTAAAGAGAATCGTTTTCTATGGAGGTTCATTAAGTCCAGGTTCCACTGTATTTACCTACTTAATATTTACTTACTTACTTATTCATTTATTTTACACTCTAAAATAGGGTATCAAATTTTAAATCAGAACTGAAATAGGATAAGGGAAAATATGAACAGGGTACAGGATGGTTGTTAGATGCATATCATACTACACATCCACGCCCACTTTTGCGGTACTTGTACATGTTTTACCCTCTTCCCCTCCTTCTTTCTTCAACTTGACTAGGACTTCTGGAGACCCTCATTTTGTCCACTTTTAGAGGCGTCTGCATAATGCAGTTTTATCTTAAAGCAAATACCCAGAGAAAAATTTGAGACTGTGGCTCGTGAATGTCAGGGCAAAGACTACACCCCCACCCACAATTCTGATAACCCTCCTTTCCTCCTACTTTCCCACACTAGGCCGGGGCAGATCTAGGGGGAGGGTGCAGGGGTGCCCCCCCGAGATGACCTGCGGTTTTCTAATACAACTGGTATTCTGCAAAAAAAAACTATGTGGTTTATTGGTGTTGAAGTACAGCAAGAGACGAGTGCACCCCCTCCTAAAAAAAATCCTGGATCTGCCCCTGTAGGCCCTCTGGAGGGCCTTACTTTGTCCACTTTTAGAGGTGTCTTCTTAATACAGTTTTATCCTTTAGAAATTACCCAAAGAGAAATAATATTTGAGATTGAGGCTTGTGAATGTCAGTGCAAGGAATACCTTGTCAAAACTCCACCCACAATTCTGGTGTTACCCATTTTTCTTCCTTCTTTCCCACACTAGGCCACCTGGAGACCCTCACTCAGAGAAAGGTTTGTGACTGAGGTTCTTGAATATCAGGGCAAGGACTACAAAATGTATTGATGCAGCAGTCATTAGAACAGCTCAGGTAACTGGAAGATTGGGTGGGCAACCAAAACATTAGTTGATGAATTAAAAAATAAAATTGTGGACAAACCTTGCAAGAAACAGGTACTTTGCCAAGTTCTTTGCTAAACTGGAACAGGGCATCAAAAGTGTCATCTGTTGTTTCTGGGGTTCGTACAACCTACCATGATACATAATTATATAAAAAAGGAGATCAGCCGAAAATAAACTGCATGCTCATCACAAGACCCATTTGCATACAATGAAAGTTTACAACACCCAACCAGGCATCGCAGTTTTCAAGGTTGTCACTAAGATTTCAAGTTGCCGGGTAAATACAACAAGTAGGAGGGGAATCAAACGGCTAGGGATTTCCTTTGGTGCTATTTTTCTTCTACTTTCCCATAAAAGTAGCCAGAGGCCACTCTCTTAGTAGCCGGGGAAAATCCCCGGCCCCCGGCTCTTAATGTCATCCCTACAGTTTTGCTAATAAAGATTCTTATTTTTTTGGCCACTCAGTTGTGTTCACTTGTTCCAAAGTAATCAACACTTTCACGCGATAGAATTCATGGACCGACATGTTTTGAAAGCTCTAAATTTAATCTTTCCTAAGCTTTCTTTGCAAAACATGCATAGCTTCGGTTATGCAAGGATTCTTATTCCCAGTTTTCCATGGTCTCCGTTAGGAACGCCTGGCACAATGACACACCATTTGTGTCATAAATACGAAGAAAAATGGCTTGCAGATTATGAGTCTCGCTGCTTAACCAAACGAGACTAATTAGCATAACAAAAACAAATGGGAAATAAAATTTAAACAAAGGATAAAAGAATGGCTACCAGTAGTGTGAGAAAATAAAAATGTTATATGCCTTCCCTAACCCTAAAATCAAACAAGAACGTGTATGCAGCCATGTACCTCTACCAACTTCATCATAGGGACAGGATTAAAAAAGTGAAGTCCACCAAACTTGTCCTTCCTTTTTGTAACACTTGCTATCTCTCTTATTGGTAAAGAGGAGGTGTTGGATGCAAAGATAGTGTGACTGCAAAAAACAAACAAACAAACAAATGCCCTAAGTATCCACCACTAGATGGACATTTCAGAATGGTAAGCACTTTGCTTGAGGACAGCGCAGATTATTTTGAAATTGACAGCGAAAAGTGACATCAATTTTGAATAAATATATTCTGTATATGAAAACCGTACTCACCAAGCCAGGCGAGTGATCCTTGATTTGTACTCGCCTGATGGTTTTGGAACTTGCGTGCTAGGTGAGAGGGCAAGTGCCAATGTCCAACCCTGGGTATCTCTTTCACATATACCAGGTTTGGATTAACTTTACATCTCTTTTACAGTCAAGCAGGTCAAGCGTTCTCGACCGTTAACAAACTAATGAATTCATTAATGGGAAAATGATTTCATTTGTTGATTCAAAAAATCCATTCATAAATACCTGGGTGCAGCATTGTCAAGGTCTGTGAAGAGTTTATGTTTAGTGCGCATGTTTTCCACAATGGCCTCTATTAACAGATCTGTGTCACCAATTGCAGTATTGGGTTCTGTAGTGATTGTTATCCTACCCAGGGTATCAGCAACAAATTTGTTTCCACCCTAGAATGCAAAGCAGTTATAGTCCATTACTGACTTCAAAGTTAAGGACATCTGACAGATTGGCAAAAAGAAGAAGGCTGTTGAGATGTCTAAAACATTGAGCAAAGACATGATATACCATATTTTATTCAATTAAGCACCCAACCTCAAATAAGTGTCCACCTAGAATAAGTGCCCACCCCTGTCCCCCTCCACCCCCCCCCAAAAAAATCAAGTTTTCTGCACAAGGTGATTAAAATAGACTATTAAAATATATATGTACTTCTAAGAGACTTCCCCCACAGACTGAGGTTTCTTAGTATTTTAAAACACTTTAATGAACAGTACTGTTAATATTCTTTTTTTGGTACATCTTTGCATTTTGTTATCATTTATTGGTTTGGTGCAAAATAAAATCAATGACTACTACCTGAAAAGTGTGAAATTTAATAAGCACCCAACCTAGAAAAAGTACCCACCTTGAACTGAACAAGCGCCCACTCTCAAGGTCCAAAAATTAAATAAGCACCCAGGGTGCTTAATCGGATAAATACGGTAACAACATGTCTTATTTAAATTTGGAGTCTTAAGACAATCTCAGTACTGGCACCTCTATTGGACTTATAACAAAATATAGCAAAATATTCTCAATAGATCTTTAATTTTTAAAGATTAAATGGTAACATAATGTCAAGTTTTCCAACTGTGATGTAACCATAGTGAGGATTAATAGAGTTCTGTGGTATTACATTAACAATGTTCAGTAGGTAAACATTATAAATAGGTACCTGCGCCCATCGCCTGTTGATCATTTTAATTTTTACCCACCTCTGCATCATCTTTGAACTTTTTCTTTGCAACTCTGTCCAAGCTTTTCTCAATGGATCTCATAGATTTTGTCAAAATTGCATTTGTTTGATCCACCATCGTCACTTGATGATTTGTGGCTGCAGCAACCTAATAAACCATTGGCAGGATTAGCTCTTAGTTGATAGAATGGTGGGGGTTCTGGGTTTGATCCCTGGTAAACAAAAAAACTTTTTTCAATGGTTTCATTGATAAATTTGAGTCAAGCAGACAAAGCATTACCTGTTAAAACTTCCAAACCAAATTTCATTGCAAACCGGAAAGCCATTTTGCTCAAAACTTAATGCAAGTTTGGTGTCCCTCGCTCGGTGGAGCTGGAGGTGAATAACTGAATAGCAGTGAATATCCTGAGCTTGATCAGCCAATCAGAGTGTGTGAAAAACACTATCCACTGTTTTAGTATTATATACTAATCACTGATATTTGGTGACTGACATCAATAACGGTATAAATATTCTAAATATATTTCAAAGTTAGTATTAAAGTACCAGCCAGTCATGAAGAACTAGTCAGGATATTTGAACCAATCAGAAACAGAAAGAATATTTAAAGCTTCAATGAATAATAATATAAACTTAATAATTATCGTTAAAATTAATGGCACTGATGATATTCATATATATTTCATTATCTGTAAAAGAAGATGCATGATTAGGATTATTATTAGTACTTATTCATAAAAGCAATACATGACATTTAATAAACAACTAAATTCTTCGATCAAATCAAAGATCAAGTTGTTAAAAGCTAAAATATTTTCATTCGAACCTGAGCAATCCCAGCTCCCATGAGACCGCTTCCAATGACCATAACATTCTTTATAGCACTTTGACTAGAAGACGTGCTGAAAAACGCCGAAATAGCGGCCAAGTTTTTCCGCAATAATGCATGTCTCAGAGGCTGAGCAGATGATAGTTTTGAGGCTGTACAGTGGAAAAGAGAAGCCATGTTTCCAGTCACGCACAACTCGATGAATGGAAGAGGGAAAATTAGGGAGGGACTGGAAACTAATGGCCAATGTCCATTTTTGGCACAGTAGTGCAGTCAAGGGAAATCCATTTTTCTAACCAAAAACCAAAAAAAAGAAAAATGCATTACGATACATGACTAGAATCAGACTTACAGCAACCAACAGGAACCGTTATCTAAATGCAGTGCTTCTGTGATCTGATACAGCGATATTTGGCGGGCCCGCGGTCTTTTCGACCAATCGCAAGCACACAGCACGCACCATGTATGACGAAACAAACTTTCGTTTATTAGCTTTATATCCGTTTCTTAGGTAGGTGAAATATTTTCTAATTTTTCTGTTGAAGCTCTTGTTCTTTCCACAGAAGGTTGCTATGGAGTGTCTCGGTTCTTTTTCTTATTTTTTTTTTTAGCGGGGAGTGGGGGGAGGTGGGGGGGGGGGAGTTGACTTGGCCAGCGGCTGTGCTTCTTATGGGATAGATCGAATAGATCGTGATTGATCAAAGGTCGTCGAAGGTCGAAACGCACGGTAAGTCATCCTTCTAATTAGCTCTTACAGCAGTGTAGATAAAGCATTGAAAAGTTTATTTCTGTCATTGCCTTCTCTAACTGAGTTTACTGCAACATCGGTTGCTAAAAGTAAGCACGTCATCGTCAAACTTTACGGTAAAGTTATGACTAATATATTTTGTTATGCCGACTCGTGTCTTGCTCGTGTCCGTATTTTCTCGCCCCCACTGTGCACTTTTCGTCTATTTTTTCGTTTTACAGCAATTTAAAGCAGCCCGTGAACTGGAATGGCAGATAGCGCAGCTAAGACTGCACTGGAATATCTTAGAGACCCAGCAGTTATCACAGGTCTTGGAGCAGCAGCTGTCGCCTCAATGTACTACCTAGCATCACGACCCACTCCACAACCATGTCCCGTCGACCCCATGAAACAATCGTACGAGTTACCGGTGAGTAGCCTAATACCACGTGTGATAGTAAGTGATACTTAAAGTGCTTTAGTTGGCATTGGTTTCGATCGGTTTGTTTCAATATCATGATATGAATATGCAATTTTTTGTTGAAATTGTTCTTTGGTGACAAGATTGAATACGTTGTCTTTTTGGCCGTGAAGCCAATAAGTTTATTTTTTTCTGGACTTTACTCTTCAAGCTGAGAAAATACATGAAGAACACGCGGATGCCAGTCTCAAGAATGATGTAAATGCCCATATATGGAGTAACTTTTACTTATCTACAGTTGGAAAGACTCCAATAATTCTTTGTGCAACACACCCCCTCATTCAATCAAAGTAGGAGGTTTTTTTTTTACCCCAAAGCTCATATTGTGCATCAATATTCTTTAATAAGGTTGCAAGATTCCATTTTAATCTTATTTATAATTTTGGGCATATATGATATGATGGAGGGAGTCTTCAGTCCTTCAAATGCCAATAAACCCACCCTGTCATTTTATAATTTTTGACCAATTTAGCCTGCATAGTAAGCATTTCTGTGCGATTTTGTTGAGAAAGTTGGGACGAGAGCATAAAAAAGAAGATGGTGGAGGGGAGAGAAAGAAACCCTTGCCTGCAAACCTCACGATTTTAAAAAACTGCTTTTGCCTACGAGTGCAGCTTCTGATTTGTGCTTTGATGTTAGTGTTGATTGCATAGCAATCAATGCATCAATCAAACTAGATATGTTTTGTTTGTGTGCGTCGCAGATCTAGTCCAATATGATCTCTGGTCGTAGATTAAAAATGCTTAAATGGACTGCTATTTATTATTGGAATCGTGTTTGTGTGAAGGTTTACCAGATCTGAGCTAAAACGAGGCCTCGCTAGCATCGTTGTCACTTCGCCCCTTCAAGGTGTTACCCTGTGAGCAGATGTTTTTCTTTTGCATGGCTTTTGGCGTTTCTTGTCTGTGGCGTAGGTGGTTGGCATGTCTTGTCTGTGGCGTAGTTGGTTTGTTTTTGCTCTGTTTCTCACGGGGGTTTCTCAATGCGACAGGGACAAAGAAAGGCACAAGTACAATAATAGTAAATACTGACAGCGACATGCCTTCCTCCTGAGGGTGCAAAACAACGGGCTTCGAAATTCAGACTAGGGACATACAATCTATGCCAATGCCCCCCTCCCCCCCCCTACTTAAGAGGGCCTCTCCGAAAGATGTCAAAGAGAGTAACACAGAGAAAATGACCACTGAACATACGGTTTGAATAGTCTTCTTATGTTGTGTTTTATTTCCTTCAGCTTGGGAGCCTGGAAGCATGTGTTTGAATATTATTGTTTTAAAGGTAACCTTTTTAATGTGAAAGTCTCTGGTTTGTAATAGACATCTAAATTGTATTTGTAGGATGGTGATTATGCCAGAATGAATTCTCTGACAACAGAACTGGTTGAAAGACTGTTTGATGATGTGACCACAAGCCATGAAGCCTTTCTACGTGGAGTTAGGATATCAGGTAATAATAATAATATTAATAAAAATAATAATAATAATAATAATAATAATAATAATCAGGGTGGCCATTAGGCATCGGAGATTGGAGAATTCTCCATTTACAATGCAGAATTCTTGAACTAATGTTCGGCAGTTTATGACTATTTTTTATTCAGACGTGGAGCCTCTTTTAAAATATTCTCCAGTAACGTCATACCTTTCTCCTGCTATTAGGATTCTTAACGAAAACCCTGAATAATTCAGTTATTTACCCTCGGCAGTATTTATAGCACTAATGCTAGTGCGGCTGAGCAAGTGCCTGAAGCAAATATTCAAATTGAACTTAATGGGGTTAAGAATCCCAACTGGCCAGCTGGATATTTACAACCGTGGCTGAGGATATGAACTTGGGACTACCATGAACAAAGTGAACTAGTGGTTAGAGTGGGACTTGAACTCAGGGTCTCCGAATCGCAAGTGCAGCTCTTAACCACCCTGCTACTCTGCCTTCTAATAAGGTTACATTGTATTACTCAGAGTTATCACAGAAAACGCAAGATTAAAATAACTGCAAGTGCTATTAACTACCTGACCTCTCCACAAATTGTCCTTTTAATGGCAAATGGTCGATGTGTTTCCACTAACATTTTTTAACATGTTGACTGCAAAATAATAATTGTGACCTTTTCACAAATGCAGTGCCCACAAAAGTGCATCCTACATGTGGATGCTAGAATGACCTCTCCAGTGGCCATTTGCTTTAAAAGCAAAGAATATACATTCCGATGTACTCAATTTACATTACTCACTTTGCGTTGTGAGAATTTTTGTTTCACTCATTAATTTCAATTCTTTTACATGTTAATCAACTTAATTCATTTTTTAATAAAATTTTTAAGATAAAAAAGGCTAACCTTTTGCCCCAAAAAGGCTAATCGATGTATATTTGGCTCCCTACAAATACATTTATTCCTCGTCACCACAGGCATCTCTCTTCTGTGGCTACTATGTGGTTGATAGGCTCTATTTCTGCCAAGTGCTGTCTTTATCCTCCCCAAGAAGAGATGACTGGACAAATGCGTGGCCAGTTGTGTCTGTAACTGCTCGGGGAAGGAGTGCCAGCTCATATCTCAAGTAGCAGCTGGTAATTGAGCGCAGGTGGTGGGCAGGTCAAACTGTTATCATAAAGTCTTACTTTTTTTATTTCAGGAGACAAGCCATGCCTTGGTCACCGTAGCAGTCCAGGAGGTCCATATACCTGGCTTACATACAATGAGGTACCTACTGCATGGTACATGTATCTTTTACAGGTCAAAATTATATACTCAGGTTAAAATTTTTTAACCTAGGTTGATTCTCATTTTGCTTTTTCTCCTAACCCTTAATTCATGAATAATAAAGACTAGGAGATAGAGAATCAACCTAGGTTACAAAAAAATTAACATGGCTTTTTTTCTGACCTGTAACATATCCACTGTAAACTGTCTAAAACCTGTTCATTCCCCGAAATTGTGAAATGCAAAATTTACAGTAAGAAAATCTCCTAATTACATTTTATTTTTTTAAAAATGCTCTAATACCCAAATAAAGATCCTCCTGAGTCTGTATGTACTTGCTCATTCATCTGGATGATTGAATTCAACCTACTTATCACTAAGCTTAACATCAGCCTTACCTTTCGTAACATGCTTGCAATTAATAGTTGTGATATTATATACATTATTATAGAAAATTAATGATGCACTTTATTAAAAAATCACGTTAATTTGATGCATCTTAATTTATGTTGATGTTAATTTAAATCACACTAGTATACATCATTGTTGTTTTACAGCACCTTTATTTCAATAACAAAACCTCGTCTGCTCATAGTTCCTCTGTCAACGCCTCGGAGTCACTATCTGATAATTCTTTAAGAACTGAGTTCAGAATGTCTTTCGACTGGTCTTCATATTGATCCATTTCCCTGAGGGGATAGCTAACTTCTTAGTCTTTCTTCTTAAAATTTCCATGGCCCGTTCATCCTCCCACTGCACAGTCACCTCAATGTTGAGAAGTTTGTTTTGCAGCAAATTCGCATAAAATAAAGTTAGGCACACATTGTTTTCGAAAATTTTGTGTGAATTTGATGTATGTAACCCTAACTTTTGGAAAATTCAGGTTAATTTTGTGTAATGTAAATTTTCTTTGCGTTGTCAACATGCTTCGGAAATCCCCATAATAATGTATACCTGTAACTCCATATTAATTTTACACAAGTATATGTCAAACCTGTATAACATTAAACCTTTATCAAAGTATTAAAAACTTGTCAGATCTTTGTCATCCCTTGAAAGAAAGTCAAGGTAAAAAATTAATTATAAATTAATTTTAGCACCCATTGTGGTCAGTTTTGATTATGCCTGCAGTGTACCAGAATGTTTACTAGGTAATTTTTATATTTATTTCATTTCATTTAATTTTTTTTTGCTCAATGTAGGTCCTTGAACGTTCTACAGACACTGGCTCAGGGTTGATAGAGCTTGGCTGTCACCCCGGTGATGATGGCTACACATTTGTTGGTGTCTATGCTCCAAACAAAATTGAGGTGACTAAACATTATAACATCTTTTCTGACTACGAAACAAACTTTTTTCTCAATAATATTATATAGATTTAGCCAGGGCTAAAAGTGAAGCTCTCAATAATATCTATAGTTTGCTCAAACAAAATATAAAGTCATGTAAGGCAACGAGAAAGGTGAAAAAACAACAATAGGTCTAATTAGCAAAAAAGCAACTTTGTACGTGCAGCACACTTTTTCATACATTTCGTTGCCGTTGTTTTGCACGGCTACAATGTGAAACTTCAAGAAACTCCCTGGTTACTCATTTACGGAGGAAATGTCACAAGTGTTCTTGTTCATTTTTTTTTCACTGCCACTCATTTTCACGCACCCTGGTGGCCACTAGCATTTCTTATTTTCCCACCACTGCTACAAAATTCCAACAAAAAAATGTCTCTTTTGTCTTCTATCTCTCACTCTTTTTCTTGTTGGGCTTTGCTGGCCTGTTGCCTACTTTCTCTTTTTCTCTTTCTCTCTCTTTCTCTGTATTCCAGATTTGTGGACATAACAATATTTATTAATCTAAGCTTAATACTTTAGACAACATGGATACAGAAACAATTTCCGCTTTCCGTTTTCATCTTTATTGACTCTTTTAAGTTGTCTCTGCTTCACAAGACGAGGGTGGCTATGTGATTTCCTCCCAAAATAACCTCAAGTTGCCATACCTGTATTTTGGTTGAGTTATTTTTCATTGGTATGCCTGTGGTGTGGATGGACGGTTGGGCGGGTAGGCGGGCATACAGCCACATGACTACCAAAATTTCTCGCGTGCACAGGTTACCAAAGTTTCTCACCCATAGTGTTCCACTGTGTGTGCTTCACACATGCGAGAGCTCCACTAATATTTTATTATTTCTACTGTCTGATTGATGAGATTTTCATGAACATTATGTACCAATTTTATTCTCAGCAATATAGTTTTTGAATGGAGAGTTTAGTGCTTTTGTGTGGATAGTTGAATTGATCCCTTTTCAAGCTGACAAAGTAATTGTTTCTTATTTGTATTATTTATTTCAAGTTTTCAACAAGACAAAAATTAATGTTGTACAGCTTTTCTTTTCTTTGTAATCTCACTTTAAACTCCTAAACTTTTCTGGTCTCTAGCAAATTACAGTTTCTCTCTCCCGATAAAATTGTTGAATTTATGGTCAAGCCCAGACATGCATGGAAGTACATTAACTTACTCGTGGTACACATGGTCTTTCCCACAAAGCAGGGGTGAAGCGGAAATCCCTTGCTTATGGTTTCCCACTCTCACTAATCAAGTCCAAGCGTGAAAGTGATTTATACACAGTCTTCCCCAACACTATAATACATGTACAGCTGTACTGTTAAAAACATTTTCCGTAATTTCTACTGTAGACTTGCAGCAGTATATAGGACGACAGTATCTTCTTTTAAGCCAGTTCATTATTGTTATTTTTTAATTTAATACATGTATCTCCTGATATATGCAGAGTTTGTTTATGTGCATTACACATTAAAATAATGAAAAGCGAAGTTTTCATTCAAACCTGTCAACATGCCATATATACATTTCTAGTTATATCTTTTGTATAATTAGTAGAAAAACTGCTAGGGATTCATGACACTTAATGTACATGTAGTTAATATCAAGTTCTATCACTCAGTCGTATGGTTGTTCATTTTATTTTGTGGTTTTTTCTCTTTTAGTGGGTGTTTGTAGAGCAGGCATGTAATATGTTCTCTCTCACCATAGTTCCATTGTATGATACCCTTGGCTTAGATTCTTGTGTCTTCATTATCAATCAAGGTAAGAAATTAATTTATTATCGTAAGCCTATTGTCTATAACAGTGTTAAGGTATCAGCCACCCTTAAAATTGCCATTTTTCCATATTTGAGGTTTCAACGTTTTCAAATAGATATGCTTGAGAGCTTTCTTTCAAAAAAAAAAATCAGAAGAAAATATTATTTCTGTCGAAAGATATCGGTGGTAAAAGATTTTTTCTCGTTAATTATCTTAATTGATCATTGACAAGATCTGTCATACCCGTGTCATATCAATTAACTTGCCTGTGAACTAGTAACGTGATTCCGCGTGCGTGATTGGACACAACACGTGCGAATTGTCTTCGCGTTGTTTATAGCCTTTAGTATTCTCCGTGGATATTTAGCGTTTGCTTCGGTGAAAATGCCGCCAAGAAAAAAGAAAAGGTCGTGTCCGTTTTCGTCATCAAAACCGAGAGCGAAAAGGAAATCGAATGGGCCGCAAAATTTTATCAGCAAGAGAAGTGGCTCGAGGAGTTGGATATTCAGAAAAGCGAAAATGCTGCAGTTGCTGAGAGTGCAAGCCGCTCCAAAATCCAGCTTGAAGAGCCAGATGAAGAAAGCCAATTAAGCTCATCGACCGCATCTGCTGATGGAACGTGGAAAACAATAAGCGGTTGAGCTATCGTATCGAGAGAAAAGCTGCTTGAGAAACTGGATGAGTCTGTATCTTGTCGATTTTGCCGGGGAAGAGTCCAAGTCATGGAAAATGTAGCGACTAAGCATGGACTTGGTTCTATCTGGAGAATCCAGTGTGAGAATGAAAGCTGTCCGTCGCACAAGACAAATTCTGTTTTTAATTCTTCTGAGAAGAGCAGAGCGTTTGAAATAAACTGGACCTCAGTTCTTGGCCTTCGAGCAATCGGTGGTGGACATTCGGCGGCTTCAAAATTTTTTAGTTTCCTTGGCCTGGCGCCGATCAACAAATCATACAAAAAAGATCGAAGGAGAAACAAAACTTTTGCTCGAGAAAGAATTAAACCGTGCTTCTCGTGTTGTAAAAGAGTGGAAGTTTTCCTGTTACATGTTACCTGTCAAAGTCCTATTGTTAGAGAAAATTGATCCCTCTCTGATATCAATCAGAATAAACATTTAGGTGTTATAATCTCATTCCAGGTAGGATGCCGCCACAAATGTATTTTCTTTTTTATCTCCGAACGCAAATTTTGCCGATCGACTCGTACGTTTTGAACTCCAAGTCGGCAGCCTTTCAATCAATTTGGCTAAAATTTGGCCAGAGTGATTCCTTATATCTCTTCTACAAAACCGTGTCTGTGAATTTTAATACTCCTTTTTATTTTAAAGCTAGAGCTTTTTTTCCACAGGGAGTGTTGACTTATTGCCTTCCCCAACTTCATTTGCTAATAAAAGAAAAACAAACGCACTTGTCAAAAATCTGAGACACGGTTTTTGAGTGGAACATGTTGAGAAGCAAATGCGATGTTAATTGTTTTCTTCCGTTTATTTCCGGCGGGAGTGGAACATGATTTATAGAGACGTGTACGTTTACACAAAGCGTCCCAATTTCGAAACACATTTAAGTAAATCGTTTTTGTTAGTTCAAATCCATAATCTGGAATTATTAAGCTTTTAAAAAATATATGGTTTATAGGGGTTTTTATAAAAACAACTGATGCTACAGCGATCTGCGCGCGGACGGTCCTGAAGGGTGGCTGATACCTTAATGACACTTACTTCAATGGCTGGTTTCGTAGGGGAGGAGACACAATCACAGACAAAAGTAGTTGGGAAGGTTGTACAAATTAACGGTAGTTCATTTTAATCCTCAAAAAAGAGAGTTTTCTCTTTTGCTAAATATTCCCTGTCCCCCCTATTCAATGTTGGGATGTAACAGAACAATTACACGCACAAACATTAACGTTTTGCTCAACATTGGGCCAGGGGCAGGGGAAGGAAGGAAAAAGGGAGGTAGAAAAAGCAACCTTCCCAACACTTTTGACAATGGTTGTAGGTTTATTTTATTGGATATTGTACAGTGTATGCATGCAAGATGGCTCTGCAGGGTTGATAAGAGACATAGTGCTCTTGTGACTGTTTGGTAATTCCAACCTATATTTTGACCATTTTTTTGGCCTCCTCTGAGGGCTGGAAAATATCTTAAATTCCAGCTTGTCCTTTAAGCTAGACTGAGTATCAGGCATTTCTGGGGGAAAAGGGGAAGGAGGGGAGCGAAAAAGGGAGAGAGCGAAAGGAGTATTGTGTGTTATCCAATCACTGCCACATCCAGATTTTAGATGTGTCACACAGTTTGCTGACTGATTTTGTGTCAGGCCTTCCTTTCCCTCCTGCCCCTCCCCCAGCCCCTTTGGAAGGCCTGATACTCAGGCTGCCTATAAGCAAGCAGCTGATCGAGCCTTACCCAATGGGAAAGTAAGCTTTAAAAGTACAGTGAAACCTCTGTTAAGCGGACACCTTCACAACCTCCCTAAGTGTCGGCTTAATAGAGGGTGTCCACTTAAAAGAGGTTTCTTAACATTTGTGCAATGTTTGTTAATGATGAACCTTCAACGGTTACTCTGTACTGTGTTAAAGTTTCATGTTGTTAAGGAAGCTAAGGAGGCTGTGCTGTACTTTGTGCAAGACTTTTAGGTGAACTTTGATCGCCAATGACAATGATGTGGCCGGATATTAGTCTGATCTACAGTTTATTGACAGCTAAATGTATTGATGTAATCCAATACTACTATTTGTCAATTCAGTCTTGTGTCTGCTTAATAGAGGTTTATAAGAATAGAAACTGTCCACATCAGCTTAATAGAGGTGTCCACTGAATAGGGGTTCGTTATAAAGGGAAGTGTAAGACGTTAATTTTGGGACCTGGCTTAGTTTCAAAATAATAGAGGATGTCCACATAACTGGGGGTCCGCTTAATAGCTCTGCAAGAAAATCTACTAGCTATAGTCCTGGACTACTGGATGAGAGTTTTCCAAGCTTCCTCAGTCTTGCAATATGAACAATTGAATTGAATATTAAATGTTTGTTGTATTTTATTCCAATTTAAAATGTAGCTCAAATGACAACAGTAGTCTGTGATGAAAGCAAAATCAAAAGTCTTTTGGAGCAGTGCAGTAAATGCCCCAAGTTAAAAAATGTGGTCAAGATAGGAGCTCCTGTCACTGATGAAGAGAAAGCTGCCGGGGAGAAAGCTGGTGTCAAAATTATCTGTTTCAAGGAATTAGAAGTAAGTCAATTTACACATGCATGTACAGACCTGTAGGAGGGGAGGGGGGAGAAGGTCCTTGTTGTATAGATACTGTCATTGCCTTAGAATGTAAATGTACATAGGTTTGGGATTATTACCCTATCTGAACTCAGGAGCTTGCTTTGTTACTGCATCAAGCAGAAAATATTAACATATAACACCAATACTTAGGTGCCTACGCTGGATCTCTGTGATATATAAGTATATTTTTCAAAATAGTGTTACTGACTTACAAGGCTCAAAAATAATGGTCAGATACCTACAATTGTGGCTACATCAGAGATATACTGAGATATAAGAACTTGGGCTATGTATTCAGATCCTCAAGCAACCAGTTGCTTGATGAACCCATGGCCAATCTCAAAACGTATGGCAATAGAGCATACTCTGTAGCAGGACTGAAACTATGGAACATTCTTATTTCTAACATTGGACATTAGGCAATCATTAACACTAATCTCAAGACTTATCCTTTTAAGGCCGGCTTGATTTTTTAATTTTTAATTCTTTAATTTTTATCCAGTACTGGTACATGAACTTGATTTATCATTTATAGATAATGTAGTTTTTAGTTAACCTAATTTAGAGAAAATAAATAATCAATGATCAGTGCGTCAGGCCTCAACAAGATACTTCATAAGGGCCGTGTTTCATACATAATGATCATCATAAATCTTTTGAGACTGTTTAGTACTGACCTGCCCACAGTAAGCATTAAATAAAGTATTATCGCAAGCTAGGTACCATGATTTTTGTTACATTTTTGAAACAATATGAAATACATGTGTGTAATAATTGACTTACTGATTAGGATCTGGTTTCCCTCATTTATTGTTCGTATCGACTGGAATTTAAAGAATCAATAAGATCTGTTGAGATTATGGAATTTTAAATGCTGATCATAGATAATTTGTACTTTTCTTTGTCAACACAGGACATGGGTAAAACTCACAGACATGAGAAGAAGGTAAAATGTTACTTATTTTTCAATGAAAAATTCTTGTCACATTTTTGTCATTTGTGCGACCTTTTTTTACCACAAAATTGTTTGCTCCACCAACTCATTATTCCTCGATTTGCTCCAATAAAATGCTAGCATTAAAGTGTCAGATGTCCAACCTTTTCACATAAGTCACGTGTTAAATTTACTTGATCCAACTCAGGTGAAATAGAAATTAGTTTTAAGTTTTGTGTTCAGTTCACTCCTTTACTGTTTAGCATCACAGTAACTGTTTTCATTGAAATTTTAACCCTATCATGCACTTTGTTAGCTTACAAATACAGCTGCCGTTCCTTGCTACCATGGTGATGATTTACAAAAATGTTTACGTATAAATCTGGTGATCATGGGGTTCTAGAAAAATTTGTTCTCCTGGTCTGTTGTTATAAAGTTTTATGTACTTCTGTGAACTGGCACCAGAAAAACTCTTGCATGGTCCCAGAATACTTGCTGATTTTGGTAGGATTTTAAAATTACATCTGATCTTTGTGACCTTTTTTCTTTTGCCTGTCATTCATTAACAGTAGTTATTTGAACAAGAGTAGTGTAATGATACATTATACTTTTTTTAAATAGCTACTTACTATGAAAACCAATTAGGCTTCCTAACCAGTTTCTGTGAAGAAAATCTTAATTTGGAAAGTAATTTTAATTTCAATTTAATAATACACTGTACATACCTGTGAACTTTTCTATTTTTTTGTCATGAATTTAAATTTCATCGTAATTATACAAGTCATGTAACAGTCAATATTATTGTTTTAAAGAGTGATGGAAAAATAATTTTGTAATAATATTTTATTTTTGTGACAGCTTCCTAAACCAGATGACCTTGCAGTTGTCTGCTACACTAGTGGAACAACAGGTACATGCCACTGTATTACAGACTTTGATGTAGATCCAAATGTTCACTTGCAGAGATGCCAACTTCTGGAGATCTTAAGTCTAGAGAACTTTCCTTTTGCAGCCCTGTGCCCTGCAATCACAGCCCACCCCACCCCCAACACACACAAGTCAACCTATCCCCAAATCTTAATGTCAGTATTGCTCATGACATGAAGCTTAAACTTCATGACATTAAGCTTCTGTGACTCGAATGCTGCACACCTTATCATTACATTCATTGTCAGTGATGAAATTATGCCACCGGAAACTGTGAGCCATACTATGGTCTTGAGAAGAAAAATCATTGTTGGATTTTGGGGAAACTTTTTGGGCTAAATTCCAAACTGAAGCAGAGAAAAGCAGAAAAGTCAACTTTATCTTGGATAAAAAGGAAAACTGGGAGATTAGTACTGTATCAATGGGAGACTTCCGGATCAGTCAGAGCTAGTTCAGCTGAATTTTGCTACCCTATACTAGAGTAAACTCCCAAAATCCCCCTATCCTAGAGTAGCTGTTTCCCCAGTATAGATAAAATCTTCAACCAACTGATCAGTTTCCTGAAAAATGATACCCTATTCTAGACCCAAACTCTCTGATTTATATACCCTATCCTAGAGTAAACTGCTTGAAAACCATACCCTTCACAGCGGCACATACCCATATAGACCATATATGGCAGTACCCCCGGTCTTTTTGTAAACAGAGGGCAAGGTTTCAGCTAGTTTGTAGGTTATTTCTTAGTCATCAGCCCTCCTTTTTGGCCGTTTCTCAGTTATCAGCAGAAGTATTGTGATTCTTGGTAGCTGGCTGTTCCGTGGCAGTTGGTTTTACTTTTAGAGAATTCCCTGTGAATAGTTAATCCCTGTTCAGATCTTTGTGATTTGTGAATAATTAGATCATGTATTTATTATGAGTGAGATTTTGACAGAAGTTAACTTTTTTGTGCAATTTACCACTAGGGAATCCCAAAGGAGCAATGATCACGCACAGAAATGCCATTGGAATGCTTTCTGGTCTGGTTTATATTGTTGAACAGGTAATTTGTTTTTTGTTGTACATGTAGGACCATAGCTAGCAAGATACAAGATGAAGGATTTTAATCCACAATTTCTTTTTAAAAATAGAAATGATTTTTCTCAAGAAGTATCATAGCCTGCGTAGCAGGTGTACATGTGTGGAAGTAATGTGCGCAGGAAAGGACAGGGCACCCAAGGGAGACATGCAGTGGGAGAGGAAGCACCTGCCCAAGAGACCCATGAAAATTGTTTCCCAATCCCTATCCAATTACCTGGCAGTCGCTGCGTGATCTGTCAGAAATTTTAACAGAAAACTATTAACCTCGCACAAACAAAGCTAGCCTACATTGAAAAATTGGGTGCAGGAAAGAATGGAGCGTGTGAAGTGGACTCACATGTCTACCTTGTGCACCCCATTCTTTCTTGTGCCCATTACTTCCAAGTGCCTACTACATAGGTTAGAAATATCAAGTTAAAAGTGCCAAGAATAGCATTTACAATGGTTCTAGAGTTCAACTTTTCTTGGGGGTATGCCCTCAGACTGCCCTGGTGGTGGACACCTGTGTGGATCTGGTTGGGATGGGGGAATGCAGCAGGAAGTTAGTGACTTTGTTTCTGACATGAGGTACATGCACCAGTACCTTTAGTTCAACGAGAAGTATAGCTTTTTTTGCATCAAAGAAAATTATTATTACTATTTTGTGTAAAAAACTGTAATGGATGCATCCAAGTATGCACTGTTTCGTCTCAAAAATTTGCTATTTAGTAATTCTCTTAGTTCCATAATAATATTATACTATACATGGAGGAAAAGCAGTCATCACAAACATTCATGGTTTAATGGACTAGTGAACTGTAGTCTTTTTTTCCCCCTTGAAATGTATTATTTTTAAAATAATTAACAGGAAACACATATAGTGTACACTAATACCTATAACTACCTTTTTCTCTTTTTCTTAGTGTGGTATATCTTTCAGTGATAGTGACGTACACTTGTCATACTTGCCTTTGGCTCATATGTATGAGCGGCTGGCTCAAGTAAGTCTTACTGTGCACTGTACCATCCTTTACCTTTCTTACATCATACACCATTGTGAGATCAAGGTAAATTTAATAAGTACCATATTTCCTCAAATAACATGCGTCCCTTGATAAATCGCCTCCCTCAATTAATCGCCCCCCTTTGACGGAAATATTTAAATTCATTGCCTCTTTCGAATAACCCCACCCCCTGCTCCTCTCGCCATCTTCTCTTCCTTTTATCCCCTCCCTGTCAAGTTGAAGTGCAATGTGATCCAGCAAAACCAATCAGTAACGATTCAAGCAATGAAAATTAATCAAGGAGCTCAATTTGGAAAACTTAAAAAGCCCATGTTCAGTTTATTTGATGTGATTGTTTTTTGATTTAATGGGAAAATAAAACAAAATATTTAGGGCACAACTTCCAGTGAGCAATATTTGAAATAATCGCCTCCCTGGAATAATCGCCCCCTTTTTGTGCGAGAAAAAGAAATGATCGCCCCTGGCTATTATTCCAGGAAATATGGTATGCTAGGTGCCATTAGCCGGCAATGTGATGGTGCCTGAGTGAATGCCACTCACCGGGTTGTCCTCAGGGTCCGTTTATGAATTTCTTTTGATCTATGTCTAATAATGTTGGAAGAGACCTCTTATTTTTATAAGAAATAGACTGCAATACAGTCGGTTTTTTTCTTAAAATCGGTTTTGCAAGGCACAAAACACCAGCGTGATAATTTTGAACGCAGCACAAGGGCCTCACCAGCTCTACGTGTGTGTGTGGCGCGAGAAGAAAAACCGACCGTATTTTTCGCGTTTCTCCCCAGTCTCACTCCCCCTTTTCACTCTTACTCCACTGCTTGCGCTTGCGTTCATAACCTAGGCAAAAATAGGGGCTGTTTTGTAGTCTATGTCAGAAAAAAGATTAGCAAACCTTGAATTATAATATTCTGGAAACGGGTTAGGGTTTTCAACAAACAAGGTTTACACCTACTTCTAATTAAACAGAGTTGGACTCCTCCCCTCCCCCTCCCCCCCCCCCCCCCTTACACACACTCTCCAAAGGGTTGGAAAGAAATTTATTTTAACTGTTTGAGAATATTTTATTTGGAGTGATCCCAGAATCTTATTTGAAAATATGTCATTTGTCTCTTTTAAGCTGATGATATTCACCTATGGCGGTAAAGTAGGATTCTTTGGTGGAAATGTGAGAAACATTCTGGATGATCTCCAATCTGTAAAGTAAGTGAGCAATCTAGAAACAGCTTGACATGTACATATAACTGTTTGATCATTATTTTTGTGCTTGTTTGTTTAAATTGACACAATCAGACTTTCAGTTAAGGTAGTTTTATCCGTGTTGATAACATGGAAAGTACCAGAGTGACAGCTGACTACAAAAATTAGGCTTGAAGCTGTGAGACTGAAGTAATTATCACCGTGGGGTTGCATGCAAGATCGTAGTTTAGACACTAAGCACAACTATGCGCACAAATTGATCCCACTCTCCCCTCCCTATCAAAAGTAATATTGTATCTACTGTCTGATGGAGCAGAAACGAATTGTGGAGTTGCACACATTTTAGGTATTCCTACCGATGAATGGTTACAACATTTTTTGGTGTATTTGTTGTTTTAGTCACAAATATAACATTAAAATACAACGTTACAAAAAGTGTTAATTAAAATATAAGTTAATGTGACAAGGAAGCCTAAAGAATCTGGGAGCTTAATAGAGTGTTGCCCGTTTTAAAGACAGCAGTTGGATAGTAGCAGAAGCAACAACCATTTATGGCCGATCAACCAACATTTATGTTACTTTATGAATTTATTGATCTATCTTACCTTGTAGACCCACTCTCTTCATCTCAGTGCCCCGAGTGCTAAACCGGGTGTATGACAGGGTATGTAATAGAGTATTGCCCGTTTTAAAGACTAACATAATTTAGTAAAATCTAACTACTGGTTTATTATCAATGCTGCGTTCTTATTGGTTGAGCTACAACTAGGCTATATATTATAGCCCACTAGTAGCGAAAAGCGCCAGCATTTTGGCAGCAAAAAAGGATTGTAGTCTAGCGTTAACTAGCCAAAGTTGTTTTGTCTCAATTTTTTTGACCAACTAGTTGGATTTTACTAATTAAAAAAAAAAACAATTATTCCTCCTGCCCTCATGGTCTCTGAGTCAATAGCTCATTTGGCCTTCGGCCTCATGGGCTATTGACTCAGAGCCCATTGTGCTCGAGGAATGATTGTTAAATATTGCTCAGTTAGTAGGCGCGTTACGGAAACGCACGGTCAAACTTGTAACTATCCTGTGATCACGCCTTCCCTATACCTCGGTAATTATGTCTTTCGTGTGTAAGAGGGTTTGATGGAGGGATTGTTCTGTCTGTTTTCTTAGGTAATGAAACAAGTATCGTCCAGTTCAATAAAAAGCTTTCTGTTCAACTTGGCAATGAGTTCCAAGAAGGCTGAATTAAACAGGTGCGAAGTAGTTATCTTCTCATATATTCAGATCGTTCAACAAAGAGAAGGTACCTGAGAAGGTACCTGAGAGTCTGCTGTAACCTAGAACTGTAGCCGAGTGCAGTGCGTAGTCATGGCAACCCTGTGAGTGGCATCCGCGCGAGCACCATCACCCTGCTGACCAGTGGAACTTAAGCATACTTATCATATACTTACCAGTGTAGGAAGGGTGGGGTAGGGAGCAGAACTCTTTACAAGCTAACTAGAAGAACGTAAGCATACTTACCGTATACTTACCATAAGGAGGGAGGGAGGGTAGGGAGCAAAACGCTTTACGAGCACGGGCAACGTCAAGCGACGCGAACGGTTTGATCTGACCTGACCTCAACAGAGAAGCCATAAATTTCCGGAGGCCCATGTGAAGCTATTCGATCATCCCCGTTAATCTCGAACTAAACACTGCCGGCCAGCAATATGGAGTGTGAGCAATGGCCTTTTTAAGCGGACTCCAATAAACTGGAAGTGAAGGCTTTTCCCTTCTAAAATATCTTGACAGTACCAAAGTCATTTTGCGAAGTGTCTTTACTCTTATAGAGACGCGCACGATTTCCCGAAAATTTGGACAAAACCACTGCCCAAGAATCCAAAAAGTCCACTTCCACTGGTAGACCTGCGTAGCATTGCAAAGACGTCCTTTCTTAAACTCCTTATTGTTGTGTTGTGTTTAACTTAGCCTTAATTTAATTTAGACACACGTAGAATTATTTTTACGTGGAATGTTTTTCACTGACCTTAAATATTTGAAAGTGTGAAAGGGACTGGTCACAAGTTTATGGTTGTTGTTGTTGTTGTTGTTATTATTATTATTATGTTCATTCCTTGTCGACTCAGGCAGGATTTTCGGCCTGGTTTATAGTCCTTGGGATTATCAAGTCATTCTTATTTTTAGGAACACTACTTTCCTTAGTATCTTTGCTGTTCCCATTGTTTTCTGGATTATTATTATTATTATTATTATTATTATTATTATTATTAGTAGTAGTAGTAGTAGTAGTAGAAACTGAAGCGGGTTACTGGTCCTAAGTAGTCTTTTGATCACTGTCCTTAGGAATATTATCCGAAGAGACAGTATATGGGACTACCTGGTGTTTAAAAAAATACAGGTTAGGCATAGTTCTTTATGATTTACTTTTTGTTGATGTTTGAGTTTTTTCAATGTTGATCTTGAACTGAAAGAGAAACTCAATATTAAATATATTTTCCGTTCTTCTATTTATAAATGCAAACGAAGATTGCAATTTAAATTCATCCACACACTTTTGCAGAATTCTCTTGGCGGAAGAGTGCGCATTCTCATCTCTGGATCAGCCCCACTTCGCGACGATGTCATGATTTTCCTGCGCTGTGCTCTTGGTTGTCAGGTAATTATTTGGCTGCCTGTGGCAAATTTCATTCTAGTTGCATGTACCATGGGCGACAAAACTGTACCCTTCCTTCCACCTCTCTTTTGAAAGTTGGATGTTAGTGATTTCCTTGAAGGCTTGAGGGCTGGGTTGTTCAAAACTGGGTTTTAACCGAGGGTTTGAGCTTAAATTTGAATTCAGATTTGAAAGCTTTAAAGGCAAATTCAGCTCTGCAATCTGATGATTGGATGCTCTAAAAAGAATTACGAAAATATCGGGAAAAAAGCTTTTGAACAAATAAAAAAGAAACCGTGATTAAAATTTAACCCCGGGTGGGCGCTAATCGGCCTTCAAACAACTCGGCCCAGGTAGCTTGAATATCGGCACAACATTGTTTAGAGCGGGGTGGGGAAGGAAACCATTTTTTTCCCTTTGACGAAGGTACTATCGGCTAAACTTGAGAAATGTCAGTGAAATGTCAACTAGTTTTGTCGCCGATTATTTAACTCGAAATCTGACTTTTATGGAGCAGGGTTCTGGTTACCGGAATGACAAAGATCGGCCGGGTTCAATTGGTTGGAAAGCGAACCCAAATATATGAAAGAGCACCTAGGCCTGATTAAGACTGTGAAATTTGAGCGTGATTAGAGAAAAGGGAATTCAATGAAGGACCTTGGAAATGAAAGGGCATCGTATGGATTAATGGGGAAGGGTCTGTCCTTCCAACCATTTTAAAAGGCACAGTGTCTTTACATTGAAGCCAACACTCAGATTTAGTAAACCGTTCCCGATTATTGCGCCTATAAACGGATTAATATTTTAACGCCCTTTCCGATGACGGGCCTCAGTTAATTTTCCGATCCAATTTGATTTAAACATTCGTCCTAGCCCTCTGCGCGTAGCGTAACACTATGGGTAAGAACATTTGGTTATCTATGTATTCAAGAAATTTTGGTTCTGAGAAAATTGTCTGTACGCTCGTACGTTTACCCCTTCATGTAAGCCGGAGTGAAATTTTACATTTCAAACACCCGCACGTTTCGGCGGTAAATCGCATGGCCACCCGGACTTTTAGAGAAGAAAAAACTAGCAACAACAAAGCTGGTTCTTTCTTTCGACTCGATTTTAATGTCCACACTGACGTGGATAACAGAGAAATTGCTAGAGCGAGGGATAAAAAAACAAGGAAGGAGAAGAAAGAAAAACATGAAAATTTTATCGCGGCGGTGAGAAAATGAGAAATGCAAGCGGCCACCAAGGTGAAAATTAGCGGCAGCGATAAAAAGGTGAACAGGAACACATACGACTTTTCCTCCATAAAACGTGTAACTAGGAAGTTTCTGGACGTTTCACGTTGTAGTCGTGCAAAACAACGGCGAAGAAACGTACAGAAAAGTGTGCTGAACGAGCAAAGTTGTTGTTGTTGGTTTTTTTTTTTTGCTAATTTTAACCTACCGGTATTGATTTTTTTTTTTGCCGTTTTCGTTGCCGTCGCGGCTTAGCATTACATGATTTTATATTTTGTTTGAGTAAACTATAAATATTAACGAGAGCTTCTCCTTTAGCCCTGGCTAATGACTAATTGAACCAAAATTTAACATGCCCACGCAAAAACTTGTTGAGGCTCACTCGTATTGGGAAGGAGAGTTCTCTCAACATTTATACTGTATGTCTGAACCTCCCTGTTTTCTAATCAGGTGCTGGAAGGTTACGGTCAGACTGAGACAACGGCTGCTGCGACCATACAAATGATCGGCGATCAAACTTACGGTGAGAAAAAAAAATTGTGGAAATTCAGATTGATCATGACCAATTGACCATGAGTAAAGTTGTGGTACTATTCTGTGCGAATTCTGCGGCGTAATAGCTGTCGATCAGCTCCTAGAGAGTGAGTAGAGATTGTTGCGGTGTCTAGTTGTTACTAGATTTTTGGTAAAACAATTAGATCACAGACTAAGGGCTTCATATCTGCTGCATTATCAACTATCTGCCGATCTAAATGGAGTGTGAACTTCTAACTAGTCAGCCTGTTCCAGGCTCTCAGATAGTAAGGATGGCGCGCAAGTGTAAAATACAACACAACTGTGTGACATTGTACATAAAATCTACCGGAGCCACATAGGCTTGTCTCAAAAGTAACAATGACTACCTTCAACGTTGTGGATCGTGGTAAAATTGGTAAGTCCGTCGAATTCTCTCAGTATTTATTACTGTATTTTTGATAATAGGTCATGTTGGTCCGCCACTTCCATGCAACAAGATAAAGCTTGTTGACGTACCTGAAATGGAATATTTTGCCAAAGATGGCAAAGGAGAGGTGAGCAAGTTAAGACGGAGCAATTTAGGTTCCTGGGAAACTGCCCACCTACCCCTCCCTTAAGCTGATATTAACACTTACTTCTCACTTAGGGCAAAATGTTGGGTTAGGGGAGGGGTAGGTGGGCAGTTTTCCAGAAACGTAAATTGATCCGTTAAGACTATTATGTTCACACTATAGAGTACTGAAGTGTGACGTCACAAAAAATTAAATTTGTGAAATTATGAGATTTGTCAAGATATTCTGAAAGAACAACGCCCAAGACGCCTACTTGCCAAAAATTAGCCTTGTGGGGCAAATTGTCTCTGATATATTACCCCAGTTATGTTTTGGTGACTCCATACAAATCCTCCTAAATTTGGCTTGGGTCTAAACGTTTAGACCCAAGTCATATCGCCCAAAAAACAGGACTAATTCATGGATTCGAGATCAAAAATCCAACAAACACATCGCAGACGGATATAAAAAGCTATTTCGTGCCTTTGTACGCGAGGCTGTACAAATGTTAGTGCCAAAAAAAACCTTGCGGTAAGTCACTTACCGCTGGAAGCCCTTTCTGCCGTTCAAACATGAGCTGCAAACTGCAAACGCGACCGCAAGACCGTGACAGTCACGTGACATTTTGCGGTTTACGGTTGGCGGTTTTCCATGAAAAACCTGATGCTAAAGGTCTCTATTAGTGCCCTTTATACGAGAAAAAATAAGACGCGTCTTTCATTAGACGTATAAACGGCACATTGAAACGCGACTTAGCAAAGACGCGTCTTATCGAAGGATAGGTGTTAGGGGCTGTTCTTAGATAAGACGCGTTTTAGCTAAATTTCAAACGAAATGTGCCGTTTATACTGGATAGTTTGAGTCCTATTTAGGACGCGTCCTATGTAAGGCGCTTCTTATTTTTCCTCGTATAAATGGCTTATTGTTAGCTGTAAAGACCAATTAAAGCCAATTAGAAAAGGGTCCCCTAAGTATCTGTGATTGGCCTCGCAGACACAAAAACCGTGGCTCGTTTCTCAAATCTGAAAAAAAAAATTACAGACAGCCACGGAACCCTCGCTAGTATCTTATCAATAGAGGTGACCGCTGAACGTAAGTTCGCTTTGCAGAAATATAGGGAGACTCGCTCTATAGCTCCAAACTTTTTAGAGAACCGTGATTTCCAGCAAGGTCAGGAAGGGTCTCCTGTTTGACGTCTCAATTTCTTTGTTGTTTCTACACGGGAATGGCATTCGCTCGACCGCATTCACGTTTTGCCGTCTTCAATCTTCTAATCTTTATTTTTGGTTCTTTCTATACGTCGCATGTCAGATTTGCTTTTACGGACCGAACGTGTTCAAGGGCTACCTTTATGACGAGAAGAAGACAAAGGAGGCTATTGACGAGGATGGATGGCTGCATTCAGGCGATATTGGGGAGTGGCAACCGGTTAGTGATGTCATCTTTGTAGCGACTGCTGAAGAACTTATTAGTGTTATTGCAACAGCGTATTTTCGCCGTGTCAAGCGTTACAGTTAGCTTGTACAACGTTATAAACTGTACCACAGGAAAGTACTGCTCTATGGCATTCATTTGAATGGACACACTTTAGGATTTCATTTACAGACTTGAAAGTGACAACAACCTTGCACAGCATAATAAACAGTACCACAGGAAATCACTGCTGAGTACCGTTCATTTGAATGGTAGACTGCAAAACAGTCCGCATTTTTGCATATTCAAGTACGCGCGAGCAGTCAAACAAAAGGTCTGGAACGAGGCTGAAAACAGAGAGCGAGACTGGGGAGAGACGCGCGCGTAAGACTCTTACGCCACGCTTTACCGATTTGTTTACTGATTTTGAGAAAAAAACCGACTATTTTGCAGTCCATTTGAGTGGACACACTTTAGGATTTCGTCCAGAGACTCAAAAGTTAGAACCACCTTGTGCAGCATAGTAAACAGAACCACAGGAAATCACTGCTCAGTACCGTTCATTTGAATGTTCACACTTTAGGATTTCGTCCACAGACTCAAAAGTTAGAATCACTTTGTACAACGTAATAAACAGTACCACAGGAACGTACTGCTTAGTATCGTTCATTTGAATGGTCACACTTTGGGATTTTGTCCACAGACTCACCAGCTCGAATCACCATTTACAGCCAAGTAAATATTGTGTCAGAAAAGTATTGCTCATTAGGTTTCATTAGAATACTTGTATATAATAGTAACGTTTCAAGGTTTCATCTTAAGTCTCAAAAGTCAAAACAAACCTCGTTTAATGATAGCTTCTTTGCAATTATCGTATTTTGTGAAATCCAAAAATCTGGCCCTCTGATTGGCCGTTTTTCATCGAGTCCTCAGTCCTTATCTCTGATTGGTTATCCTTTACTATTCTCAAGTTCGAAAATTAAAGCTACAGTACGCACTTGACAAGCAAAGTAGAAGATTTAGTGTAGTGCTTTATTAAAGTTCTTATTCGGTATTTATAGAAGTTACAGTGTTGTTGATTAATTTGAATTTTGTTATATATAGACATTTTTTTTCATTTTGTATTGCAGAATGGAACTTTGCGGCTGATTGACCGCAAAAAGCACATTTTCAAGCTTTCACAGGTAAACACGGTCATCGCTGGAAGAAAGATGTTGTAGACGTTTGACATAGAGCTTTCAAAGGTTGATGCTTGTAAGCTCTTCGATAATTCAAATTATTTTTCTAAAGTTTTGATTGGTCTAGGGATTATTACGTCACCAGCAGGTAACCATTCTCGTCCCCAGAGCTGCAATCAATGTGGCGATCGCGGATTTCCAGTCTCTGCGCAACCTCAGAAATGTGAAACAAAGCGGTTGCCATTGGTTACAAAATGGGAAGCTGTTGCGCCTGCGTGTTATCTTGGTCTCAGCAAGAGCTCTCGATCTGTAGCGCAGCCCACAACGATTGCAGCTCAGTGTGAGGACAAGAACGGCAGTTAATTACATTGGCTTTTCCTCCGGTTACTCCGGTTTTCCCCTCTCCATAAAAACCAACACTTCCAAATTCCAATTCGATCTGGAACGCACGGACACGTTTCAACGAGTTCTTAAGAACTCTTAAGTGCTTCGTGGGTAAACAATTACAATTTACAACTGGGCATTGGTCTGTTCACGCGCAGCGGAGTGAGTACATAGTTTTGCTCTGCTTGAGCGCCGTTTGGTCTCTGTCTTTGGGAAACAGTGGCTCCCTGCGTTTCTTACAAATTACCGAACATGTTGCAGCCTCTGGTAGATTCATAAAAATAAATCATTGAATTTTTCTTTGGCGTCGTCAATAATTTCTGTTTTCTCCACTGATTTTAAGTCACGATTTCTTACTCAGCATTGCCCGGTAAATAGGGAGCTTAAGCAACGACAACGGTGACGGCAACTGAACGAAGACGGCAAAAATACAATAGGTTAAGATAACTCTGCACGTGCATCACGCCTTTTGTGTACATTTCTGCACGACTACGACGTGAAAATGCCTAATTTCACGTTTTTTGGAGGACGTGGACTCAAGACAACGACTTTCTTTCTCTTTTTCTGAACTTCGATAGAGTTTTTATGAATTAAACTCCAGAAAAAATTGCCAACATTTGACGAATCAAACGATATGAAATAAGCGCAATGAAGTTTGAAGCAGCACCACCTCAATTTTCAAGGGACGTTTTCGTAGCCGTTGTCGTCGTTATTGCTTAAGTTCCCTTTTTTTTATTGTGTTTCTTCAGGGCGAATATATTGCACCAGAGAAGATCGAGACAGTTTATACACAATGCCCGATGGTTCATCAAGTTTATGTACACGGAGACAGTAAAAAGGTGGGTCAATGATCGTTTTAACTGTATGCAGTAATTCGAGACAAGCTTCAAACTGATTCGCTGAATCCACTAATGAATCTTACTGAACAGTGATGGACATAGCACAATCAAGGCTCTCGTATGCGACCATCTCGGGAATCCATAGAAATGCTCGCAATTAGAGCTGGTCGTTGTCAAGAATGAGCTTTCGTAAGCGTCCATGTAATCAGCTTATTGAGGTGTCGCTTACGAGAGCTTCTCGCAAAAAAGCTTGTGATGTCATCGTTAATTACCGTTACCATAAAATTCCGAAAAAAAGCCCAGGGGCTTATATTTTTCGAGGGCTCTTTTTGAGGAGCTTATCTTTGGAGGGGCTTATGTTCGCGGGGGGCTTATCTACGGAGGGAAAATTGCGTTTCACAATCGATCGAGCTAGCCTTAAAACTGGAAGGAAATTTACCGTTTTTGCTTTGTTTTGCTATGTATTTAAGGACAATTTCTAATTTGTAGTCGTGTCAATTCGAACCCCCAGGGTTTAGTTCTTTGCCATCGAAACCACTTAATCTTTTTTGCTGTTCGAATAGCATTACTTCAGTTTTCCTTTTTTGATTTGAGGGGCGATTTAATTGGATAGTTTTCTGAAACCATCTGCGTAACTTAGAAAACGGAGCACCCTCATCAAGACTGTCACTCTTCCAATCATTTACTTTTGTTGTCTTGTTTCTAATTTGCTATTTTTCCTCTTTTGCCTGTAGTCTTGTCTTGTCGCTGTTGTTGTTCCTGAACATGATTATGTCAAGAAATGGGCGGAAAAGAATAACGTGGAAGGAGAGATGGATTCGTGGTGCACAAACGAGGTATGTTCTTTTCCCTGTTTGTTTTCTAGCTTAGTGAAGGGCCTCGTAGTACGACATATTGGGGAGCTTAAACAACGACCGTGGCGACGGCGACGGCAACAAGAACGGAAAAAAGTAACAGGTTTGAATTAGCAGAACAACGATTTTGCACGTGCATCACGCTTTTTTGTACATTTCTCGCCGTCATTGCACGACGTGAAAATGCCTAATTTCACGTTTTGTAGAGGACGTGAACACAAGACAACGACTTTCTTTTTCTTTTCCTGAACTTCGATAGTCTTTAAGAATTCAACTTCAGAAAAAGTTGTCAACATTTGTCAAATTGAGCGAGGTGGAATAAGCGCGAATAAGTTTCAAGCAGTTTTAAGTGCCGTTTTCAAAGCTGTCGCTGTCGTTGTTGCTTAAGGTCCCTATTTCCGCTGAATAAACGGTCATTCAGACCGTTCATGTAGATCAACATTGCCATCTGATCAACAGAAAACGAGAAGTTCTCGTTTTCCGTTGATCAGATGACAGAAAGCCTGGCCCACCCTTGAGTCTATACGTTTTCTGCTTTTCTTTCTTTTTCTATTCTTCGTTTCTTTTCCTTTATTATGATGATTTTTTTGTTGGGGAAGTGGAGGAACGTTACCTTCATTTGAAGGCTTCTGCTTTTAGCGGGGACAACACATGTTGATTACTCCACTAACAGCTTTGTGTTATGTTTTTGGTGCTCATCCCTTGAAAAACAAAACCTTTTGTAATATCCTATAAAATGTGATACTTTGTTTGATAAGTTGTCTTCTTCTTTTGTAGAATGTTAAGAAGGCTATTTTAGATCAGATGGTTGCTGAAGGCAAGAAAGAACAGCTGAAGTCGTTCGAGCAGGTAATAATGAATTTTTAATAGCTGATGGTTGATTGTCTGTCCAGCCATGTATGGCAATCTTCACAGTAAAAGAACGCAAGAATTTAAACCACAATAGCTGGTCCTGAAGGGAAATAATTATAGTCAGTTCCTCTCTATGAAAGGCTCCTTTGGGCCCGGTTTTGTCCCTCTTAGAGCGATGGCGGCCTTAAAGAGATGCGAGGTCGACGTTCTCTGGGCGTTCATTTTAGGAAGGTGTCCATAGGAGAGAGATGATTGTTAACTTGAGACTTTTGGCGGGAAAAGTTTCATTGTTTGATGTCATGTGACTTGAAGTAGCCAGTAAGAGGGCACGCTGTCGGGGAAAAAATCCAACGATTAACGCATCTTCCTATAGCTGAAAATGCCCGTTTTGGATATTAGTGAATGAGTGCGTCAGCTCTGAACTGTCTGACTGCCAGAATACAATTTCTTGGAAACTTCCTGGCTTGCGTGGCAGGAATTAACACGAGAAAAAATTCCTTTTTTTCGCTCACTCTCCAAACTTTCTACGGTCAAAACACAGTCAACTTTTCTTTCGGGTAGCGCTTTCTTGGTCGCGTAAAAATGCTTCCTTTTATTGCGGTTCAAAATTTTGCCTGATGAAATGTAAGCCCTGAAGAGTGATATTGCAAATACGGGAACTTGTTATTTTCACCCTTAAGAGAGCTAGCTTAGACAAACGTTCCTCGTTATACACGCTTCTTCTAGGTGAAAGCGATTGCACTCACGCCAGAGATATGGACAGTAGATAATGGCCTGCTCACGCCAACACAGAAGTGTAAACGGCCCGCCGTAAAGACCCTATTCACGCAGACATTTGAAGACCTTTACAGTACAATCCCAGAATGAATTACGTCCACAATCTATCCTCAACTCTTCTCTGTTATTCTGACAATCTCTTAAGATTATGTTATCTGGCCGCTCATTGAGTCGAATATGAAGACAAAAACTATTTTTTGTGAATGCCGCAATGACAGATGTCATGATGATACAAAAACTTTTTAAAACACTGAACTATATCCACTACACTACGCAAAGGCGAACCAGCAATAGTTTTCTCGCTCCAAGAAACACACACTCTTTGACCGAGTCTTTATAGAAGATTTTCCAAGTCACCTTTTTTAACCCTTTAAGTCCCAATAGTGACCAAGATCAATTTTCTCCTAACAATATCCATACATTGTCAAGAGATAAGTTATGAGAATTAATAAAATGACCACCTGAGAGAAAATGCCTTGATCTATCATCAAATTCTCTCAACTAATTCCTTAAGAAAATGTATGGAGATCAGTTTGGAGAATTTGTATGTGGATACTGGGGCTTAAAGGGTTAAAATGAAACCTCTTTGACAAAACTTTTGCATGATAAAATTTCAGAAAGTAAATTGTGTTGAAGGTGTTAAGGAAAAGGAAACTTCGAATAGTCCTCATTATAGTTTTCTTCAGACGAGTAAACCTATATTCTTTAAACAAAATTCATCGTATTTGCAATCCTTGTGTTCGGTTATTGTTTTCAGCTCTCTTGCATTGGGAATTCATTTATGTAAAGCTTCGCAAAGTAGTACTTTGAAAATCAGGCTTAGTAGTGATATTTGCCCGTCTGACGTAAACATGTGATGGGGACTTAAACAATGAAACAGGACATCTTCATTTTAAGCAATCCAGGGTTAGTTAGGTTTTAGTTTTTCATAAGTAATTCGTGTTTATCAGAAGTAACACAAGAAAGTTCCAGACTCTTTTGAACACAAACTTACGCCCAACTTTCTATGGATACATGCACCTTTTTTATACCGCTCAGTTGAAGTTTGTTGGGAGAAACATGTCTTGGATTTTATTATATGTCCATTCCTTACGTGTTGTATCAAGAACTTCGTTTAAATTGCCTCGCATTCTGTTTCTCAACTGACAAGGAACGTTGCGAGGGATTCTCTAAGAATTGAATTTTTTAATGTAGTTTTCAGTTTCGTGTTTATAACATTCTTCGAAAATACAAATTTAAAATTCCGTGTTCATCTGCGCAACGGTGCGCAGGATTTTGCAAAGGGTTTCATAATAAACCCAAGCAAGCTCTCCAACTATAGTTGACGACGGCGCGCGCAAATCAAACAACTGGCTTGACATATGGTAGAGCGACAAATTGAGCACGGGAAGTCGGGTTTAGTCCTTTCCGCGCGCTTTCCCGTCGTCAACTGACGTTCCCGTCCTGTTGGTAAATCAGCCTATTATGGGGAACGCAGCGTTTGTTACCTACAAGCGCCATTGCGAGCGAGGTGAGTCTTCAGAACGCACCCGAGTCTCTCTCGTGTCTCTGGCGTAATTGCCATTATTAGTGAGTTTACGCTATAGGACGGCAGGAAGAAGAGGACGGCAAAACGCGTGTGTGTGACAAACGTGACAGGGCTATTACTTGCGAGTTTTGTGGTCATCTTCACTTAGCAGTAATGTTTTCTGATCTTTACAAAAGGATCCGTTTAATGGCGAAAGGTTATTTCAAACAAAATTTTTGTCACGCTTGTCACATAAGGTTTGCCGTCTTCGTTCCTCTCCCGTCCTGTTGCGTAAGTTCACTATGAACAAAATGAACCAGGCGGTCGTGACACAGCCTCTTTAAAAGCAGCAAAAAGGTGGCTCTATTAATCACAATAGATTTTTCAACTAGTAAGTAGGTAGATCCCTTAAGAATTCATATTATTATACAGTAACATGTTTATCAGATCAGAATTAAGCAGATTTGCGTGGAGCCACTTGGTTCGGCTCCGTCATAGATCATGTGACTCTGCTCAAAACATTATTCAGAAATATCGAAACTAGAGTGAATCAAACGACATTTTGATGTTGCATTATCTATTTTGTTCAAAATCAAATGCAGTTGCTTTTTTACTTGAATGGCCAACTCCGTATACAGGATAAACGGTGAAACATCGCTATTATAAAAGGTTTTAGTTCTCTGTCAAATTCAATTAAGTTAAATGTTTATGAAAATTAGAGCATAATTGATGAAATTGGATGAATAAAGGATATTAGCGTAATATTGTTTTTCTTGCCAGTTTCTTACCTTGTAACTGAAAAACAAGTGTACCACCCGTCTTCATCATCAAACTGGTTTTTCGAGTGCAACAATTCGTTTATTAAAAAACCGACGGTCATACGTGCAAGTGACCGCTCTATACTTATCACACGGCCATAAGGCCTGGGTTCAAAAGTGTATCCCAGTCCAGCAACGAGCAGCACATTCTAAACAAAGATCTCTCTCGATTCATGCAGAGTCTACCTGGAGTACGCCAAACCGATCGGGCAAATGAAAGAAATGCTGTGGACTTTAAAACTCGTGATAAACAGCTTGGTGGCTGTCTTATAAGGTTAAGGCTCATGGTCAAGCTGACTCATTCCCAGTCGTCTCTCAGTCTTCTATTAATATTAACGAGAGAAGCGCGGTTAGGGGAAGCGCAGAGGGGTGATGGGTAGGAGGAAAGAGTTCCCGTTTTACCTTCTCATCGTCCCCTTCGCATCAGGTGCCGTAATATTCTTCCGCGACCGTTTCGTGACCGCAAATGATAAGAGGCGACTGGGGACGAGTAGCATGGTTAAGTATATGGCGGGAAAACTGACATTGGTTCCACACAAGCAGTTTTATTTTTCCATTTACTTCTCAGTGTAAAACCGTAACTAATGCACCGAACATTTCACATAAATAGCGTAGTTGTATTTACATTATACTGGATTACGGGCTTTTGAAAACTCCCTGCGTAACAAATGCGTCTACAGTACATGAATATAATCATTGCAACCTTGGGTATAAAAATGGTTAAATATATTGGCTATAATATGCTTCTATTCTTACCAAGGCTCAGCCGCTTTCGGTTCAAGGACCATTTTCTCATTACCAAACCACTAAAGGCCAAGTGAGAGAGATGAACAAAAAAACCTTGTTCGTAATAAATTCGTTTCTAGAAGTGGTAGCCAATTTTACCTCTATTTTTGCCACAAATACGATAAATATTTTCAGAATAAATATCAAATTTGGCGCGTGGTTAAATAATGTCAGATACTGATAAGACGAAAACTAACTTCCCTAAACACCTTGCACTTACCAAACTCAAAACGTTTTAGAAGAAGCTTATAACTTTCGATAAATTGGAGGTTATTTTTCCTGGGTGATCTGGACGTTTGCGCCACAGTTACGTTGTTCTTTGAGTCGCATAACTAAGCACTAGTTGTGAATGATAAAGCTACGGTTTGTGTGGGAATTCAATACTGAATTCAACCCCCTGTTTTCACCCCCATTTTGCAATTACCATCGTCACCCCGGTTCCGCTGTCCCTGAAACTATGCAGCGAATCGTTGTGTTGACCTACTCGTGAATCTTAACAGATTCAAACTGTTTTTTGTTCTACTTCTGCTTGTTCGAATACCCGCTCAATTTCTTCTTTGAACTTTCGGTGTATTTGAACTCTTTTTGCTTTAAGCGTCGGCGTGAGAAGTCCGTTCTCGATGCTAAACATCTCTGGATGGAGGTGGATCCTCTTTACCTAAAAGATTAATATATTCGTAAATAGTGTATTAATTGTCAGAGATAGATGTAGCTGTAGAATAACCTATAAATATGGCTTTATTTGGGAAACGTGAATTCATGAAAACCAGGACAACATCTTAACCGAACAAGCTTGGTCAATAAAGGATTTATTACATGGTCTTGCACCTATCAGAACATAGCGTTCGCTTTATCTTATCCTCTCACAAAAACCAACCTTACAGAGAGGCCTGGCAGAATGCAGTCTGAAGAAGTTCGAGTGCATTCTACACCAAGCGCTTGCGTTTATCTCCGGTGAATCTCGAACAAGGCTAAGTAATTTCCGTTAAAAGGTGATAATTACTGAAAAAAGCACTTTATTTGAGTGTCAATGTATTTAGCACGAAAGTACTAATTGGGGACACTAGTTTTACGTTTCCTAATGGAGACGGGACCGCCATTGTACGTGGTCATCCGAGCCACGCGAAGGTCTACCCGTTTCCAGGGCAAAGGCGGAACCTTCATTTCTCAGTCATTTTAAGATCCTGAGTGTTGGTCCGGTCCCGGGAATCGAACCCGCGACCTACCGCTCTGCAGTCAAGCGCTCTACCGACTGAGCTAAACTTGCCGCGCTAAACTAACAACCGGGTCAATAGTAATACTTTATATGCCAAATAGTGAAGTAAAACCTTCCTAGAAACTGAAACCTCAAAAATCAAAATACACTTTTTACATAAAGTTGTAGTTACTCTAGAATGGTCCATGGTTGATGAAGAAGTTATTATAGTTCATTAACTCGAACCAATCAGCCAATGAGCGTGGAAGCAGTATAGCATATCAATAACCTCGACGCCCACGAGAAAGACCGGTTAACTTCGTGAAATAGTTTTTTGTTTGTGTTTTCTGTTAAGTAAAATCGTTGAAAGTCTAGTAACTGAATCACTCAGAGACTTGTACCTGTTCTAGAGAGTTCAGTCCACCCTCTCGGCCTTTGTCCAGCATGTCTTGGAATATAGTCTGGTACACAGTCTGAAAATGAGGAAATATGGAATTTAAGATCCACGACGACGCAGGCAACGAGAACGTCTAAAAAGCAATAGGTTAAAAAGGCAAAAGAGCAACTCTGCACCTGCATTGCGCTTTTTTGTGTTATCTTTGCAGTCGCTGCGCGACTATGACGTGAAAACCCTTATTTTACGTTTCTTTCTCTTTCTGAACTTGGATATGGTCGTGAGGAACTCGGCTCCAGAAGAGTTCGCTTGCATTTGACAAAGCAAATTGAAATAATCGCGATAGAGATTGAAAGAACGCGAATTCATTTTTTAAGCAAAATTTTCGTGGCCGTCGCCGTCGTGGTATCTTAAACTCTCTAATTTATATGTTGAGCGAAGTTCGGAAACAAAAGTATTCTCATATCAATTTTTAACCTGTGATTTTTTTTCACAAAAAATTGGGTTAGCTGATGTCAGAAATACGGCACATGTAAGGGATTCCGAAATCCGGAAAATTTTGCTTGTGGAATCGGCAATCCTAGCGTTTTGAATCCGGAATATGTAGATCCAGAAAATATCCATACCCCTTTCACGGCGGGCAACTGAAATTCCGAGGGGAGGGGGGATCCAAAGGACGCAATTTCCGTGGGAGTGGGTGGCTTTTTGAGGTCTTTTTCCGTTGGGTCCGAGTAAGACTGGTGAGTTATCAAAAACTAACAGCTGCTCTGTTGAGCAAGCTATCGGATATTTACTGTTAACGTCTTTTAAAACAATAATTTTTGTTTTCATCAACGACATTTTATTCAAGGTCGGAAAATTAGGAATCCAGTATCTGGAATCCGGAATCCACTGCGTGGAATCCGGAATGCAATACTGTCTTGGATTCCCTTCCATTGTGCGCTTGAGATATCATTTAAACTGAGAAAAAAGGTAGCCAGTTCTTATTCGAAGAGTATTTAAAGGGAAGTTCAAGAAGAAGTGTTTTACCTTATTTTCACAAAGCTGTTTGATGTCTCCTTCAATGCCATTATTTCGGGCCCAGGGCTCCAGGACTTCTGCGTCCGGGACAACAATTGCCACGATGAAAGACTGGAAAAAGAATTAAAGTTGTTTGTTTGTTTGTTTGTTTTCAATACCCATTGATATGTCTTTAGCCCTTGGATCCCTTCATAGCGAGATGATTTTTTTAAAAAAATGCGAGATCTATCTTGTACCTATTCACTAACAGTTTGGCCAGCTTCCTCGCCATTTTCTTAGCATGCCTGTAAGTGAAATATTTTGACATGAGGTTGGGAAAGAGAGCGAAAGAATACTCCTCTCTCCCCCTCCCCCTCTCCTCTGCCTTTAGGAGCCCCGCCGCCCTTTAAGTCCCAATATTGACCAACATCAATTTTCTCATAACAATATCCATATGTTACCAACAGAAATGGTTATGAGAGTTAATAAAATGATCATTGAAGGGAAAATGCATAGATCTGTTAACAAACTCTCTCAACTAACGCTTGAAGGAAATGTATGAAGATCACTATGGAGAATTTAATGTGGATATTGGGGCTTAAAGGGATAAGCCCATCTAGTCTGAATTGTCAGCCGTCTTCACCCCCTAACCCCACGGGTTGCGGTTGGGGATAGTAGACATTTCAGACTACAGTGTTCTTACCTTCAAACTGTTTCCAACAACAAATACCTGCGCAACAAACGGACTGCGCAGATACACGTTCTGGATTTTTTCAGGGGCGATGTACTCTCCCTAGAAAAAAGGAAAATCGAAAGTTTAGAATGATAAGAGAATCGAATTTAAAAAAAAGAAATCAAAATATAGAAGTGGTATTGAAATGTTCAGCTAAGCACAAACTTGCCTGAGAAAGTTTGAATATATTCTTCTTGCGATCAATTATTCGCAAAGTTCCATTCTGCAAGAGCAAAAGCACAATTAGGTTCTGGTTTCAAAGCCATCTGTGTTTCACGTGTGTTACCTTGCGCACATACTCTATTTTTTTCAATCTAAATAAAAAAGATAGCCTTAAGTGATTTAAAAGTATTGGTCAGGATAATTGTTTTGGTTTAGCTTTATTATTTGTGTATAAAATATTTCAACAAGATAATAATAATAATAATAATAATAATAATAATAATAGTAATGGTAATGGTGATATCAACAACAATAATAATAATAATAGTAATAATACGATTTCATATTTTGTTCAAACCGTAAGAAAAGGGCTTATGCTTTTATGTCAGCATCACGTAAACAATAGCTTCGATCAAACATTCGATGGTTTGCCAATGTCGTTTTACATCACTACAGAATGCACGGTCAGCTTTTTTCACTCCTACTCGTTTGGATGTACAAATAAATTACCGGAAGCCATTCTCCTATGTCACCAGTGTGGAGCCAGCCATCCTTATCAATAGTTTCAGCTGTCTTTGCTGGATCCTTAAGGTAGCCTTTAAAAACGTTTGGTCCTTTCACGCAAACCTGAATATAGAAGATGCAGTTCAGTTGTAGTAAAGAATCAAGCTCTAGAAAAAGAAGAACTGCTAAGCCTGGAACGTTTACCGTTTGCAAAGAATAAGAAGACTGGTCAGAATGAAAAGGTTTCAGTCCCCTTGTTAGGGAATACCACTAACGATTGGAATTCGGAATCCAAGTTCCACTGACAAAATATGCGGAATCCAGAAACCAAGCGGACTGTCTAGGATTCCCCATGGCGGGGCGAAAGAGAGGTGAATCCCGCGCGAAACGCAGTGGCGAAAAACATTCAAACAGTTTTAAACTAAGGTGAGATGGATGTTATCTTACCTCGCCCTGATTATTTTTGGCAAAGTATTCCATTTCTTCTACGTCGACGAGTTTCACGATGTTGCAAGGAATTGGAGGTCCAACATGACCCTCTGTTAAGGAGTAAAGGATGACCATTAATCGCTTGTTCCAAAAAACACTCAAAGATTTCGAGCACTCCGGAAAAGAATTTTTCCAGTCTTATGAAGAGCATTTAAATCGTTAAAGGTCTAACGAACTTTCATGTTTTAGAGAATAGTTCAAATTTTGATTAGAAGAGCGAGTAATGTCTGCAGGTTAGTGCAAAAGGAGATACATACATATTTTATTTCTGTGTGTTGTCAATATTTTTGGCATGAAGCTTTTCACTTACCTGCTATGGGATCATTGTAGAGCTGAAAGGTTACTGCGCATGTCGCCTCAGTTTGACCGTATCCTTCTGCCAGCTGTCAAAATGAAATACAAATCTCTTATTAGAAGGACGAAAACAAAGTTGGCAACAGACAAGAGCAAATTGGTAGTCGTCCAATGTAAGGGATTCCGGAATCGGGGAAGTTTTTTGCTTGCGGAATCCAGAATCCAGGAAATTTTGTTCGTTGAATCCGAAATCCTAGGCTTTGGAATCCGGAGTACAGCTCTAGTAATGCGACTCCCACTAAAGATTGGAATCAGGTATCCATGTTCCACAAACAAAGCTCCGGAAGCCAGTACCTTGAATCCGAAATCCAACGTGTGGAATCCAGAATCCAAGACTGCCTTGGACCCATTTCATTGGGCGGTGGTAGCGTTATGAACTTGTTATTGTATACATGTTTAATCTCTGACGTCAACAAGGCGTGATTATGAAGTCATATGTTTTAGCACGTGAGCAAAAATATGATGTGCCCGTCACGTGTAACTCACCTGACATCCCATAACGCATCTGATGAATGACGTCACCTTAGCAGACAAGGGTGCCGAACCACACGGTATATAGCGAACTCGGCCACCAAGAAGATTCTGTGAATTGAACATTTCATCGTTGTAACTAATTCAGAGGTTATAATTTATTCAAGGGGAAAAATCCCAGAAAACTATATATTTACAGCACACGCGAGAAAATCTGAATATCAACCAACTTCTTCGCCCGCTAAAAGAATCCTGACCCGGGGAAAATTTTGCCTGTAGTATCCGAAATTCCGAAATCCTTTGCGAATACATCTCAAGGAACCCGGAATCCAACTAAGGATTGGAATCCAGAATCTAAGTTCCACTGACAAAGACTGGAATCAAGTAGCTGGAATCCGGAATCCACGGCGTGGGATCCAGAATCCAAGCCTGTCTTGGATTCGCTTACAACGCTCATTGGGACGAAACTTCTACAGCCGAAAAACTACGTGGTTTAATCGGAATTAAGGTCTGTACCCCTCGAGTCTAGACTGCTACGTTAAAAAGATCAACACGTAACATACCTGGATTTTGCGGAAGACTATTACATCCCACATTGTGTCTTTGCTTATGATTCCCCTAAACAACAACCAAGTGAGTCAATTTTAGCTTCCTAAACAAGTTATATTTGAGGGTTACTCGAATCATCTTTTCAACTAAGTCTGTTTAAAAGTTACCTTTTTAGATCGTTTTCTTTTGAGTTCAGTGCCGTTTGAAGGAGCCATTGCTTGAGTTTGCTATTTGCTACTCCAGAAGTCACCTTATCAGTAGTTAAATATAGAATATGTTATTAGGTGAACTTGATAATAAATAGCAAAATTATCAACTTAATCGATTATCGTCTTGATATTGTGGCCGTTGATAGGTGGGCAGTGGCGGATCCAGGGGAGGGGCCCGGGGGGCCTGCCCCTCCCCCCTCCCCCTCCCTTATTTTTAGGCCAAACTGAGGCCCGAAGGGCCGAAAAAAAATTTTGGAGACCAGGCCCCCTTATCTCAAGGTCTGGAACCGGCATTGGTCTGAACAGTCTGTGAAAGGCGTAACAACTTAAGCAACAAGATAAGAAACTGAAGATATTGAGGCTGTTGGGGAAATCATATTTAGGCTAACGTTTTTTCGATTACTTCAAGGAAATTGATAGATGTTTACAGGGAATACGGTCGGACATTTATTTGGGCAAGAAAAAACGGCCTTGCAATGCAAAAACCACTGGGACTTTTTACTTACTCTGTCGTAAATTCTGTTTAGTAAACGAGGAACGGCTGAGAAGATCGTTGGTCTGTTTAAAATAAGTCGAATATTAGTAAATCTAGGAATCTAATACCAGTTTAGAATTCAAGGGTTTTTTATTCCTGATTCTCGGCTAAAAAGGTTACATGCTTTACTTACTGAAGCTCTTTGCAGTCTTCAAGAAGGCGTTTTATGTCTCCACTAAAGTATCCAATTCGCGCACCACTCAGCATTAAATGAAGCTGAAAGAGAGAAGTTGAAAACTTAAAAGAAAAAGCTAGTAAACTGAATGAGACGAAAAAATATCTTGCTTATATTTCCCTGGCTATACATAAACCGATAACTCGAAGGTGTTTTACTTGCGAATCCGCCCATTGCTATAAGGTGTACCGTAGGGTTCCGTGTAACGCTCGTTGTCGTCACAACCACACTTTCACACCAATATTAGATGGCGCTGGCGGAGCCGGGCGCGCTGGAAGGCCAGAATTTCCGTCAAGTTGTCCAAAAGGCTTACTAAGAGCAGAATCCCAAATTCACGCCACTTATTACTGATTAATTATTATTTATTTATTTATTTATTTATGAACTTACATGATTTATCCTTTCGTACATGTGAGCTAGAGGCAAAAATGACAAATGTACATCCTCGGGGGTCAGTTCTGGAAATCCACTCTGAAATTGATATGAAATGAAAACATATGATTAGTGTACGCACTTGTAAAATCTACAATCGAACCTCTATTATTCCTATTAAGCGGTCATCAGCCATTCAGAGGCCAGTTACCAAAGTGCTACTGGACAAAATTGTCACTTAAAATTGTAAGCAAAACCTCCAATTAGGACTAATCTTTATTGATCAGCCAGTTGTTCCTTCCCCGAGTGTGGGCCATAGAGGTTTGACTACACCCACCTTCTAGTTATTATAGAACAATCCTAGGTGGATAAATACAGTTGCAAATGCTACAAGCTGTTCTTGAGATCGTAGCCTGGAGTTTCCAAGGTCTTAAAGCTGATAATCAAGATAGAATCTGGATGAGGGAGCCACGATCGACAACACCTTTTTTTATCAGAGTAACACTTTCTTGATGGTAGTAAGGCATTTTATTTACAATAACAATTAAATCTTGGCGGCTAAAGAGTAAAACTTAAGAATATCAAAAATAGCTAAATTAACCCTAAACAGTCGATTAAGAGATTCGTATATACCAGTCACTCAAGGAGAGCTTTGAGCAAGTTAGACCTTTTTCTTTTACAGGAGATCTCCGTACTTCTAAAAAGAGAGGTCTTGGCAGCCTTAATCCGCGAGACCTTTCTTTTCTTCTTTATAAACAGGTGCTCCCCACCCGGGTCCCAGGTGGGGAGTACCGCGGGCGCATCGAGACATTCACGGCTGTAGACTGAGTCTGGTCTTAGGTTCGAAGGGCTACTTTTTAGGTCAATAAACGTTCTAAGTTTCTGTTCCCCCTTCGCCTTCCCCAGACTGTACATATGTAGGGCGTTGTTTCTGTTTGTATTTTCAACCTCATTTGGAACTTACCTGTTGATAAATCCACCGATAGGCTGAGATGTCACTGACAAGGTTTGCATGAGTAAGGATTGCACCTTTTGGTGGTCCTATATTGATGGTCATAAGAAGTTTTGGTTAGTTCTGTACACTAAAAACTAAAACCTAACAAAGCTCAAAACCCATGTAAAAGGTTCAGAATAAACGAGAAAAAGGTAATTACCAGTTGTCCCACTTGTGTAACATACTGTTAATATGTCCTCTGGTTTTGCTGGCTGTTTATAAACACACATTGGGATTCTTGAATCGGTTTGATTTCTACATTTACTATTGCCTAATTACACTGATCTAAAAATGCTGTCCGTTTGCTAAAGGGCAGTGATACTTCAAATTATCTAAACTACGTTAAATCCATTCAGCATGTTCGTTCTAAATCTTGCATTCAGAGTTTTTGAATACTACGGATTAACCTTCTAAGCACATTGTTAACTTTCTTTGTCAACGAGGCACTGCAAAGATGCACCGTATTCTAGTGGGTTCAAATCACAAATTTTTATGAATTGTATTTCTTTCGTTCATTTGAAAGTAGGCAATTTCATTTAACATACTTCACATCTAACGGCAATTGCTCTTATAGAGCGTGATCAAAAGCACTAGGTTTTCATGTTGAATCCCATCAGAAGCTGGCTTGACTCCTCACAAACCATTTAAATTAAGACACTTACACACGACTGAAAAGTATACAATTAAGTGTCAAGTGCTCTTCTTTACTTTTTTAAAACAAATTTAATATATAGTTCAAAACTCACATACATTTAGTTCACGAGGATTCTTCTCTCCTAATTCCTGTAAATTGACAGAGAAAGGTGGGCTTACAGGTTGAATTGAATTGTGGTCAACAGACCCTGACTCCGAAGCCACGCCCAAAATTTATTCCATTTACACAAGGTGCATGAGAAGTGTTTTCCCAGAGTTTATAAGAAGAAGGGAATTAAGTGTATTTACATTTGAGTGAACCAGGAACTGTGATTCAGACTGATTCCTTGATTTTTTCATTATTGTTTTCTCTGTGGAAAATCGGAGCATAAAAACTAGCCATGGTCAGCAAAACGAACTCTTATTGAGTGCTGAATGTCCTTGCATTTTCTCTACAAATTTAATGCGGTTTTGAATACATGTTTGCGAGATTTACAAAATCGCTTCATCATGCAGCAACTTAGAGAATTTAATATATTACTTCGAATTAAACCCTGAGCTACATGCTCTTTGCCCAATGTTTTCCTAATGTCTTTGCAAATAAATATATTTCTATTTATAAAGATCAATTGAGCCTGGAGCGAGTAACGGAGGCTTGTTGCTTAGGACTTGACCTACCTCTAAATCAGAAAAAGACATGATTTGGAGTCCCAGTCCCTTTGCTGTCGTGCTTTGCTCCTCCGTTACCTGGGTGCCAATCTTTATCAGATACTTTAGCCCCTTACAGGAGTGTGCATGCTCCAAAAGCGAAGAAACTTTGTCTTCGTTGCAAACAATAGTTGAAATCTCGGCTGTAATGTAAACGTATAATCAAAGAATAAAGTTTTCAAGAAAATCATTGCTTTCAAGCCGCTTTGAGATCATTATAATGTAGACTTGTTCTGAGGTTTAAGGCGGCCTCGTGGAAATGAATCAAAAAATCATAATATAAGTCAAACGAGTACAACTGTTTAACGTCCTAATTTCTCCCTCATTTGACGCAACTTCACAAGGGGTTTATAGTTTCCAGCGTTCGGTTGTTCGGTTAAAATGACTGTGATTCATTCTTTAAGACGATAAATATGCGTATACCCAAGACAGTGCCTGAAAATGAAAAAATCCTCTGAATCCAGGAGCCTATCACCCTGATGAATCTGAGTCTAAAGCTAAGAAGCAATGGTAATAGCCCAAAATATAGATGCTCTCCAAAGAGAGAGAAAAGACTGTGGATAATGTAAGTCGAAATATTTAAAACAGAAACATCTGCATTAATTCTTCCTGTCCTTTCAAATAATCCCCCTTTTTATAAAGAATTAGACTGTTCGTAGCCCACAGACAAAACTAAACTTCGGTTTAAGGTCTCGGTAAATGAAAATTTTATTACATTGCTCGATTTTGTTTTTTTTTTTTATTTTTGGCATGAGTGGGTCCTAAGTTTTATTTTGGCAGAAAAAGAAAACCAGAAAGTGCTTTTTAACCCTTCTAAAATGAGCCTTTTCTGAGCTAACCAGCCAAGCGTGGACCTCGCGCTAAATCTTCGGAGCTGATTTTCTCTCACTCTATTTTAGGCGCAAAAATCAAAATTCTCCGACCTCCAGTCGGGACAGGTTTTAAGCTATCGCTTTGAAACTTTCAGATATGATGGATAATGATATAGACTCAAAAAGGGTATGAGGAATTTTCCGATTTCCCTTTGTAACTCATTTTATGTCAGTTTCTTTGCGTAAATCGCGCTCGAGATTCGACTTTTAGTTTGAAATGCAAATTCCGCTAATAAAACATATGCAAATTTCCTCCCCTTTTTTAGGTCTTTTATCTGTCAATCAGATGCAATAAAAAGGAAGTGAATATTTAACAACGAAAGGGCTGGAGCTTCAGCAGTAAACTTGATACCTCTGACAGAAAATTCTGAAATAAAATCTTTTATAAGGTAATTTAGTTTTTAGTTTAACGATATATAACTTGCCTTGGTAGCGTAAATACTCGCGCGACTAGAATTTTTTTCTGTGGGCACCTCGTTTTCCTTTACCGAGACCTTAAGTCCGACGGGCCCCCACCCGTGTACCCGGATTTGAGTACGCGCCATGAATGACCTGTTAAAAAAGTAATTTTCAATGCCAGTCGGTTTGAAGGCAAATTCGAAACACATTTCCGGTACTTCGTCGAGTCCGTTTGGCGCCTGCTACGCAGGCTAAGAACAAAGTTCGTAGACGTCACTGACCGGGGTTAGTGTAAGTCTGTGAGGCAGGCTGGCCTGTTCCAGGTTTCAAGATAGTGGTGATTCGTGACTATGGCACGAAAAATAGAAAGTGTGAAAAGTGCACAGGGGGATTTTTCGTACTAATAATCACCATCACTGCACATAACTGTCTTGGAGCCTGGGAAAGGCCAACTTCATTTAGCATGGTCACTGAAAGTAGCATAGCGTACTCATATAGATATATAGTTTCAGAGGGAGAAAGAGATGCCGGGAGATTAAAATTGACGGGCTTATCCTCCAGCCCCTACCGTGGCTGATGATGTAGATGCAGTCCTGAGGGCCGTGTGTATCATACACAGGCACGGTGACCATAGAAAACATCTCGCACGCCAGGTCAGTTAGGGTCCACTGAAATGAATGCATAAATAAAATGCTGTCTTTAATGATCTAGATTTTCTGGACTGTGTTTTCTGTGAACAAACGGAAATGCATAGAATGTACGTGCAAAGCTCGCTAGCCGTAAAAAAATCTCTAGCCGAAATTTGTCATTTTAAAAGTGTCAAAATGGTGTGTCGTTCCTTGCAGATATTGGATCCTGTTTTACGAAAAAAAGAAGCTAGAGTAATACTCCAGCTTGTTTTCTTCGTTCTGAATGGTTGCAAAGTACTCCTGTTTTAGAACAATGGAAATTAATTTTGAAAATTTTTTCAAAATTTCTGTTAACCGCATGAGTCATAAAACCAAAATATTAACCGTCTCCCATACAAGCAACTCTGTCAACGGATGAAAGATTTTGGATTGTACTCCTATAAAAGTACAAGTACTAGTTAGTATCATACGATATCATACCTCCACACGATTTGGTCCATAAATACCAATGAAACTCTTTTGTGAAGGCTCGCAACCAATAGCAACCAAGCCTCTACCGACTTTCGTTGCACGTTCGTGGACCTGGGGAGAGAACAAGTAGTTATATTTTATACTTTTGCTTCTTTCGGTTCTCTTTTGTATGTTCTCTTTTGGAAGAGGGCATCTGCAATTTATGCTCAAAGATAAATTGATCTTATGTCACGTTTAAGGTGATATCTCGTAACCATGACTGAGCTGAGTAGAGGTTTTAGAAGAGCTGAACACGAAACATCTGTGGGTGGAGTGGGAGGGTGTCATCCTCGCCTCATCCCCCCACGCACCCTCGTCCCCTCGCCCCCTCGCCCCCTCACTTCCTCGCCTCCTAACCGCAAGGGTTTAACTTGAATAGAACTCTCTACCTTTTTTGTTTTTAACCTGTTGCCAGGTTTTTTATTGTTATTATTAGATATTTTTTACAACAGTTGCGAGAAAATAAAATGAAGAAAGAATGGAGAGAAAAAAAGAACTCCCTACCTGGTTATACGATAGCCACGTGTATTGTTTGCTTTCTTTGTTCCATGTTCCAAGACAGGGACCATCACCTTAAAAATTAATAACTTGTTTCAAGGATTTGCACAGTTAAGAAAATCCGGATTTTGGCATCCCAGAAATTTATGCTCTTAGAATCCGGAATGCTGGGCTTTGGAATCTGGAATACAGCTTATTGAATTCCAGAATCTCACTAACGATTGGGATCCGGATTCCCAGTTCCACTGACAAACGATCCGGAATCCAGTAGCTGGAATCCGGAATCAATGACATGGAATCCAGAATCTAGGACTGTCTTGGATTCCCTTGCATTTACGCGGAAGGATGTTCATCCCATGATTTCAAAGTACTGTTCTAAGTTGAGAGGATGGAACTTCCTAAACCTTCTTTGATTTGCTTAGACTTATTAAAGGCAGGTCATGCTGCAATAAGCGGTTCATTTTCAAAAAAAAAAAACCCTTTCTGAAGTGAAACAATCGTCTCTGGAAAATATGGGTATCAAAATAAAAAGCTTTTTTTCCCTACTGGACAGACTCGGAGAGTTGTAATAAGAATTATGGTTTGGAAATAAAGTCTTCGATTCGAGACGGAATTGTGCAACAATGTTCTTCAGAAACAGATAAGCTCTTTGATACTCGTCATAGGCGTAGCTTATTTATCATAAGTCAAACTCCTCATTTGACAACACTTTTCCCTTTAGGTTTGATGTAAATCATAGTCCAGGGGGGGAGGGTACTACCTATAATGGCCTATACGGGGAGGCTCCACCCGAAAGAGGTACCTTTTTCACAGGTATATGAAAAGTTAGAGGTTTCACCACTTGAAGCATAGAAGGGTAGGGAAATCAGTCATTTCGGTTTGTAGAAAGGCTCTAAAGGGCTAACAGATCACAGATGCATTTTTTGGCTGCGGAAGAGTGGAGAAAACATTTTAATTTTGTCATTTATTCATATTTAAAAGACAGTCCTTTTATTACATTTGGAAGGGATGCAAGGTTTTAAACAAGGTATCTGAAAGGGGTACTATTCGTCAATAAAAGGTCAAAAATGGGATATAAAAGAGTAAAGGGTTGAACCTCGAGGCGGAGCTCCCAGTATAAAATTTCTTTCAGTACCGACCCCGCGCCACCGATCATAGCTGAAGACAAATAAAGAGAGACCTTACGGCCTCTGCCAAGATTGACGTCACTCTGTCAAATACCTTATGTCGTTACATGGCCTTAGCACCTTTGACAGTACAGCAAGTGTGACTGAAAAAGCGGGCGGTACTGGCTTTTGTGTTAAAGAAAGAAAACTCAACCTATTTCAAAGGAGGTAATAATTGGATAAACTTACCAGTGATGCTCTTTCCTCGAAGAAAGCTCTCATACACCGTGGTGACATCAGGATATTGTCGGTCGATGATCTCTGTCGTTAGTGCGCACCTTCGCGCACCGTCAGTACCCTGTGATAATTGATCAGGTGATTCAGAACAGACTTCCCTCACGTCAACGTAAGTTTATATCATACGGACACCTTTATGATATTTCTAAGGTCGTGTTCTATTGGAACCAACCGTTTTTGGGTGGTTGGGTTTTTTCGTGTTCTGTTGGCAAGTTTTTGGTTGGTTTGGTTCGATTGGGAACTTCAACCAAATCAACCAAAACGTTTGGTTGAAATGGTTAGTACCACTAAAACACGGCCTATATTTCTATAAATTTGTTTTTTCAGACATGCCAGGTTTCAATAAATGTGGAAAATCTAGAAATCAGTTGCAAGAGCTGAACTGATGACAAATTCGTGTGCCTTACTTCCCAATCGAGACTTTCACGTAGTTTTTTTTTGACCAAATGAAATTCGGTCCGATGATAGCCCAGGCGCTAGACGTTAAAAGGTAAATGATGGTAATTGAACTGAGGTGGTTCCATGGGGTGGAATCTAGAATCCAAGACTGTCTTGGATTTCCTTACACGGAGGGAAAGGGGAGTGCAATTTGGTCCTTGAAATCTCAAGTATGATTTCAGACCAAAATTGCACGACGTAAAGTTCAATTACCACTTACTACAGCCATTTTGAAATCGCAGAATTCAGTCAGTAGCAATATTTTACCGATTGATCAAGTAGCCGGTTTGTTGAAAAGCGGAAACAAAAAGGCTTTTACATCCATTTTGTCTTCGAAACAGAAATGATGCGATGTAGAGCAAAAATGGTGCGATTTAAAAAAGAAATGAAACGTTTTAGAACATGAATGATGCGATTTACAGCAAAAAATAGTTTGATTTGTAAATTAATCACATTGCTGAGAGCCAATCAGATTGCAGGGATTGCCAGTGATTTCAAAATGGATATAATAAATATATAAATCTGCATTATCCTGGATAGCGCAATTGGTTTTCATAATTATATATAATCCTGTGGATAGCGCTCAGCATGCATCTTTTGAACAACCAGGATCTGTTTTCGAAGTTTAGTATTGACGTAATTCTATTTTACCTCGATCTCAACTGACTGAGGGTGAGGTGGCGGGTCCATTTTCTGTCGTGATCGACTTCTCCAAAAACGAACGATGACAAGAATCGTAAAGCCAGTTATCGCTGTAAAAACAGCTACTGTCCCAGACGAGACTCCTGTAGAAGCAAAACAAGACAAAAAAACATAATTCAGTAATTGGCAATGTCTACGCGAGTCCGTTTAAGTTTGTAGACGCACCGTCCACATGTGACGGAACAACGTTAACCGTCCATTGTAAAAGGTTTCCAGAGTGGCAATATGGCAATATACATTTAGTGTTCGAGTGGTTCAAAGCTGCGGTAAACGTCTAAAGTGTGTCTACTTTTAAAAACTCTGAAGGAACTGGATCTAGCCGACCTTTGAGAAGTTTACCTTTTGTTGTGGTCTCAAGAACCATGCTGTTCACAGGGACATCCAACGACTGTTTCCTGTAAAATATCTGTTCGGAGAAGCAAATCTTGTCTAGAATTTTCTGTTACTTGAGAACGGCTAAAAATTTCTATAGATGGCCGTTCCATTCATGTACAATTTTTGAAGCTTATCTAATAAATTCCCTGCGATACGTCTGAAGTTTAATTTTCACATTTCACCCCCCGGTTTAGGCTATTTTTCGTATAAAAGGAAAGCTAAAATTTTCGGTTTCAAAAGTGTGATGAAGAGAGGAATCAGGAAATTTTCATTTTCGTAATACGTTAAATTACGCCTAAAATTTTCGGAAAAATAATACTGAAGCCTTGTAATTTCGAAAAGACTCAAGTCCGAACAGATACAAATTTTATAGCGCCGCTAAGATTTCTTAAAGTGCTCTGGATAGTCTAAAAAGTGTTTTCATGTATTTAGGAGGAAACCGTTGTTGGGGACCCCTGTGTTCAAAGCTGCTTTTAAAACGCATCCCCACAAATTATTAAAACACGGGATCGTAACTCCAACCACCAGGCAAAATAGATTTGATGGATTGAATCATACAATTACCTCTGTGAGAGTATTAAGTCCAAGGGGTTGAGAAAATACAAAACAATCATGATTAATATCAACTGACAAATGGTTTTAAAAATAAGCGTATTATGTCACTGCGTTGCTGGGGAAGATGTGAAGTGGATCAGCTTAGAATAAATTGTTACTGATTTAAGTATAGAAGAATTTCACGGTAATCATGAAGATTAAAATGCTAAACATTTGCAGTCAATATAAAATGTGCGTAAATTTGCTTAACGATTTCACAAAACAATGAAATATTTCTGAGAAATTCCCCTCAGTTTTTCTCTTACAGGACAGCAGAAGCGTTTTCGTTAAAAAATTTCAGAAATTTCGGCGTCTGAGATATTCTTACGCATTAATTAGTGAGTCAAGCTTACAAATTCCATAAAAATATACTGGATCAACAAGAAAGTTACACATAAGCTCAGATACAAGTGGGCAGAACTGAGATTGTTTCGTTGCCGTTGCTATTGTTGTGTTGTTTTGATCTGTTTGAAACTGTCATCTATCATCGTACCATAACGAAAATAACCAAAATATCGGAATTAAAAAGTAAAATCTCCGAATCTTTTGGACAAGATTTTCAAATTATACGGAATTCGTCGTATTGGACATGACTGGTTAAATCCGACACGTTTCACGCGAAGTTACGTAACACGAGAACACAGATCGCCACGTGTGATAAAGGCGGGTAATATCCTTTTGTCAGTTTTAACGTCGACGAAGCCCCGCGGTCGACATCTGTTCCCGTAGGCAATCATTGAAACTTCAAGAATCAGTAAACACGTCGGTTTGGAATTAATTGCATTAAATTCTGCTTTGTATATTTTTATCTGTGATGTGTAGAATTCTCAGCTTCCCTAAATTAGTGTTGAGTCACTGCCTCTCACGGCATGTTGTTTGAGCCCCGCGCTTTGCGCTAACTTTATCTTCCTTTGCTTTGACTTTGTGGCTTTTCTGTCCATTTAGTATTGAGCTATCACTCAGTTATAATTACAACTATAAGTAAATGCTCGAAATTGATGCATAACCTCATATTGTCACTTAGCAAATATGAACACATATAATATCAAGTGCACCATTTTGGGGGGGGTGGGTGGGGGGGGGATACAACTGAACTCGTAGCGAATTAAGAGTCACTGAAGAGTGGATTGTAGTTTAATATCTGTGGCATTTCAACCGTTAACCGATCACACCTTATTTTTTGACGGAAACAAGGCATTTTGAAAACCACGTAGCAAACAGCGTAATTATAGCTATAGCTATACAAAAGAAAAATGAGCAAAAAATAGGAAACCAACAGATTTGACTTACTGACAATTAGAAGTTGACCCCCTTTTCTTCTAAATTTGGTTTGATCAGTTCAGTCAGAATGGCTAATACAAGTCACCCGCTCATTCCAGAGAATAACCTTCGAAACACTCACAACTCATGATGGAGGAGGTATTTACACCTGAAAATGCCTAAATGATATGCGACTGGGCTGAGAATCTTTAAATGCAATGAAATACAATCACAAAAGTCTATTAATGATATGGCTATACCATTTTATGGTCAACCATCCAATATGATGACAATTTGTTTTCCGCCAATTCAAACTAACTATCTTGTGCAGTATTTTAATAACGCATGTTGGCTGAAGGCCCAAAAACTTCAAAGTGTGCATAATTTATTTTTGATTTATTTCGGCTCTTAATCAAATGTCCAAACACAAAAGACGAAATCCGGTCCTTCCAGGTCTTCAAGAACAAGGAATCCGACCGAGATGATTTTGTAAGTACCTATGCCAGTTCTGTGAAGTTTCCGAAGTGTATTGATAGCGTCCAATAGCAAACAGCGCCGGTTAGCTTCGGAAATGCTTCAATATGTCGCCTGGCGTAAGGCGAGTAGAAGGTGGGCGCGTCTGAGACTTAATGACGTGACTGACTCCTTCAATTTGTTACCCTTCATCTGATCTGTTGTAATTCTCAATGAAAGAGCTTACTTGCAGGCAACTGAAGGAGAACCCTAGTTAGCCAGACGAAAAGGTTTCTAATTTGTACACGTGTTAACAATACAAGGTGCGTTTTGTGGAAAGTAATTGAATACTCGCTCCACTCCTCCAGTTTCTTTCAAACGCCTAAGTGTATAGCAGGAAATATCCCCTGATCCGTCTCGTAACTCAAATGAACGTTGCTATTTCACTCACGCTGAAGGCTGCCCACTAGATACAAGATTCTATTTGGGTCAACCTTAGCTGTAAGCTCGGCTGGTGATCGAAATCCCATGGACATCTCACCTGAGTGGTTCAAGCGTTCCGGGATTTATCTTGGTGTGAGAACTTAGCCGGAAGTTTTTCTTTATTTTACACTTGCTATTAATCCTGGCTTTTTCTCGCTGGTATAATGTCTTTAATTATTTTCTTTAGTTTACATCCCTCGCGAATGTTTCAGGTTCATAAGTACGAGGATGAGGGCCGTGTTCTGATAGACCACGTGATATGCCACATGATCGTTCTTATAAAAAAAAAACTTAATAACGAGTCAAGACCAATTATTTATGATCTGACATGCTGAGCACAACTATAAAATAGCGTGTTTACTAACCTATCGTGCTGAAATTACCATTTATTGTTTCAGCTAAAAATTAAGCCTCTGAATATTAAAAACCTTGATTATTAAATTAGAGCACGTTTATTCCAGACAACGAAGGTTAAAAAAGACATTAATCATTCAGAAATGTTAACTATTTATCATAAAGATTGCTAGGCCCTGGTTGTATGAACCGTACCGCAATATGCATTCGGGGAAAACTGAACCTTGTTTACAAACAATCTAGCAAAATATATTGTCGATCAGTCATTTCCCGATAACATTTTAAAAACCTCTTTAACAATTTAAGACAGATAACTCTTCATCTAAAAATTTGGTGACACATAATAATCGATGCAAAATTCTTTAGCTGTCCGTAAGTGATAACAGCTGCTATACCCATGTTAACCTTAATACTTTACGCGATGTAGCTTAAGTACTGACTTTTCGATGGCTTCACTTTGATAACATTAATTATATGTCTTGGATTTTACCTTAAATGGCACTTACGTTTTGCAGAAACTTCTTACAGTTCCTCCCTGTCTTGTCTTGTCTTGTCTTGTAGCAATCAGTCGAATGTTTCGATTCACGAAAACAAAAGCATATTTTTTAATGGTTGATTAACAATACAGTCATGCGCGTTTTACAACAAAAATCACATTGCTTACAGCGCAATACGAGTCCTTTGCTACAAAATATGTAGGACTAACAAAACAAGCGCAATACCATGTTCTGTTCTGAAGTGTTTTTTCTTTTGAAAGTTCAAAAATTTCCGCCTAAAGAACAATTTTTAACCACCTTGTTCAGCCGCTAATACCGCAAGAATGCATACGTACTTCTTCACGGTTTCATTCACTTGAATAGACACATTTGAAACGCAGGAATGTGCCACTCGGAACAGCGGTCGCCGTCGATTTTTGGGGTCCCGTGTCTTGAACAGGGTACTAAATTTTACTGTTAAGCGTCGTAAACAGGGTTTCTTCCTGGACCGGAACCAGGCGGGCGGAGCACAGTCTAAAAGTGTTGGTTGGTACCAACAACTTCTTTATTGCAAAAAATTATATTGTCAAAAAAAACCTTTTGTCTTAAACAGGGTAGCGAAATGAACAGTTTTTATTTACAGCCGGGCCAGGATTTGCCACACACACCCTCAACAATCCCTTAAGTGCCCCCGGCTCACTTAACCGTTCATTTGAATGAACATACTAATTCAGCAAGATTTCATTCACAGACTGAAAAGAAAAGACAGCTTGTATATTATAATAAAGGACACCACAGAAAAGCACTCCACTTCGATTAATCAAAAAACTTGGAACTTTTTCACAGACTGCAAATTCAACAGCCTTACAAGGCGCCATCAAAATAACAGCCATGGCAGAGTTCATTTGAAAACAAACCGCGCATACTTCGCATGTCAACAGCTAGAACCGCTTTGCATGCAGTGAATAAATACTGCTTTGGGAATGCTATACAAGCGTTTGTTTGAATGGATTAAGCGTACACATATTTATTTCATGGATAAGAAGAATTAAATTGTTCTTTGATCACGTTAATTGAGAATCATAAGGCTACATCTTCATGACTGTTAAGTTAACAAGTACTTGCAAAGCATTTAAAATATATGTATTTAATGATTCATAATGACTTTAAGTAAATCTGTTGATCTAACGTACCCCTGAAGTCTTATCTACTTAATACTTTTTCCTTTGGTTCGGTAATAATATCTGTGATAATCAGCCTCTAGCTTAGATAGGTAGGTATGTAAGAATTATATAAGCCCACCTGTTAACAAGTACATATTGACTAACAGTCTGTTGATCTAACGTACCCCTGTAGTCTTACTTACTCTGGTCCGATAATAATATCAATGATAATTCCTCTAGCTTAGATATGGTATATAAGAGTTATATCAGCCCACCTGTTACAGAGAGTGTCTTCATCTTTTAAAATGCACAATTTCCAAAAGTTCACAAGTCAATCGTTTCAATCGCAAACCAAAATAAAAATTATACACATATGCAAAGGCGAGCAGTAGATGCGGTCTTAATTGATGGACCACGTGTGTTAACGATGTGGTTTAATTAGGAGACTGGCTTGAGTGAATTCATAATCATTGTTTTTGCTCAATGGGTGAGGGATAAGAGCCATAATTATGGCTCTTGGTTAGGGAATCATGGTCCAAAGAATAAATATTAAGATCAAAATTTAATACGTTAGCAATTTTGTTACCGTGCTTTACATGATATGCTTAAGTGATTTACTCATTTTCGGCTTACGGTTTTGCCTTTGAATACAATGGATTATCGAGTCACAAGGGAAAGCGCTTTTGTTGGCAAATTTGCATTTTCTCAGTTTATTCTGCTTGGATGACTAACTTACATAAAAACAAAGGGAATACTTTAGGGGGAGGGGGTACTCGCTATAATGGCCCATACACGGAGGCTCCGTCTGAAAGGGGTACCTTTTATAGGCTTCAGTAGAGGTATGTGAAAGGTTACGGATTTCACTAGTTGAAGTGTATGAAAGGGCAGGGAATTCTGTCATCTTGGTCCAGAAAAAGACTCAAAAGAAATAACAGACGCATTTTATGGCTGTGAAAATGTCGAGAAAACATTCTAGTTTGAGGTTCATTCATACCTTAAAGAAAGTGCATTTGCAATAGTTAGAAGAGATGCTAAGTTCTAAAGTAGGGAATATGTGCCGGTGAAAGGGGCACCATTTGTCAAAAGAAGGTAAACGAAAGGGGTACGTTTTCTTCCAAAAATGGTATATAAAAGGGTAAGGAGTTGGACCTCGGGGCGGAGCCTCCCCGTATGAAATTCCTTTCTACTTGGTTAAGTACTAATATGGTGCATACTATATAAAATCATATTAGTGACCATTTAATAGTAAAAGTATTAACCACAAAGGACTGCAAAGGATCGCAAACGAATATGCCGAAGAACGTAGGATCTATAAAGACCTGATCAGCAAAAATAACAAGTAGACATATATATACTGTACTGTTCGCACTACGTGAAATTAACTTTGCAAGACATCAACACGACACCGAAAGAACTCAAAACAGAGCGGGATTGTAGCCACAGACAGCTGTTTCACTATTATTGTAGCTCTTCAGTATGGCGCAACAACATAGAAAGCTTCAGAGTGTGCCGGTGATTTTTCAGCTAAGCTGGGGCTTTGACGTAGGGTCGCTTTTTTAAAGAGAAATTAACTCCCCAAAGCAAAGCCTGTCATGAGATCATACGAAACTACAACGGCGACCGCGAGGGAACGTCATATGATGACGATTTAATCTGAGCAAAGCAACAAGTCTACTTGTGCCAGCTGATGTGCATCAAGGCTTCCCGTCAATTTCTATGTGGTTTCAACAACCAACAACTTCGTGACCCGAACATGACTGACCAAAAATGAAAGTTCGTTTGAAACTTGAACACGGTTAGGCGATAAATCTCTTTAAGCTCTGGTGTGGTCCTCTCTCTTCAGCTCCAGCTTAATTTATTTGTCCCATGTTTAAAAAGAGGTAACGAGTTTGAATTACGGAGAAGCTAAGTCTGTTAAAACTACCCGAAATCGGTTTTTCAAATGAAGTTTTCACTCGCGTCGCCGTTGTCGGCTCGTATAAGGTCCCTAGAGACAAACCTAGAGGGCGGTTTGAGAGAATTAGTGGCCTCAAAACATGTACGTTTTAAACAAGTAGATGGAATAAGTCAGTCAAGTCTCCTGGAGTGAGTACATATTAAATGTGTTTTTAACCTTCTTTATACTGTCAAAAACAAAAGTATGTAGAACGGAGTTTGTGTAAACTCAGCCGCCAGGCTTCTGTACCGGGGGGGGCACTTGGGTATTTTTTGGGTGTGTATGTGCCGCCCGGGACTCCAAATTGGCACCCCGTTCTAAAAAAAAATTCCCCTAAAATTGATACCCTGTTCTACAATTCGCCCTAAAACTGATACCCCGTTCTAGAAATGGGCCAATTTTTTATACCTCGTTCTAGAAAACACCTCTGAAATGGTACCCCGTTCTAAACCAGGAGCTTCAAAATCACGACCCCGTTGGGCGGCACATACCGGTATAGGTAATGTATGGGAGTACCTCCCCCCCCCCCGGGCTTCTATAGGACTGGACAGCATACCCAGCCTCACGAACATGATACTTTAATAAAGCGTTTATATGGGAATATATGAATATATAAATACCTTTGCACATGCAGGAATAATACTGGCATCAAGAAGCAGTCAGTCAGGGTGAGATGATCTATAAACTTTCGTCTCGCTGCAAAATAGTCTCCTTTCGAATTAAAAATTACCGCTGAATACAAACATTAAAGACACATTCATACAGGGTTAGCCTCGACGTAAAGTGAAATATTCAGAAATTCCGGCAAGTAAGTGTTTGGAATTTGCATATACACAATAGACAGAGTAATAAACAGGTCTTTTTCTCGATGGAGTTGCGAATATATTACTTCAGATGGAGGCTAACGCTGTAAAAAATGCGTCTTCAGTTCTTTAATTCAGCGGTATAGCGAACTCGAAACTGGACTATTTTATACCCTGGGGAAATCTGGGCCGACATTTCGCGATGCACCATTGTTTTCCCCGTGAAATGACGTCTAAGCCTGGAACGAGCGCCGAAATTTTAACTAGGGGTAGCAAATTTTCAACCAGTGAGAAGCACTATCGAGATCTGGGTAGTGACAGGTCATCAGTATCGTTCCTCAGAAGTCATCACGTGGAAAAACCAGTGATGGCGTAGCGGAATGTCGGCTGTTTTCTCCCCAGGCTACGATTTAACCCGTGGGCCCCAACTCCGGATTGCCCCGGCTACCCGAGGTTCTCCAAGAATATACAATTTTATGGTCCAAACTGTGATAAATAGATTGAATATTTGATGTCAATTATCGTGCTCAAGTCTTCCTAGCGACTTCACTAACATGAAATTCTTCAACGGAGACGAATCCTCTCTGTTTAATCGAAGCTCAAAATCACGGGAAAGAACAATTCCCATGTCAGGCCCTTTTTCAGTGAACACTTCAGATCGTACTTAGCGAGCGCACGTACTGCGCTCGCTTATCCACTTCCGCGTTTAACTCTTGGAATTTTCCCTCAAAGGCTTTCTGGACTACAGGTCGCTTTGTCTTGAACGTGGGCGTAAGGAATCCATTTTCAATAGAAAACAGTTCGTTGTGTATGTGGATGGCTTTAACCTGCGGAGACAAATGAGAAAAGTTAGTAAGAGGACAGGAAAAAGCCGAGTTCAAATGATCAGTTTTAAGGTGATTCCCTAGTAAAAGAAACTAACATAGATTGCAGATGAAACTTGGTACACTGATATAACAAGTCAAGAAGATGATAAAAGAGTAATAAAAAGTGGGGGTCACCGTGCTTATTTTGACGTCACAATGCTGACAAATACGGCTATTTATGACCTTTTGACAAAAACCGAGCTCAGCCCAAAACTAGACAAAAAGGAGAGATTTTTTCGATGATGAATGTGATATCGCATAGAATTTGACTTTAATGTATTGTTTATCCACTTACGTACCAGAAAAATGCCTTTTAATGCCCTTGTTTTTACTTTACGCGCAAAGTGGATTTAAATTGGACACGCGCTATTCGACCCGTGATAGCTCAATCAGTACAATTTAGAAAAATTGTCAAAAAACTTAACATAGAGTTGTGCCAATTTTTTTCTTGTCGAAAGGAAGCACTGTCCATATTAAAATCTTGAAATAAAAAATGGGGTGCACCGTACTCGTTTTTGCGGCAGAGCTGCAGAAAGTGCGCACCAAATGCGTTTTCTCCGATTTTTGAGAGATGACTGGGGCGAGGTTCAAAATGGCATGTATGTGAAAGGGGAAAGAAAGTAATAAAAAAATCCGTTTTTACAGAATTTAAATCGATATATCACAGTTAGGACACAATGTGATAAAGAAAGCGTTTAAATGAAAATAAAGTGAGTAAGTACAAGTTTAACATCCACTCGGCGAGGTTCTCATTGAGGAAGTCGAACTCAGTAACACGCGTACTGCTTGCGTTATGCACATTCCCAACACACTGAGTCTCACCTCGGCAAGAGACAACCGCAAGCAAAAATTCCAATAGAGTTTCTCTTCAGTCATCTTCATTTGATGTTACTTTAGACACTCTTTTTTGCGGTGGCCATCTTATTATGCGCAGTAAGAGATGCGCTTTTGCAAAACCAGGTTGGTAATCACGCGTACCGTACTCTCATAATACACTTTACACGCTAATGCCATCGGTATGCATGTTTTTAAAATATAGTTAACCTCGTTTCCTCGAGATCATCCTCGTAAATGATATGCAGATTATCGCGTTCGTCTTGCATCTCTACTATTTGAGAAAGTGAAGGGAGTTGGGGGCTGTGGGGGGCTTTATTCGAGAGGGGCGCTTGTTTGACACTATGGCCTGGGGGGTGGGGGCTTAATTGGGGAAGAGCGCTTATTAGAGCGTGTGCACTTATTCGAGGAAATGTGATATGTACTATTTGAGAAAAAGGGCTGAAGAGCTTTTCTGAGTGACCTCATTAATGATTCCCTTCTTTAAAAGCTGATGAAGTACAAACCTGCTCAAAAGAGTTCAGTTTGGCTTCCTTGCCTTTCAGAATAATATCGTCGAAGATTGCTTTCTTCACCTCCTGGAAAAATGAATGGAAAACTCCCTTTTCAGGCAAGATCTGTTCTTTTGTCTCCTGGTCGAGAGACTCGGGTAGTAGTTAATTTGTTTGAAAGTGTGTATCAACCTGTGCAACTATTTACACGTGTCCGGATATTTTTAAATCCGCACCTTTTTCTTTTCAGATTCAAAAATTGCCAAGTCCACACATTTCCGGATTCAAATCGAATTTGCCTGTCCACACGTATCCAACACGCTTCCGGATTAACTGAAGTACCAAGGACTCCTCTGGGAATATTGGCAACAGAGCATGCGTCGTAAGGCGCACGAAATTTGCATCTTGCTCTGCCTTTCACAGTAAAGAACTGGGATCGATCTTGTTACGTCATAGGATTGAAGACTATCCGGATATAGCGTCCACACGATTTCGGATTCACGGCGTATTCAAAAATTTCCACTCTGGAGAGCGGATTCAAAAAACTGCGTATTCATATGGTGTATTCACCAAATGCGTGTGGAAGGAAGCCGTATCCGGAAAGAAAAAGTTGCGGATTTAAAAATATCAGGATACGTGCGTGGACGGGGTCTTCGAGGCAACTGTTTGTGGCCAATAGGGGAGGAATATCAAATAGGAAACTAATGGGTGCTGCCTTGCCGGACTGTCATGAAAAAAAATATATATATATAATAATTAATAAATAAGAAAATAAAAAATAAATAAATAAGTAGACGTCGCAAAGTGTCGATAGACAGGCTGAGGGTTTTAGTCCTGCAGTTGCACGAAGCCTGATTTCCATAAGATCTGGAACGCTAGGCAATCTGGTTACTGGCTACGTCACATCGCAGACTTACGCTTGGTGCTATTTTCTGAAATCAAGTCAAACAAACGTGGCATGTCTGCGATCGCTGTGATAAATGGGATTATTTGTTAACTTTTCTAGGATCGTCTGAATATGAGCAGCGTAGACGGCTTCAGATCGTATTGCAGGTTGTGACATTCCATTACAGTTTACATGGAAACCTGAGGTTTAGGAGTACGTGCTCTTACCTCGTTTTCGCAAAGGTCTGCAAAGTTTCCTGGGATTTTCTTACTTCGTGCCCAGGGCTCCAGAGTCTCTTGGTCTGGAACGATGATTGCTACAACATACGACTGAAATTGAAAAAAAAAAACCTGCCTTGTCCCATCACCTGTTTTAGGAAACGCGACCGCTTTCAGCGCGTCCATTAACTCATTTACGCGACCCTGGCCGATGCGACCCCACCCAATTGACACAAATAAATCTGAAGCACTAATTATAATAGATAGACCCTTGAACTCCAACTAACGCCAAATCCTTCTAAGTTTATATCATTGAACAATAACATTGGTTTGCTCGGATCTTGGTAAACGACAAAAAGGCGTATTCATGCTTTTTCAAGAATGCGACCTCTCGTCAACGAAACAAGTATTGGGAAAAGAGGTGAAAACGGAAGATAACTGGCACTTGAGAGGAAATAGATCAATCCATATCTTTTTATTGCTAGTGAGTTATAGTTGCTGGTGGTGTCTTGTTGTTTGACGACCATTTTCAGTGCATTATCTAGTACATCTGTAATGTATTTCAATTATAGCTTTTACAGGGTCTTTACAAACAGTTGCGAGAATTCTTTTTATACTGCCTTCATTGAAAAATCGAATTTGAATTTGAAGTGTATTCTGCGAGATTTTTCCCGGGGGTACTCCCTATAATGGCCTATAAGGGGAGGCTCCGTCCGAAAGGGGTACCTATTTCAGCCTTCAGGTATATGAAAGGGTAGGGATACCACTTGTTAAGTATATGAAAGGGTAGGGAAATCTGTCATTTCAGTCTGTCAAAAAGCCCAAAAGGGCTAACAGATGCATTTTATGGATGTAGAAAAAATCGTAAAAACGTTCTGGTTTTGTGGTGTATAAGACCTTATCACGGTTTTCGACGCCATCTTGACGAGTAGGCAAACGCGTGAAAAATTACAATGTTTGTATGAAAATCTAATGTCGAAATAATTTCCGTAGAACCTCTGTTCTGAAAAAAATATCAATTGTAAACTAAAGCTTCACTCCTAAGGATTCTACTGAAAAAATTGAGGGCGTTACATGCGCTAGAAGACTTAGAACCACTTTTTTAAATTTTCTATACATTTGTCTGTAAGGAAGTCCCGGGAAAAATTACAGACAAATATATGAAAAATCTAAAGCAAGCCTCTGGAGAAATTTAAGCACAGGTACGTCCCCAAGTTTTTTTTAGTGCAATCCTTTGCTTTGTAGCTTTAGTTTACAATAAAATTGATATTTTTTCAGAACAGGCGTTTTACGGAAATTATTCGACATTAGATTCTCATACAAACACTGTAATTTCTCACACGTTTGCCTACTCTTCAAGATGGTGTCGAAAACCGTGACAAGGTCTATTCATATTTTAAAGACAGTGCATTTACAGCAGTTTAATAGAAGGTATCATCAGGAGCATATATATATATATATATATATATATATATAGCCTACTGAAGGTGTACGAAAGGGGTACCTTTTCTGCCAAAAATGGTATATAAAGGAGAAAAGGGGCGGCTGGGCTTCGGGGCAAAGCTTCCCCGTATATAACTTTCAATTGGTAACTTACCCCCAGGGATTATTCACCTACCTTAAGGCTGTCACCATGTACAAACGCTTGGGCCACAAGAGGGCTTCGCATGTAAATATTCTCAATCTTCTCTGGTGCCACGTACTCACCCTTAACAAAATTTTAAAAATCCAAACATTTTGAAAAAGGAATAGTATCTCATTACTTCAAAATGTTTTTGTTATAATGAAGCAATTAAAGATTTTTGTACGTGTTTATCCCCTGATTTATTTACATGAAAAATATAACTTAATATCAAGACCATCTTCCTAAAGGAGGTGAATGGCTGATTTTCAGTGTCACGCCATTCAACTAGGTAAATATGCAAAGACCCTTGCCAAGATTCAGTTCAGTGCAATTTTTCATATGCGAGATATCCAGAGAAATATTTTACCAAAATTTATAGAGATTTGTTGTTGGCCATCCGGATGGTTACCAACATGACAGCCGGAAAACGAAAACATCTGTCACCGGGGTTTGCTACGGCGAGGGAATTCATCTCTCAAGGAACTCACAAACATAGGAGTACATAAGATAACAAAATCCCCCCAAAAATAAGTCTGACTTTTTAACCTACATGATAGCTCTCTCGCACAATGGCTTAGTAATTAGAGCATATTCTATCACAAAAAAGAAGCCTTTCGAAGTGAAAATGTGTATAAATATTAGTTTTCAGCTGCTGTAATACTTCATGAAAATAAAAACACAGTAACAGCAATAGTGAGTCCTTTGGTAAAATCACTGCACCTTACCTGAGCAAGCTTAAAAATGTGTTTGACGCGGTCAACGATCATCAATACACCAGTCTGGAAAAGAAAAAAAAATGTTTAAACAGTACAAATACATGATATACTACTTATTAACCTCGTCCGTTCGGTCTTTACAGGAAAATCTCAGACCGAGGCCTTGGTGATTCGGTCTGAGATTTCCCTGTAATGAACGAACAGACGAGGTTAAATGGCCTTTTCATTATGGAATTGAGCCTGCGATCAATTAAAACTAAAAGCTGGTCGGCGGAAAACTTTTAAAAACACGTCACCCCAATTAGTTGTTCACTTGAGCCCGTGTTACAATCAGGTGACAGTGGTCAGCGGATACCCTTTTTGACAGCTGCAAACTGACTATAACATGAATGTTCATAAGGATGTCCACTATCAAGTTAAACACAGATGTCCACGGACACCTCAAGCCCGGCCATTAAACACAGATTATTTGGCATAAATATCACGATATTTCAAAATTGTTATACGAAATTTCACGACGTTAGACACCTATCATATTTATGCCAAATATCACGTACAAATCATGCTATTATTTGTTTATACTACTACCCACAAAAGTTTTGTAATTTTCACATTTAGGTATTTCAAATTAAGCTGAAATACCACTGCTCTAAGCCAATCAAATTGCAGAAATTTCTCATGTAGTAGTATAAAAAAAACAGCTAATCAGAGCGCGCTTACTATTATAGCCATATAATAAAATTCGATAAAGTCTGATTGTATTACTGTTTTTACGCCTTGAGTAAATGCCTTTGATTGATTGTTGGTAATCTAAGCCATCCAGAACAGAAAATTACGATTCTATGAGAGCAAAATAAGAGAGACATTAGAACTTTAAACATCTTTCTGTTTTACATAAGAAGAGTGATTTTGAAATAAACGCCTCAGCATCGGAAAAGCTGAAAGTGGAATAAAGGCAGCGGCTTAGTAAATATTCTGCTACTATTGACTCGATTTCAAGGAATAATGTTACTGATGTGGTATTTAGTTTAAAATTTAGTCAAAAGAAAATATATTGTGTTCTCTTGCACATGAGCTTAAACGCTTATTTTCTGCAATGCCGTTTAAAATTCACTCAGTGATTGAGAAACGTCTCAGTTTTATGCAGGAGCTACTCTTTTAGGCTTAGCTAAATCTACTTCATTAGTTTACCGGAAGCCATTCACCAATATCTCCTGTATGGAGCCAGTCATCTTTGTCAATCGTCTCAGCGGTCTTTTCTGGAGCTTTCCAGTAGCCTTTGAAGACAATTGGTCCTTTAATGCAAACCTAGAAAAAAGAGGTTTCAGATGAAAACGTATGTATAATATGTCACGGTAGTTAATTCTACTTCCATCTACCAAGACAAAAATACGTAGCTTCTTTTTCATTTACCAATGGAGACTTGACAAATCTTACCTCCCCTCGACCGTTGGCAGCGATGCACTCCTTTTCTGGAACATCTGCTAACTTGATCAGACAACTTGGTAGGGGAGGACCAACATGTCCTAAAATCAAATGAGTTCAGAGTGGTTTGACACGCTCAGTCTGATATTGGTTGAAATAAAATATGTACAGAAGACTTAATAGGTAAAGAAAATTTTTTATTCTCGAGTTTCACGCACAGAGCGATGAAACTCGAAGAACTATTCCCACTACATACATAATTGACTCGTGACGCCGGAAATAGACCTAACTCCTTGAAATTTCCTCGTGTTGGGCCTGCGCTCTAGTGGCACGATGCACTGGGGCCCTTGCTTAGAATTTCTTGGTTTTTACCCGCCTCTCGGCCTGTTCAACGGACTTCAGTGGAAGAGACTAAAAAGTTTCGCTCCTTTTGCCTCCCTTTGTGGCGGGTGACGTAACATTCCCTCTTTATTCGGCATGCCCGTTGTCCTGGCAGTAGCGGTTTCCTCCAATAACTTAGTTCCCCGTGTCGGGACAATGGGTATGCAGTGTGAATATTGTACAAAAAAGTCTTTACCTTCGTTTTAAGCTTAGCCCGAATTGTTTTCTAGCGTTTAATGAAATAGTTCTCATATTTTAATTATTGCCCTTGGTTGCAACCTATCTTTGCATGCGATAAGGGCGACATTTGTAACTGTTAAATTTTCTCGTTGGAGTAGCCTCGCTGAGCTGCCGCCAAATCTCTTTTCATGAATTCTAAAATCCCTAGCACACCCCTCACTTCGGCCGCTAATTCAAGCCTCTGCAAAAGTTCGCCAAGTCGCCCGCGACGCCTAGCCTAACCTGTCAGCACGCTCACTTGTACCGGTTCTGGAAAAATCACTTTTTCTCGCGCCAGTTTTGCCCCGAACTCGCACAAGTGAGCTTGCCAAGCAGGCGCCGGTTATTCTATTACAGGTCGCGAGAGGGGAACACGCGTCCTCGAGATTTCTTTCTACACCCTTAAAAAACGACGTCTGCTACCCAGGCTACACGACGCCTATCTCCAAAAGCTTTGCTCGACCACCTTCCATCGTAAATTAAGCGCAAATGAATTTGGTAATCTTTCTAATTAGCGGGTTTGCCCTCAATTCAAAAGGTCGTTACACACTGGAGGACACCCAGATTTGTTCCGGTAGCATGTTCCCAGTGCATCGTTGCCTAATGGCAGGAGTGACCTCGAGGATGCTATAGTTGACTGTAAGCCCAGAGGGGCTACTCCGGGAAAATGCGGCAAGCTTCAACAAACATCTACTCTATTTCACACAGATATATGTGAATCTCCAGTTACCTTATTTCACATTAAAATATGCGTTTTCCTTTCCTAATATCAAAATTGTACCTTGTTCTAAAGAGTATAATTATTACCCATAATCTATTCTATCTTGAGTATTTGACGGGATCAGAATACGGAATCGAAGTATCATGAAAGTTACCTTTTGACGCATCACCTAACCCTCCCCCTCCCTCCCCTCCCTCTCATACAGACCTGGTGTTGTATCTGTAATCTTGCCTATGGTCGCTGCTCCCGAACTTTCAGTCTGTCCATATCCCTCTAAAACCTGAAAGAGAAAAGCAAATGGGATCGTGCAGTGTAACTCACACGCGAAACACGCGAAACTGGAGACACGTAACGTAACGTACTCTCTCAAAGGATATGAGGAAGTAAAAGACCCTCTAAAAGAGAAGAATTGATATGTTCATGGTGCTACTGTCGTCACATCATAAGCTGAGCCCTTTATTTTGTTGCGGGGCTACCATATTGGAAAACGAGAAGACCATGGACTGGGTTACTTGCAAAAGCGTGAATTTCGAGGGAAAAAAAACAGATATAAGCGATTAGAGAGTCCCTGAATAAGCTGTTACAAAATTTAGCTGTCAATTATAATTTTGGCTGTTTTTTGATGAGTAGCTGTACAGCTGGTTTCATTCTCTTTGAACTAAATTTAGCTACAGTCAAAACTATAATCAACTTGAATAAAGAATAATCGCGTGCCAGGAGATTTGGTATAAAAATACAGGTCAGATCAAACAGGCTTTTCAAAAATGGTCACTAAGGGCTTCCTTCAGTTGTCATCCAGACCCTCACTACAGTATAGCATTTCAAACGCTTAAAAACTGCGGCAAACTTACGTGACAAGATCCGAAGACGCATCTCAAGAATGTCATGACTTTTGCCGACAGAGGTGCTGCACCGGTTGTGATCAAGCGAACTTTCCCTCCAAGGAGAACCTGTAAATTTAAGAAAATATACTGTCGAGCCTCCGCTAACGGCCACGGCTTTCTTCTGCACCCAAGGTGGCCGTTGCAGAGAGGTTCAACTGTATATAGCATGTATTACAAAATCTATTTGACTATTTAGACGACTTGTTCTTGTTTGCTTTTATTCGGTAGTCAACGAGGCGCCTAGCACCAATTGCAAGTTGACTTTTTACGTCAGAACGAGTATAGTCTTATTTCATAGCCGGAAACCAACTTCAAAAGTATAGCATACAAACTTCGATTCTTTGAATAGTTTTGATGAAGATACCGAAAGTTATGAAAAAACAAGCCTTTATTCAACGAGAATCCAACAACAGTCGCTTGCTTGTCACATTTGTCTTTTATACTATTCAAAATGTTCATTCTATATTTTGGCCGATTTTTTTTTTCCCGAATTAAAAAAGCGATTTGTTGAAAAAGTTGCCATTGGTTTGTAATTGTTAAAACAGCCGATAGATAAGGCGAACGTTAATTATCCAATAAGATTGCAGAATTCCTGATATTATACTTCCATATGCTGGTTGGTTTCTGCTTATTTTATATGATATTCGGACAACCACTAGATTGGCCCAAGAGCCTCTTACTAAAAGGCTGGTGTTGCTGTAAATAATACCCCAATGTAGGCCAAAGATTTCTGACTTGTATAATTTTTATTAATCACAACCTCTGCTTCGATAACTAAAAAAAATTGAGTAGCAAGAAAAGTGGTTTGGATGCAAAACTGATTCGGAGCATGGAAAATATCTGAAAGAAAAATTCCAGCGCGACCGCATTTAACTGTTTTTAACGCTGTGTCCTCGGAGCAGGTTAATTGCAACAAGTTTTAAACTTGCATTTGCGATATAAAGCCTTTAATGAAGACTAAGAATGCCATAAAACTAACCTTAATTTTCTTGAATACAATTTTATCCCAAATTGTGTCTCCTGTAACTATTCCCCTAGAAAGGTTTACAAAAGAATGTCAGAGTGCTAATGAGTAGTAATTAAAAAAATATTATTCACGTAATGCGTGCGGCTGGTACTTGAAATCTGTAAAAGAGAATATTTTCGCTGGAAATTAAATGTAGACACTAATCATCTCTACATTTGGTTCGATCGGTGTTTGTCCAAACTGCGCAGACTTGCTTAGAGAGAGTGAAAGGGGAGAACCGAACACCCAACAGTTAATCTATGTAATATATTACACCAGTTACTTCAAAAAATATGTTCTTAACATGTCTTGCAACAAATCAGGTTGTTGTTGGTTGTTTCGCGAATACTGACTTCTTATTCGATAAAATTGTTGCGTCACTTGTTGCAAAACAAGTTTGCGGTAAAACGCGCAAAATGTCATGACAGATTTTGTTACGAAAGATAGTCAGAACTATATCCTCTACATGTAGATTCTGCAAAAATCTGCAACCTGACTGTTGCAAGACAGGTTTGATTCTTCAGTGGTAAACAGCGCAATATCGCTATTCAACTTGTTTTTCAGGAATGTTGCAAAACAAGTTACACGTTTTTCAGATTTTTCAGTGCTTGGGGGAGGCGGTGATGGAGAAAACCGCCGGTTTTTTCATTTCCTTCTCCCCTCACCCCCTTCCCTATCGTTTTCTGGTTTGAACTCGGTTCAGCTTTCGCGTGGCTGTATAGAACCACATAAGAAAACACACACACACACACACCAAAAAAATGACGTCACGTGAAATGCCTAGAAGTTACTGCAATCTTACCTTTTGAGATAATCTTCTTTTGAGGCCAAAGCTTTACGAAACAGAAGGCTTTTAATTTTACTTTGCGACACTTGTGCCATCACCTAAAATTAAAAGTCAATCCAGTGTGAACACAACAAGTCAATGTAAACAGACTGGTGTCTCTAGCTAATGGATATTATTGCGCGCAGTTTTATCATAACTCTATATTTTAGCAGGTTATGTCCATACTATACTGGATGGCCCTTTCCTGCAAACACCAAAAGCAACACGATATACCTTATTATAGGAAGTTAACGCTTTATGAAATTAAGGTATTGGAAATTAACGCGACTTAAATTAACGCGAATTTAATGGAAAACGACTTTCGAATAAAGAAAATTAACGCGAAAGAGGAGGTAGCATTTCATAATAAAGGAAATTAACGCGATTAAGGTGGCTCCGTAATTAATACAAGAGCATTTAACTGTGAAAAATTTTCCGTCATAACTTTTTGGTTTTTAACGCGATGGCTGCGAATTTCAGAAAAATCGTTGGAGCAGAAGTCCGTAACTAAAAGTCGGTCAAAATTCAGCTGTGAAATTGTTTTGGAATTTCAAAAATAAATTACTATCAGGTAGAAGGAGCCACCAGTTTGAATTTTCGGGACAAGTAAATTCAACGCTTGCTAATTCTTAAAACAAAAGCCGATTGCCTATCGTGCTATTCTTTGAAAGGTACTTTTTAGTTTTAGAAGAACTATAAATTGCTCCAAACTTTGCTCTGAAGTAGAATGACTTGTTCGTCGACAGTTTTAAAATATCCCTCGGCAGTTTTGACTCAAACTCCTGCTGCATACATTTTGATGTATTGCCGTGCATTTTCAACGACTTTTACTGCCGTTCGTTGCTTCCAACTCAGGAAAAAAGTATTGAGATTGGACGCTACCTCGTATCAGAGCTCAGAAAGAACTGTCCAGCACCTTTGTTTATGACTACAAAATGAGCACGAGCGGCAGTTCTGCGTGGAATTCGCACCTCACCCAGGGGGGACGAACGACAATGATGACCATGCTTGTGAACCAAATAACATCACAGTGCAAAATAAAATTATCGCAAAAATACTGCCCGTGAATCAATTTACAACTCTGAAATTTTTGTCACTCCTTCCTTCAATGAATGGGTATTTTTTTCTTGATTATTATGTTTTGCTCTGCAATACATGTTTATACAGATCGGTTCACAGACATGGGCATCATTGTCACTCGTCCCCCCTGGCTGAGGTGTGAATTCCTCGCAGAGCTGCCGCTCGTGCTCATTTTCTGGTCATAAACAAAGGTACTGGACAGTTCTATCTGAGCTTCGATACTAAATAGCTTACAATCCCAATACCTTTTTCCTGAATTGGAAACAACGTAAAGCAGGAAAAGCCGTTGGGGATGCTTTGCAATACATCAAAATGTGTGTAGCAGGAGTTTGAACCAAAACTGCCAAGCGATATTTTAAAAATGTCGAGGAACAAGTCATTCGATGTCAGAGCAAAGTTTGGAGCAATTTATAGTGCTTCTAAAAACTGAAAATTACCTTTTGAAGAATAGCACGATAGGCAATCGGCTTCTGTTTTCAGAATCAGGAAACACACTGAAGTTGCTTGTCCCGAAAATTGAAACTGGTGTCTCCTTCTTCCTGATAGTAATTTATTTTTGAAATTCCAAAACAATTTCACAGCTGAATTTTGACCGACTTTTAGTTATGGACTTCTGCTCCAACGATTTTTCTGAAATTCCTCTGGCATATTTATTATACCAATTAAAGCCGATACCAGAAATTTCAGTAAAAAATATCAGCAAAATTTTTTACTAGACGCGATTTTCTTTGAACAGTAGGGTCCTTTTAAGCGCTAATTTCTCAAGAAATATTTACCATCAATGAAATCGGAATAGTTCGTATTATTGCCGAATGATATCTGTTGTTATTTGCAAGGTTTCGCAGCCATTGCGTTAAAATCGAAAAAGTTATGACGGAAAATTTGTCACAGCTAAATGCTCTTGTGTTAATCACGGAGCCACCTTAAGACAGTTGTTGGTGACAACTGGAACAAATATATTTTGACACCGGATGCAAAAAAATTGAAAACTGAACAAAAATGAGCTGACATCACTTCTGACAGCGACAACGATGAAGATGAACTCGAAATATTGCAAACCTTCGCCTTAGCTTTCGTGAAACATGAAAAATTGAGGGTAGATGGAAAGAAAGAAAGCTTGTATTTAATGTTTTTTAGGTGTCAAGAATGTCTGGACAGGTTCCAAAATTGGGGTTAAACTACTGGAAATTAAGGGCGCGGAATTTAACGCTGCACTTAATTAACGTCGCGGAGATTAACGCTCAACAAAATTAACGCGAATTAAATTAACGCGAATTTTAACGATTCGGGTTAATTCCATGGAGCGTTAGTTTCCTATAATAAGGTAGTATCAACTCCTGTCTGATATGTGACTCTCCACTTTAGAGATCGGCTCGGCACAGCTTCGCTATGGTACAGAAATCGCGCCGAAATCACCGTTCTCTCGTGTGAACAGAAGCCCTATCCAGTATGGCTTTCTCAGGGGCACCCAACGTCAATTTTGGGAAAATATCTGTTCGGAAGACGATTTGAGATCTAGAATTTTCGGAACATTTGTTGTAAAATTTTTTGCTTACCTGCCTCTCCTAGGATTTTCGAACATCTAAAAAATGGTAAAATTGCCCATGTTAACGGATTTTTACCCTAAAATGGTTACCTAGAGTTTTCGGGAGCCTTTTTTCTGGCTGAAATTTTCGAAAAGGTAAGTTTTGATCCCTATAATTTTCGGATCAATAGACTTTCAGCTAGGAAATCCGAACAGATAAAAATTTTTTAGGGGATAAAAATATGCCTATAACAATGCTGTGTTTAAGTGGTTTTGAACTATATTCTCGTTGGGTGCCCCTGTTTTCTTGCCGGTGTAGTGTGAACTTAGCCAAAATCGAACTCTAGCAGTCCCGCAATATCATCCTGCATCCATTCCACTTGAAGGAAATGTTCGTTTAATAACTGAAGTATGAGCAAATGCTCTGTTTTATATGAATTAAAAGTTATGTTCCTTCCCAATTCATCAGTGGAAATACAAGTACGTTATTAGAGCCGGTATCTCTTGCAAGTTTTCCATGCCGGGGTACACTTTCAAAAAAGTCCTTCGTCCGATTTGATATGGCTCGGGACAAAGGACTAGTTCGTCGCTCGCTTAGAAACAACTAAAAACTTTCCTCCGCTCCCTTTAACTCGTGAGGTCTACTTGTGGCAAGGCTACATGTGGGCTTTTAATTTAGAAAATATAACGGTGACTCCCTCCCACCCCCCACCACCCCCTCAAAAAATGATGATGATGATGATGATCGTTTAATTACCTTATCGTAAATTCTGCCGAGTAGTCGAGGAACCGAAGGAAAAATTGTGGGTCTGCAAAGGAGAAATAATTATTTGAATATGTAAAAATGAAGCCTAGTAGAATGACAAAGCAGTTTTTGGTAAATCTACCAAAAACTAATAACTATAAAGAGTAGAACTTACTTTAGCTCTTGAATGTCTTCCAAGAGAAGCTTTATATCACCTCTAAAGAATCCAACGCGAACTCCATTGACGAAACACATATGCTAAAGAAAAATGTAATAGACGATGGCTGATATCTTGAGTTGTGTCATTAAAAAACTTGAATTCAGAAAGATACCAACCTCTTTCCCAGGACTTTTTGGCTTAGAAAATGGGCGGGCTTTTTCCTTCTCTTCCATCTTCTAAGGAAAAAGTCCTGGGAACGAGGTTGATTGTTGTACTTTTTTCTGCGAAAACGTAATTCTGCATATAATTAGGGTAAAACCAAAGCAAATGCCTTAAATATTAAAATAAACGATACTCTGTCTTTTCCATTCATTAAAATACAATTTAATTTGTCTTGTTTTCGGCGAAATATGTATAGTAAAGAAACACACTAAGATTGATTAAAAAACCCTCCTGACCTATTAAAACGTTTCTCCGAAACTAAAAAAAAGAGGAATATTATTATTCGCCTGCTTAGCTGGCAGTTTTGTCGGGAAGGGGGAACGGAAGGGAGGGCGAGCGAGCGAGCAGCGAAACCGCGAGTTTGCTGCACATTTTCGTGGCTTCACCGTGCGTTCGCCGCAAGCGCTCGGTCCTCCCGAGCAAAATGGCCGCGGCTACGCATGCTTTTAGGACAATTACACGTTGACGTTAATGTTATCTTACTACAACTACCATAATCCTTCAGTTTGTTGTGTTTTTGTGCAAATTAGAGCTATTGTTTTTTAAGCCTCAGCAGGATTGACAAATATAGGTAAGAAAGCAAAAAACAAATTAATGGGCCTTTTTCAAAAATACCATAATGCTCTTTGTTGTCGCTCTAAAATTTCGCATAAACATTGTTTGTTGTCAGTTTCTCTTAGGACCCACAATCGCCCCAAGAGAAATTGAAAACAATGCTTATGCAAATTTTTGGAGGGACAACGAAGAATATTATGGTATTTTTTAAAAGGCCTATTCTGGTAGTTGTATGTAGCCAAATGTCGTCATCAACAGCCGTGAAAATGGCCGCGGATTAAATGTTGGTTAGACGAACGTACTAAAGAGTTTGTACCTCAGCCAATCGCTCATAACTATGGGCAAGAGGAAGATAAGAGATCAAGCAATCTTCTGGAGTTATTACAAGGCCGGCCTGTAATGAAAAAAGCAAGTGTATCGTGCATTTGAAGGGTAAATATGTAGTATTCATTCGATTGTAAAAATGTTGTCACTTAAAAAGGCATAATTCATATGCGATGGGACCAAAGGGCTCTCTAGGAAGTGCTCATACATTAATTTACTTGTATTATCGTATAAAACGCATATTTATAGTAGTCTGTGGATGCAGCCGTCTCTGACTCGTTCCCAGTCGTCTCGCGCTTCCTTTGACCGCGCTTCCCTCGCTAGAAGACTGACAGACGGCTGTATTCGCAGGCTGTATGTACATTGTAGGAGCTGTATGGCTTTGGTATTGTTGAAACTGCGGTTTTTTCTACGCTCTGCAAAACGATTTCTGCGAACATGTGCGCACGGGTGTGATTATCGCCAAGAAAAGTGAAACAAGTTCTTTTGACCTTGTTAGAATCTATTAGGACAAGGAACTCGTGATAATGAAGGGTTTTGTAAACAGCATTTTAAATTTGCAATTATCATAATACCCATATATCCACTTGATCCCATCGTTAAATGCTTAATATACTTTTCAAGTGACAAATTTTTTGCGATATAAATTTCATTACTTAATCATTTATACTGAGTTTCAGCAAACATTTACTATGTTTTTAGACCAAGGCAAAACGTCAAAACTTTTCATGAGGCGAACCAGAGCGGATGAGGTTCGTGAAAAAGTCGATGTCGGTCTTAATTAGGTTGGTGTGAATGAGTTTGGATCGACCAACACGTACTGGGTATTCTTCTGCTTCAGATGATCGGATGTTTGATTGGTTCGAGGCTACTTTATTTCGACGTCTGATCCAGAAGATGGGTTTAACGTAAACTTGGTCCATAAATTACAATTTCCAAGAGAGATGGTACAGAGAGGAACACTTAGGGCGTTGACCAGGATATGTGGATTTCACTGAAGTTATTTTTAGAGGTTGTAATAGAACTTGAAATTCCTGAGATGTCCGCACATTATGTAACACCATAAAGTCTACACAGGGCTGCCAAAAAAGACACTGATAAAAAGTTTGCGGACTTCTGCGGAAACCATTAAGGTGGCTGAACACAGTTTTGTGGGCGGTCAGCGGTACCTCGCGTGACGGCGCGTGTTTTAAATTAGACAAACAAACATGGGGGCGAAAAAAATAATGGTACTCAGACGACGATTTCTCAAAATCTACTCATTAAAATTTTGTGATATTTGGCAGAATTGTTACTTTTATCGTATTTTAAATCATGAGAACTTTAAAATGGAAGTTTAACAGACGAATTTTGTGACACATTTAATAATTACAGTACAATTATATCATTGATTATCTAAAAACCTGTCTGTTAAAATTTGGTCAAATAAGTTTCAAATGGTAATGATTAATTATAGTAAGCTGTTTGCAAGTTTATAGGAAAATCTAATGAGCGAATTTTATGTAAACTGAGCAAAAGTGAAATTTTAAGGTTGTATTCAATCGCTCATGTTGCCGTGGAAGCTATGAAAACGTCTCATTTTACCTTTCAGTCAAAATCTTTCATCAGTATATTTTTCGCTTGCCAAGTTTCAGCTTGTGAGCTGCAACCTTTCTCTTGCCATGATTTGGCAAGTGACATATACTCACAAACTGCCAAAACTGTGTTCAGCCACCTTAATTTCAAGCGTTTAATTGATCTAAAAATAACTGTGGCAAAGTTCACATATCCCAAGGGCTGGACTTGGCGTTTCCCTTTATGTCCTTCTATTAGAGACCTTTAGATTCGAGGACGAGAACGACTTCAAGTACGTGATTTGATTTAAAGTTTTTTCACGTATTGTCAAAAAATAGACACCCGGGAATTCATCATTGTACTTTTTTTCACCAGAAACGTTAGCACTGTCATCGTTATTGAAGGAGGTTGAGCTCTCTCCTGATTGCAAAATGCTAAAACGTCTAACATTTGATAACTTGTTCCCGCCACTACGACACTCTCGCTAAAGCTCGTAGTAGAATTAGGACGGATACCACGTTTTTCCGCCAAATTGACGCTGCCTAGCCTCACGCGGGAAGACTACTCAGTATAAAGAAAATCTCGTACTCGTAGTCGTTCTCCTCTTAGAATCTAAAGTCTCTATTTTCTCTCGATTCGTCTCATGTAAAGTTCGACCTTGGGTCTTCGAATTAGAAGTGAACCTAACTTTGGAAGTTTCTTGAGTTTTACTTTTGCCAATATCGGCATTGTTAAGTCATTTTCGCATTGTTAACGCCAGGGTACAATCCAGTGGGAACTAATCAACTGAAGTGGCTTAATTTTTTAGTTCAATATTTAATTTGCAAACCTCGTCATACTGCATCTGAAGACCGGCAATGCTTGCAATCATGTTTCCATGGGTTATCATGACCCCTTTCGGTGTACCTGGAGAAAAAAAAGATAATGTTTCAGCAAAAAGGGACAAAAGGGACTCAAGTTCTCGTTATAGGGAAAACGCTTAGTACGGAGAAAATATCAACGCTTTCTTATCCCAGATCATACAGGAGCCTGGAGAAGAGTCACCCCTGGATATAAGGTAATTTGAATTCCAGAATCCTGGAAATTCAGCTCAAGGAGTCCTGAATCGGGATCGCTTAAGGTTAGAATCCGAAGTGCAATTTCCTTTGACAAGGAATCCAGTATCCAGTACCTGGAGTCCAGAATCCACAGCGTGGAATCCAGAAGACTGTCGTGGACTACCTTACATGGGGCGAGAAGAGGCATTTCTCTCATTATACGTTTCTGGGAAACTGTGCACCTACCCCTCCCCTAAGACAACATTAACACCTACTTCTCACTTAGGGAAAAATGTTGGCTTAGGGGAGGGGCAGGTGGGCAGTTTCCCAGAAACATATAATGATCCGTTCTCTTCCTATGATATAATCAGAAGGGGAAATCTCTTTTACAGTCGTCAAACGTTACAGTAAAAACCCACGAGTAAGAACCTAAGATTTAAGAACCTGTTACGCAAAAATTTGCAATTTAGACTTCCTCTATATAAGAACCTCTTTAGCCTAAAATTTGGAGAAAGGTTCAAAAATCATTGAAACATATTTACTAATTGCAATTGCAAAAGGCAAGTTAGTACATACATAAATTTTGTTTGATTGAGGTCATTGAGAAAATGTTTATAATATTGTGTTTTACAGCACAATCATGTATATAAAGTTGTTCTGACTCAAGAAATTAAAATTCATGTGAGAATAGATCTCCATTATGGCGTTGATAGATCGTTTCCTCTTGATTATGGTCATATTATTATGGTTATTATTATTTGCATTAGGTATTCAAATTTAAGGGTGCAGATCACTAAAATCTTCTTAGCAACGACATAATTTTTTGTAAGAAATTAAGAACCTGTTAAGAACCTAGAGAGCCTAAACTTATGTTAACCACCATTTATGTAAGAACCTGTTTAGGCTAACCCTGGAAAATGTAGGTTCTTACTCATGGGTTTTTACTGTATGTCAGGCAATTGACTCGGTTCTCTCTATAATTGACACAGATTTTTTTTTACTGAAACAAGGACAATATAGGTAAATAAAAACCTGTAGTTCCACTGGTGTAACAGATGGTTAATATGTCATCAGGTTTTCCAGGCTGCAATTAAAAACAGCGTCAAAAGTTGTATCAAAATTGTTTTAAAATATATATTCAAGTGCAAAGTTGCAAGCATACGCGTTTGTTTCTATAAATATATTTCAAATTTTGTGTTTATTTCTTGAGGAAATTCTGTCTAAATAGTACATTAACTCATGTCAAGAATTATCTACTTTGGTATCAAAAATAGATACAAGTGCGAAAATACAGTAGAACCCAGGTAACTCGAACTCGAATAACTTCAACTCTCCCCCTAAACTCAAACTATAGTCCCATTATATTTATTATCATTATTATTTCCCTTCCATTTTTCCTTTCTTTTCAGTCATTATTTATTTACTCAGATAACTCGAATTCCCCTCTAACACAAAGGCAATTTGTTCTTAATTATTCCAACGAGTATTGACGATCATTTTCTTGCATTATCATAAGAATGCATTAGCTCCTTGTAAGGGAATCCAAGACAGTCTTGGATTCTGAATTCCAGGTAAATAGTCGATCCCAGAAATTGTTAGTGGAAATTGAATTCCGGATTGCAATCGTGAGTGGGATTCCGGATTTCTTCAGCTGTTTAAGAGATTCCAAAGCCAAGAAATTTCGTATTCCACGAGCGGAAATTTCCGGGATACCGGTGGGCGAAATGCATAATCGTGTTACAGTTTCTGACAATGAGTAAGTTTAATTTGCACTGCACTGTATACTTATGTTACAGTACAAGTTAGACTTACATTACTCAATTAACTGTCAATTATTAACATGGCGAATTGAATATTCCATTGAACCCGCTAACTCCAACTGTTTCTCATTTCCCTACAAGAGTTCGAGTTACCGTGCTTCTACAGTATGCAGTAAGAAGCCAACTGAGGAAACAGATATCGTCTGGAAACTTGAAATGAAACAGAATGTTGTAAGAAAGAGAAAATTAGAATGACTTAAGGTAACTTTATTTTTTGATGGAGAGGACAGCCTATCGCCAGGTTGCCAAGAAACAGATTTACAAAATTTGCCTCTTTACTCGCTAAATTCTTAAATTTTCTCACCTTTTTCTCTTGTGGGCTGTTTGCACCCATTTGCTAAATCAAAATGAATATTTAACAGTGTATTATTAATTTGGCTTTCAAATCATAATTAAGTACAATATATATATTTAGGTCTTTCAAGGTTAAGGCTTATCGTCATTTCTTGTGAACCGCAAAATACCAGCAACTTAAAGAGGAGAGACTTCCATCATGTCTTCCTTGTATCTCATTTATACCGCAAGATCAAGAACTAAAAGAAGACAATCACTGAAGGTTTAATGGTCATTCGCTAGTTTTAAATACATAAAGACGCAAGCCTCCCGTCTCCACCCCGACCGGTAAGACCTAATTTTGCAGTATGGGCTCGAAACGTTAATTGCGTTAAACTATTCCAACACCGGAACTTTCTTTATCATCTCATACGACTAAGATAATTACTTTTTGGCGTTCTTTAAAACACTCGATGATGAACAGTCGGATAATTAAAGCCTGGCACGAGGTTTTGGTTAAAATGGTGGTGAAAAAGATATGTGAAAAAACGAATTGGGGGCCTAATTATCTCCTCTTCACATCTAAACGCTCGAAGGACTTAATGAAAGGAATTTAATGAAATCGGATCTTACCTCTACCTCGAGAATGTAAACTATATTCAGTCCAAGCTTTTCAGCTTCTTCCTTTTCTTCGGGTTTTACAGGCGCGTCGATTTTAATAATATTTTTCATGTTACTACACTTTTCAGCGTTGTCAAAAAGAAATCGAAGTTTGTTCCCGTTACACACCATTGTCTCGATATCAGCTGAAATTAAGAGGAGACTTATTAGAGAAATCATCAAATGTCCCGCTCAGGTAAGCCTGCTTCAAAATAGTGGATCAAGCATTGTGATGCATTAGCACGGGGTTTAACATGGTGTGGGGGTACGATTTCCGACTGCCCTGGGGCCGGATCGACCCTTACGGAGTGTCTTAAAACAAAAGAAACTGAGGAGTAAGGTACTGCCTTCTTCCCTGTAAAATGCCACAGACTTTTGTCGCTTGGTTCGGATGAACCCACAGAAATGGCGTTTTCGTCTCCTGTGGGAGAGGTAAACTGAAAGGTCTCCGCAAAATGAGTTTTTTCGTGTTAAATTCACTGACACTTGAATACAGTTGTGTCGTCTTGTCCCGACCTCAGATAATAAAAATAGGCCAGCCAATCGGAATTGACACTGGGCCAAACGTAAAATGCTTACTTTTCAGTGAACTATCATGTAGTGTTCGTCCTAGTAATACGGTATTTTATCGCACTTTTGTCTGCTTTGTGAGGTCTTACCATGATTTATGATGTACACACACCCTTCGGCTCCATGCGTGTCGTAAATTGGTACAGAAATCATAGAGTGCATCTGACACGCAAAATCGGCTAAATCCCACTAAGAAGAAATTCAAAAAATCATCACATATCAGCAAATAAGAAGGTAATATAGAATACAACCGCCTCTCATCGCGTTTCGTAGTTAGGACGTTTCGTTTCCAAACAATCCCAGCGCGCTGAGGTGAGGCGGCTGATTGGCTGGCTAGAATGTAACAAAACGTTTCCGTTTTGCTTTCCTTAAGGCGAGACTCAGAGGAGCTAAAAATGGTTTTGAAAATGTAGTTCGCTGTTTTCTTATAAGGAAAGACAGCCCTACATTCAACCGCCCCATACTGGCTATTACGCACTAACTTAACAGAGGGCCCCGGAGAGTTTGCTCGCAGGCTGGAATGCGAGATTTGCCTTATTTGAAGGAGGGATTCGAGACTTTAAAGAAAAATGGGGGCGAGATTCGGGATTGAAAGTATGCATGGAATGCGGGATGTGGGATGCAGGATGCGGGGTGCAAAAATGCGGCATGCGGAATGTGGGATACTGGATGACCGGATTGAAGAACGTTCGCTATATGGGAACCCATGAACATCATGGGTCGGTTATTTAAATGAAGTCTAACTTAGACCGTAGTTTAGGAAATCTTTGGACCTCCAGATATCTTCCTTAGTGGGTTATTTTAAGGAGACAAATGCTTTTCAAGTCAACGCAATATGCTTCCTTGAAACTGTTCACGAAAAATGGCGTTTACATAAAAGAGTTCGGCGAACTGAAAATGGCTTAGAGCGCGGTTTTGTTAAACACTGGCTAAACTCCGTTTAAATAACTGGCCCCAAGTTTCTATGTTAAATCAAGATCTAATATCCCTATTTGCATGAGACTAATACCACATATAAAGTATGACGCCGGAAAGGTGTTCACGTATATTTAGTGACGTAATATGGCGTAAGATGACGTAATTTCTAAGTAGAACCGACATATCGGATTTACATTTTTATTGTATGTTATTGGGTTCTCGATCAGCTATAAAATTAAAGATAATAAATAATTACTTCTGTTTACCTCGATACAGTTTGGACCGTAGATTCCAATACATGTACTTTGAGACGGTTTACAGCCAAGATTGACCAGGCCTGAGCCTAAATTAGCTGCGCGTTCATGCACCTACATAATACGAAAGTGAAAGTACATCAAAGCTGTATTTATAAGCGGTTCCCTGTAAATCATTACTAAACGGACTTCCGTATCAAGTAACTCCCTACGATAAGCTAACCCCCATAGCAAGCGAACCCCCGTATTTATGCCGGACAACCCGCATGAATTAATTAGCTGACATGAGCGTCCGTAAGCCTCAAAACTCTCCCTCTAAATCTTGCTTTAAAACAAAGATGTATTTTGCAGATTCCTATAGGTTATGGGTTAATACAAGTTACACTGTTCTTGAGCATCAGCCGAGTGACAGTAACGCCTACGGAGGCCTACGGAGATTTCAGACGTAGGGTTTATAAACTGGGGGAGATTAGACAGCTCTAAGTCCTACAGGAGATTATCTTGAAAATAACTTATATTTGATTTGAGTAAATGTATTTTCCGAAAAGATAAATCTGCAGCGAATGTGTTGTGAACGTTTGTGGCGGAATATTGTACAGAGTTCTGTGTTAAAAGAATATTCGAACCGGCTAAAGATGTCCTCGAGCGCCTTCGGTATGTGCGTCAAGGAATAGAGGAGAAAAAAAAAATGACAGAACTTTATTTGTTTTTGTTGCTGGAAGTCTTCCTGGTATACCTAGCCTAATTTATGTCCATGTTTATGCCATGCTGTTTCCCTAGACAATGAACGTCTCGCATATAATTGTTGGTTGCATTGAAAAAAAGGTGCGCTTGTCTAAATATATGAATTGTACGTTTTGTCAAAGCCAGGCATACTTTTTATATCAGCCTGTATACATCGTATATATATTGGATTGCATTGCAGCGAACAGGAGGGCATTTTGCATGCGCATGCGTGAATCCGCTGAACGACAATAGCGTGGGCGCATCAAATCTGATGGCGGGAAATCGAAAACTCGCGCGTAAAATTACAGTCCTTTTCGTTGGTGCTTTGAATACCGTACTTTCCTACAAAAACTATTCGCCATGACAAAAATCGGATGTTTTCTACGCGGGTTTTCACTCGTAGATTTTTCAGCAGTAGGTTTTCTTGGCCTTTTAAAGACTTTCAAGACTCAACGCCAAAAAGACATGTTCCTGTATAAGTCTGATTTTCACTTGCAAAGCAATGTATTTCTATGGTTTGATTTCCAAATTCGTGGTTTTACTTATCAGGGGAGAAATGCATCGTAGCAATGTTCAGCTGCTTTAAGACAAAAAAGCGAAACAAAAAATTACCACGCGAGGTTTATTTATTAGCGCAATGTCTCATGTTAAACTGATCGCGGAGACGCGCGTTTATATTTGCCACAAAAACATGAAATCTATGGGTTTTTACAGTTTTTCGGAAGTTTTCGCGGAAAAATTTATAAAAAAATATTCTATAGGAAATGAAGAATGGATTGAGTTTGAGACAGCAACAGTTACAAGTGATTATATAGTACCGAAAAGCATTTTTATTTTTCTTTCACTCTAAAAGATACAGAGATTTTCCCAAGCTACTATTTTGAAGCGACTCTTGAGTAACAGCTCCTGCGTTCCACAATCGATTTCTTTTTATTAATTTAAATTTGATGACAGTAGTGATCCATTTAAAACAAAGAATGACCATCACTCCATAAATCTGACGATTTTGTTCACCTTCAAAGCCTGTTTAAACATAAGACAGGAAGTTTGTTAAAGGGGTTGCTGTTTTCTCAAAAAAGATAAAAGGACCCAAATGAGCTGCATACGACAACAAACATGGCACAAATGGATGGATAAATTTGTCTGTTATTAATGTTTCTGTTGAGACGTTTGTTGTACATCATGGAAGAATTATCAAGGAATTAAACAAGAATTGTCACAGAGGAGAAGCTGGTCTCAGTTCTGTGTTAAAATTAGAATATTCCACAAAATGATATCATTTAGAACCGGTGTATTTATAAATTTCGATGTCCTGTCATATTTATTTGAGAAATGTAAACAAACAGTGTATCATCAAAATAAGCCTTTTTTTTTCCTTTGTATCGTATTTTTCAAAACAGTTCTTACTGGCGTTATTATTTTAATTTAAATTTATAGTTGAAGTGCGTCAACGAATACCGAGAAGAAAAAAAGAAGGCGATTTTTCACAGTCTTCATCAAAGCGCCATTCATTCGCGAACTTTTTTTAATCGTTTTTAATTGGGGAGAAAGGCAAGATTTCGAGATAAACAAGCCAGAGAAAGGGTGAAAAACAGTTTCCTGGAATGGACACTATACCACTGTATTCCTGAAACGATTAATTTCGATTTTGTCCATGTTTCTATAGGATAATTGTTTAACCATCATACTGTTTTCCTCCTGCTCAAAAAATGTCAAATGTTACGATAAGAACATTCCACCGCCATCTTGTCTTCGATCACTTTTTTACGAAAGGAAAGACTGTCTAACCAGCGAAGGTAAATAAACCTTTTCATCGTATTACGCCTTAAAGAACATGTCTGAACGTAGCATTACACGTCATTCAGCCCCAGAAAACAGCCTGCAAATATATGAATATTGGAAAATGCCTCTGTGGCCCTTCAACAGCCCATATTGACGCATGCGTATACAAAATGCCCTCCTGTTATTGCAGCGTATTGCATTATGTTTCAATGTATTGTATTGCATTGTATTGTATTGTTGTATTGTATTACACTGCATTGCATTGCACTGCATTGCAGTGTATTGCATTGCATTGTGTTGTATTGCATTGCATTTCTTTATTTTGTTTTTATTATATTTTTTTTGTGCAGTATGGTACAGTATGGTATGGTATGGCATGGTATGGTATTGCATTGTATTGTATTTACCGTATTGCATTTCATTGCATTGCATTGCACTGCATTACACTGTATTCAATGGTATTTTGTTGTATTGCAAAACTCATGTTGAAGTTAAAGAGGGCGGGGTCAGAATAATGCAGTATCAAATCGTAAATGGATAAAGATACCTCTTGAAACGAAAGCCACTGGTACTTGTTATCAGGTCCACCTCTTACTCCTAAGCACGGTGCGTGCCCTATAAAAATAAGCACAAGCATGTCTTCCTCGCCTTTTCTTTAGTGTTTTTCTATACAAACATTAACCACAAAGGACTGCAAAGGAACGCAAACGAATATTCCGAAGAACGTAGGATCTATAAAGACCTGATCAGCAAAAATAGTAATGTAGAAATATTAAATTCTGCAAGCAGAATACTGCAATGTTGATCGTACTACGTGAAAATCAATTCTGCAAGACATCAACACGACACCGAAAGAACTCAAAACAGAGCGGGATTGTAGCGATAGACAGCTGTTTAGCCCTTTTTGGGGCTCGTCAGTATGGCGCAACAACCAGAGAAAGCTCTGATGAAAAATATCCGCGCACTCTGATTTTAAGCCCTGTCCCAGAACTCTCAACACCCACAGAATCACGCCATACCACGTGTCTTCAATATATGGGTTACTTTTAGCAGTAGCTACGCACCTCTCAGTAACCTCCTCATTGCTTGTTTTGTTTGTTTGTTTCACTGTTTTCTCAGCCAATACTAAGACGTGTTACAAGAGGCGCGAGCCGTCTCACTTAATGACTATTTGAAGCCTATTTGCAGTAATTATCGTTACTGGACCCCAACAGAGAAAACTGTAAGAGCATTCCTGACCGAAAAAAAAGCCATTCGTGTCTCGTGTACACTTCCAGTTAACAATAATTGTTGCCCACTTCTCCGGGTGTGAGGTGTACACAACCAAATTTTACTAAGGGAGGCGGGGGGGGGGGGGGCTCCGTCCCGGTGTCCCATCCCTTTTCTTTTATGCATCATTGCATTTCTAGCAGAAAAGGTACCCGCTTTGGAACACATGCTATTGACAAATGGTACCCTTTTCACATACCCAGTTTAGAACTTTGCATCACTTTGCAGTGGCGGATCCAGGGGAGGGGCCCTGGGGGCCCGGGTCCCCCCTTATTTTTCGACCAAAATGAGGCCCGAAGGGTGTGGATGACCAGCCCCTCCCCCCTTATATGAAGGTCTGGAGCCGCCACTGCTTTGAACTGTTGTACGGTAAATGTACTATCTTAAAAATACAAATAATCTCAAAACCAGATTGTAGTCATGAACGTTTTCACGATTTTTTTTCACAGCCATAAAATGCATCTGTAAACACTTTGTGCGTTTTTACAGACCGATATGGCAGATTTCCGTACCCTGTTACATACTTCAGCTAGTCCGGAAGCTGCTACGCTTTCATACGTTGTACAGTAAATGCACTATCCTAAATATATAATTAATCTCAAAACCAGCTGAATGTAGTCAGAAGGTCGTCACGATTTTTTTCACAACCATAAACTGCATCTGTTAACACTTTGTGCCTTTTGCAACCGATATGACAGATTTCCCTACCCTGTAACATACTTCAACTAGTCCAGAAACTCCTACCCTTTAATATACCTGAAACAAAGGTATCCCTTTCGGGCGAGAGTCTCCCCCCCGCTGGACCGCTACTACAAGAGGTTTGCATCTTACCTGCCTTTTTAACTTTTCGAAGAAACCCTTCATAGGTGGTCTTGACGCCATCAGGCATGCATGATATTAGTTCTTTATTCAATGCACTTCTTCTTGCTCCATCACTTGAGCCCTTATATGAATGAAGAATCAAAATGCGTTGATACTGAAAGGCTATTTCATGCTATGACGAGGGAAAATATGATGACTCTAAAACAAGGCGCGTCTTAGGCGACTTAGGCTGTGTTCACACTTTACCGGAGAGAATTTGCGCCGGCACGAAGACCATACCGGATAGTGCTTCGATCTGTCCACACTTAAGAACGCTGATTCAGGCGCGATTTCAGTAAAGGAGCGAGGCTGCGCCCCGGGGGTACTTCCTTATTCCTTATAAGAGGCTAATGGGGTTGTGCCGCTGGATGGGGTCGCATTTTCCCGACTTGGTTGACTATAATGGGGTAATGGGGTTGAATTTCAATGGAGTTACTACAATGGGCTCTCATATTTTCGGATTTTGGGGTAAGAAAGTTCTTCAAGTTACGGTTAGCAAACATACCAAAATGATTGTACTGTAGGTGAAAAGTAAAGTGTTCTTCATTCAATTTCAAAAATAGGTCAATTCACTTTAGGATGACCTATTTGAAGGATTGTTAAGGTAGATACATAAATAGAAAGTTACTAAGTTGGGATTGCGAAAATTCCATATTTGCCCAAAAGTGACTAAGAAGGGGTCTATAATTGGCCACAGAATAGACTATATTAAATGGGGTAGAGGCTCTGAGATGCGAGCGGCACATACCCAGCAAAAAAATAACCGAAGTACCCCCCCGGGGGACTGCGTCGCGCCAATCTCTTAAATGGAGAGTCAAATATCGGATAGGCGTTCATACCAGAATAGCTATTACATATAGTGTGTGAATGTAGCCATAAACAATCGGTTACAGTCTCGTCACCAACGTTGATATAGATTACTGAGGAAACAGGGTTTACGGGAGGGATAAGCTCTCATAACCAATTCCCCTTCCCCTAACCCCCTTTGGTCACCCTTCTTGAAGCCCCAATCCCCCTTTCCTTTCTGCAATCTTCCCTTCTTCCCCGAGGATATCTTCAAAGTCTTACTTTTAGTGAAACACAGGCGAATCTTTGCAAACTGTAGTCTGTGTACAACCACCCCCTCCCCTGAAAAAAGAACGAAAATCGAGGAGAGTTTTTTGAGGAGGCGGCTGTATACGGGATTCCGAAACTGGTGCATTTATAGCAGTTTCATAGCTATCGTCAAAGAACCTTTCTTTTCACAGAGGCTTCGATGTTAATTGTGAAGGAAATATTTTCAACCAAAAACCACCTTAAATTGTTCCTAGTCCCCTCTCGGCTGTGTCCAAAGTGGCTGAAATCATGTAGCTAGACATGCACATGCACAGTAAGGTTCAACTTTCTCTGCTGATTTTTTAGTTTGATTAGTAAGGCATGGCTGTTTCCTCTGTTTGAATTCAGCGGGGGAGTTAAATAAAAACAACATATTGTTGCCATATGCTTTTACACAACAAAACAGATCGCCGATAAAGCAACAGGATGCTATGAAGAATTAAGAAGACCATTTCTAACTATTTTCAAATCACTTAGGATCCAACCCGAGACATCTAAAGAAGCTCTAATGGCATTTTTGTTAAAAAAAAAAAGCTACTCTAGGGCCCGTCAAATGAGTAAACTTTTGATCTTTAAAATGACATCTGACATTGTTACTATTTCAGTTATTGACAATCAAGGCTTTGAGGAGTTTTACTAGTAATCAAAAACTGTTCACCAGTGGAAAGATGGTATAAAAATATTGCTCACTGTTTACAGCTGAGTTTATTTGATACTTTTGCGGACTGTAATGCTGTCCACTGTGACCTACTTTAATCCGGCAAAATATCGAATTCAGCTATGTGGCATAGAAAGCATTTACCGCAGGAATTTGTCTTTGTTGATTTCATTATTTACTCTCTTAGTAATATCGAATATCGAACATATTCAATAATCAGTTCGCATGATTGTTCGCATGTGCAATCAAATTCGTATGCTTGTGTAAATATTTGCTATAACGAAGGAACTCAGAATATATCGCTACAATTGGCCTCTTTTACTGAGCACGCAATGTTGTTTAGGAATGTTTATGCCTGAGGCCTTGAAATCAGTATGCAGAGGTTACGTTTGCAGGTTTGCATTTGTTGTAGTTTCAAAATAGCTTAAGTTCAACAATTTTTAAGCTACTAACAAATTTTTCAACGTTAAAAGCTCTCAAAGTGTATTAAAAATGTTGTAAAACTCTTCAAAGATCTGATCGATTAGGGTATAATGATAATTATGTCTCGTTTTCCGTTTCGATCACTATCGGCTGCACCAGCTATTTACGATGAAACTGAAGTACTCGGCAAACCTACCTCAAGTTCTACGGATTGACTCATCTTTGGTGTGCTGTAGTCACCGAAATACGTTAGATTGTAAGGTAGTTTACCAGTAGGTCGCAACAGCTAGAGTATGACGTGAATATTCAATAAAACACCTGGCTCAAAATACAACTTGATGATTGTTTGATGAAGCATAACCACTAACTGAAAACATGCAAATTGTTTGCTCTTTTGTTTGTTCATTGGCCCGTGCAAGTAAAAGGCAGATTTTCCGCATCGCCGACACTTATGGTTAGTTTCACCTTCTTTATGCCTGTTGGAAGGGGGGGGTGGTGGTGAGGGGGGAGAGAGCCTGGGGAGGTGAGCGCAATTGTAGTCTAGTGTTTCCTTTGTTGGTTGGTTTGACTCTTGCGAACTGGGTATCGTATTCAGCCACTTGATCCAATAATTGTCATTAAACTTCCTGAGAAGCTAATCCGGCAAACAATCACGGCCCAGTTCCTGAAAAGCCGATTAGCGTCAATTCAGGATTAAAGTTTTGTCCCGTTTTTGAATTTTACATTCCTATTCACTGCTTAGGGAAACATTTTGTGTTTTCTCGTAGTAAAGGCTCAACAGTATTTTGTAATTTTGAGTTGCATGCTCATCGGCGAGAAAACCGTGATTGAAATTTGGCTTAATCCTGGATTATACTTAACCATCTTTCGAGGAGCCGGGCCCAGGGTATTAAATGCCTTACCAAGGTTAAGTAAAAAAAGAATTTACCCCTCCTGGCCTTTGGGCACTAACCTCCGGAGCATAATGCATTCAAATTACTTCCTCCCGGAAGTTGAAGGATTCTGTTGGTAATAAGTGGTTTGCCTGAGTAGAGGAGGTATAGAACTGCGGTCACTGAAGCGCTCATCGAAAGTAGCCGATTACCCTGATTACAGATGAATGCGGTGACCAAGAGTTACCAGTCGTGCTTTGCTCTAGCCTCAGAAAAACAGCCTACATTTCGCGATGCCTCCACTGGTTTCCCCGCGAAATGTCGTCTGAGGAACGAGCGCAGAAATTCCATCAGTACTGTTGATGCTGTCACTACCCAGATTCACCCAGATCTAGTCGGCTTCAGATTGGTTGAAACTTTGATTCATTCAATCAGAAGTAATTTAACCCAGATAAGGGTAGTAATGGGTCATCAGCATGGAATTTCTGCGCTCGTTCCTCATGCAGACGTCGATTTTGGGCTGATTTTGTTAGCCTCACTGGCTTCGTTCCAATATCAACTGTTTACGTGGACTCACTGCAGGAATTGTGTTCCTGTAACCTTAAATGGAACATAGGACCGTCAGGGAAACCGGTACGATAGGAGGACATTTCATTTTCACTGGAGAGCATACATGGAAAGTGGAAAACGGGAAATTGATAAAAATGGTGGAGATTTTCAATACCTAGTTAAATGCTACCTTTTTGGGTTAGAAAGTGCTAGTTAAAGGGTCTGAGAAGTCACTTCGCTAGGAATATTCCATAAAATTCCGAAAATAAGCCCCAGGGCTTATATATTTCAAAGACCCTATTTGAAGGGTTTTTGTGGAGGGGCTTATCGGACGGGCTTATCTACGGTGGGAAATTTGCGTTTCAAAATCGATTTGGCTATCCTTTTAGTTGGAAGGAAATTTACCGTTTTTGCTTTGTTTCACTTTGTATTTGAGAGCTATTTCCAAGTACAAGCCCCCGGGGCGGCTTATATTTGGAGGGGCGATTTAACGGAAGGTTTTTTGCGTTAAGAGTTTGGGGGGCTTATACATGGAGGTGCTTATTTTCGGGATTTTCAGTAAAAAGGGAAAAAAAGGTCAGACTTATAATTAATTATATAAGTATCCCTTTAATCAGGCCTGATAATAGCTAGTTGTATAACTAGGGATCCATTGTATTACAATCAAGGTAAATCAATAATAACTCAAATGCATGATCTGTGCTTAACTTATCAGCGTAGAAAAAAAATCTTTCTTAGAGCCGACTTTTTTTTCAGTCTTATAGCAGGTAAATATCAGCTTCACTCAGGTTGACACTCAAGGTTATCTGTGCTGAAATGTTTTGTTTCTGTGTGCTGAATAAACCTAACATTTTGGTTTTAATTCCAAAGCTCTTTTCGCTTTGACGTGATATCCTTCGACATTTTTCCCATCTCACCAGCCAGGTCACCTTTTGCATTGGAAAACCACCCATACATTGGCATTGGATCTTGTTCCACTGTGTAGCTGGCAGGTTCCTCTTGTAGCAAACCTCTCTTGACCAGATCTGAAACTGAACGTTCTGCTGCCGTGGTGACCACACTCATGTCCTGTGGAAATGCTATTTGCCCCTTGCTAAATGGTCCCATGTAATAAATGGGAGTGCAAGGCTTTTCAGAAGCACACACAAGGGAAAAGTTATTTATATCGATTAGAGCACCAGGTGCGCGATAATAACAAACCCCTTTTCTTTTAACCACGTTGGGGTGATGCTGATAATTATGGGATTCTCTGGAATCCCGAAAAGGGACGAGAACTTCTTTAAGGAGGTTGTTTTTTCTGAGTGATTTTGTCAGAGAGGACTGGTCTTCTTCGAAAGCGCCTTTTTGTCCGGTAGCATCGATCATGACATCGTGTATGGCCTCCAGAGGGCCATCTGCGTCTGTTCGCCATGACAGTTTGATGCCATTTTTGCTGGATGTTTCCTCAATGTAGTAATTAGTTCCAATTCTTCTGATGTCGAGGAAGCCCCCTGTCATAAGAGCAAGGATCTTTTCTGCATTTTGAATTGGAAAAGGGCCGATAAGCAAATGCAGTTCAGTTTGAATTGCTTCGAACCTGATGCGATCTTCTGCTGAGAAGTAATTTAGAGCCTCGTCGAATATTGCGTACGACTGATAAAACACATTCTGCAAAAGGAGGGGTACACCACTCCTCAAACTTTCTTTGGCTGCCTCTAACTCCTTACTTAATCTCTCAATGGAGTCATTTGCCTGAAGAAATGTTCTCATTTTCAAAACGGCTTCTTCGAGCGACACAGTCTCCCAGTTGTCTGGTAAGTACGGGCGAAGATGGGGAACTTCATCGTATATTTCTCTCTTAAGAAGGTACCAGAAATCATCGAGTGGAAGAAACCCATCAGAAGCCTCGATGATTGGAATGAAAAGTGCGGGAGTTAAATATTTGTACGCAAAAATCTTGTTCACGGTTACTCCCATTACCTGAGGTAGCATTGCCTTGCGGCCATACATAGTCATCTGAAATTCTTCGGCTCCTTTGAAAGGTTGAAATACTAGGCTATCCTGACCATTTTCATTCGTCCAATGGAAGGATCCATTTTTCTTACTGAGAGTGAGCGCGGCGTCAATCGCCGATAAGGAGCAACCAAGAATTCCAATGTTACCGCCGAGCTTAGTTCGATTCTGGATGACATGCGGTGGAAAGGGTGATGGAATCCAGCATCGAAATTCTGGGAACCTGTCGTGGCTCCAGTGTCCTGTTGCAATGAACAAAGTTTTTACGAAAACGTTACTTTTCCCGTTGAGCTCAAGTTCGTAACAATTCTCCCCAAAGTTGCGCGTCGGTGTCAGTGACGTCACCGTTGTCAATTTGCGAACATCTACTGTGAATCCCTTTCGTTTGAGCGCTTTCACAAATTGATTGAAACGGTTGCTTAAGTAGAGACCTACCACAAAACGTGGAAAAGGTCTGTACAGCCAGGCTGGGTTTTCTTCTTCCTCGATCCCTAAAGAAGCCCTATATTCTGGTGTGAGTGAGCGAAGCCAAACCATAAAGTCAGACCTTTCAGAATATGGAATATAAGTAGCTGTGATTTGGGTACAGCCTCCCGCGATATTTACAATATGTTCGGGAATGGTCATATATTTTGAATACGGCATCCCGGGTCCAAGATCTTGACCGCGTTCCACTACAAGAATGCAAAAATTAGGTTGCCCGTCGTCGGGTATCTTGCGTAAAGAGATCTGACCCAGTACAGCAGTACCATAAGCGCCTGCACCCACCACAGCAACGTCATAAAATGGGACAGTAGAAGCCATCGTCTTGTTTCCAAATATTCCTAAAAAGGAGGGGCATTAAAAGATCTAGTAAATCATTCAAACAGCAAAAAAAAAAAAAATGGAAAAATACACAGATCCTATTAAACTTCTTTGGACCGTTGTAGTTAACTTCTATTATTATTCATTCAAAATATTTCCCCAATTCTGATTGGCCAAAAGCACACGCATAATTCACCATAACCAGCTACTGATTACCAAATTTGGAAGAATTTTGCGATTAATGAACCTATGACGTCAAAAGTGCAGCTTCCTTGCAGGTTAATGCACCGTTAACCGAGAAGACCTGGGGACGAGGTTGAGTTGTTTTGGTTGTGAAAACAAAAATGGCGGCCATTTCACTCGTTTCAAGAGTAAGAACTAGGCGAAATAATAGCTAAAAGCATGTCAAGAACAGCAAGAAGACAGCTCGAAGGGCGACATCTGCTATTTGGAGAACATTTGCAGAGCTGAAGAACGTGCACTAAACGTGCACTATCGAAGATGAACTTAACATCGATGGAGGTAAGCATGTTTTAGTTATGTTTTTAAACTAGGAATTATTTTGAATGAATAATAAAACAATTATTGAATTCGGTTTTCGTATCATATAAAGAATTATGTTTTTTTGCCTTATAAGCTTATTTTTCTGTGTTTAGTTGAACTAAACGGGGGGGACACAGGTGTTCCACTAGCACAAATGTTAAAGCTGGACAAGAAAACAGACCAATGTTAATCATTTGAATAAAATCTGGTTCAGTGTATTTGTTATACTTGCGAACTAATACTTATTTACCGTGTGGCCAAAATATCAAGCTAAAATACGACAAATAAACTGTCCATCACGTCGCGCATGCGCAGTCTTAATTTCTTACACTAGAGAAACGGATAGTGACATTAGAATCTGGGATCAATCTGAGACCCATTTTTTTATTTTGGGGGAAAGAATTAAAACAGGCCGACTAAAACACTGCCAAAAACACGCCAGGTAGGCCCTTGAGGGGAGAGTTGAATTCCGTGAAACAAACATTGTTTGTTCCACCTATTACAATGTCAATATCAAAAATTCGCTAATCAGTTATAAGTCATCAATATGGTGCTCAAGAATGACATAATTATAAAATCAAAATAAGAGAAGAACAATTTCCGAACATTCTAAAGGTTTGTGCTGTGTCAAGGCCGGACTCGTTGGACTCGGTAAACAGTTCTCGTGAGGATAAGCACGCAACGCTAAAGTCCTGGTATTTAAATTGGAATATTCATGACCTAAGTCTTAAAAATCCGAGCAACGTATATTAACTTTTGTCTTTTTGTTTATGGTGCAAATTTGTCATTTCAATATATATACTATCGCGGGCAGGTTCTGATTTAAAGTCAAAACTTTTCGAATTTAAAAACTTTTAAAGCGTAGTATTGTAAACCTCATTCCAGACTGAAGGATAACGAATTAAAAAAAAAAACGTTTGTACTGTACGGTTTCGACAAAGATCGTTCTGCTGAGTTCACGACGGAAAAAAACCTTAAAAGTCTACCTCAAGTTCTACCACCTGAATCGTCTTTGCTCCAACCAAACAGAAATGGCGCCAAATTGCAGGTTATCTTCTTGTTATGAAGTCAGAATAATATCATTAGATTTGGTATATATTAAGGTCACGACCGCTAAAGTAGTACTTCAATATTTTACAAAAAGACTTGTTTATTGCCTGATGAAGCATAACCAAATTCTAACGGAAACATGCAAATTCTTTGCTCTTTTGTTTGTTCATTAGCCCGTGGAAGTAAAAGACAGATTCCCCGCATCGCCGACACTTGAGGTTTGTTTTACCGTCCTTATGCGTGCTGGAAAGGGGGGAGCGGGGTGGTGAGAGGGGGAGAGGGAGGGTTAGGGTTAGGGTTAGGTGGACGCAGTTGTAGTCTAAGACGAAAGAGAAAGCGATGGTTATTGCTGTTTGTGTTGATTCAGACCTTGACATAACCCTGACATAATTATGACGTTAACACCTTAAAATCCTGGATTTTTTGGGCTAAATCCTGGAAACGAGGGTTGCTATCTTTCTTACATCTTTGGTATTTTTTGATCGTCACAGTGAAGCACTGTGACGTCAATATGACGTCATTTCATTGTTTTTGGCTGACCTCAGTGGTCAACTTAGTAAGACTTTTACAAGTGTAATTTTACAAGTATAGCCATTGCTTTAGAGTCCGAAAACAATAGGTACACTTGTAAATTACACTTGTAAAAGTTTTATTAAATTGACCCCACATCGTAAGCTACGTGCAAACGGACGCAACATTGCTGGGACCTGGAGTACGTCGTGGGAAGGATACAACCCATAAAACTCTGTAACGTGTAATTCACGTGAATTGACTTAGCTTCGGCGATCACGGAACAAAAGAAATAATATGAGTTGTTGGCTCAAACGTTTGACCGGTTTCAGACTTTGCGCAGCAACTCCCAACAGCACGCAACAACATGTAACAGAGTGTGACATGACAATAGTGGAGTCACGCAACAACATGTAACAGAGTGTGACATGACAATAGTGGAGTCCCGATTGAGATGTGAAATAAAACCTTCAGCAGAGATTCAAAAAGTTTCGGCTGACTGGGGGTGATCAAATATATTTTCAAGTAGACAGTACATTTTGGATTCACTCTATTACAAAGAACGGTTTTATATACGAATCACTCTCCATGTTTTGTTAGCCTTTAAAGCAAGGTAAATGTTTATTATCATTATTATTGAATTAGGTGTTTTCCTATCGAAATGAATTTTAAATAGTACTTTCACTGGATCGTTTTTTTAAAGCGAGATTTAGTTGTAAATAAGCTTAAATAGGAATTTTTTAGTTAGCTTTCTTATCAATAAAAAATTATTATATATTATATAAAAAATAGAAATTATTATTATTATTATTTTGTTGACACCTGAGAGGCGAAAAAAAGGTAATTAGAATAATTTAAGGTAACCCGTATAAAGCATTGTAAACAGGACTAGATATCAAAAGAGGAAACTAAAAAGTCTAAAAACTGTGAAGGAGATGAAGACTGTGAACCAAAAGAAAACTATACCTTAATTGGCCGTACCAGCTGATAAAGTGACAAATATATTCCATATACGTGAAAAAAGAACCGTTTAATTTTCTTGTTACAGCCATCTCTTGCCTTGCGGACACCCCTCTATAACGGACACCCCAATAATACGGACAGCAGTTAAATCCCAGGCAAAAATAAATTACAGTTTTTGGACTGAAATAAACTCCCGTTATTACGGACTCTGGCTAATGAGGACACAAACTCGAGGTCCCTACAGTGTGTCCGCGATGAAGGGAGTTGACTGTATTTTACAGCCTGAATCAGACTACAGCCAAAATGTATGCAAATGGAAGCCTCGGGTAGATCTGTCACAAAACAGGCGATCACTTAAGTGTCTGCGAATCAGTAAGGCTTAAATATCTACAGTTGAATTTGGGAAGGAAGTAGATTCTGAGGGCCTTGACGAAAAAAAAGCAAGCCAGTTTTAAAGTGCCGTATAGGATAAAACTTTAAACTTAAAAAAAAAAAAGAAAGTATTGAACAGCAAAATAAGATCTCTTTCTCATTCTACCGTATCCGTGTGGATGGTACGTGCAGTCATAGTTACTTCTAGCGTCTTTTATTAGGCACATCGAGTTCCCCTTTGCTGCCATATTGTTTGTTTTTCACCAGTCTAAGGTTCTTGCACTCAGATCCTCTCACTCTTTGTCTTGGCCGCTGTTACAGTGACATGGGCAACCCCGCGTTTTGGGCATCCCTATTCCCAATACCCTAACCTGCGTAGCAGGCGTCGAAAGGGTAGGGGATAGGGAAGAAGGGAAAGAGGGAGGGGGATTGGGGAGAGAGGGTAACAGACACCTGCTATAACAAAACCCTTTTGTTCATCGTCCGCAAATCCCTGATTGGCTGAGCTGTAATGAGCAACCTATTGGCTTGTATCCTGGCGTGTATTAGTGAGAGACAAACTTGATGCATTTAGCAAGTCAATATATGCACTATTGTCTCGTTCTATTGTGTAAAGTTTATTGTGTTATTGTGTTTATTGTTTATTGTTTATTGTGTTCTTTGTGACGTAACTCGAGGCTTGCTATTCACTTGGTATACAGCTGTATAGTGCACCACCCGAAGTTTTGCTCATTAAGACCCTGTTTACATGGAGTGTGGGACCCCGGTCTAGTGGGGTAAGTTTCTTTTGTTTTGTGTCCGCCAGAGCGTGAAAGCAAAAGAAACCAACCCCACTAGACCGGGGTCCCCCACTCCATGTAAACAGGCCCTAAGATTCTTTTTTTTTTTTACCACTGAGGTATTCCCTTGTTCCAATGTAATCAATGCTTTCAAGCGATAGAGTTCGTGGACTGACCCGTTCCGGAAAGGTTCGACACGGCACCTTTTTGTTGTCACGCCGCGATTCTTATCCCTAGTTTCCACGATCTTCGCTAGGAACGCCTTTGACTATAATTTCCTCAGGCCCTTTGGCACACACACAGACAGAAAAAGAATGCTCTTAAAAAGCGCAAGTATCGCTGCTTCGAAAATAGATAAAAAACAAGGAGACGATTAATTCTACACGAAACAGGATTTCCTGGCTAAACAGATTTTCATTTCCTCCTTTATCGACGGCCGAGTAATTCTTGAGGATATTTTTTGTTTTATATCGTATTCGACGATTTGTTTCTGTCTTGATTAGAATGCGGGTCACTATAAAGACTTTACAGAACCGGAAACCGGGCTAGAAAAGTCTCTGGCACCCCTGGTATATATCCAAGCACGAGTTAGCATGAGGTCTGAGTCAATAGCGAGAGTTCGAGTTATGGGAGTCGAATGTATGCTGGTGTATTAATCCTTTTTGAAAGATAATTTCTCTTATTCTGGGTCAAATAATATTCCGTATATTCCATGTCTTGTTTTAGAATATTTTGTAAATTCCGTGTTTTCGTGTTTTGGATAATTGGTTTATTTCGTGTATTCCGTATTTTAGAGTATTCCATATATTCCGTCATTCCGTTCCGTAATTCCGTCAGTCCGCTATTCGTCCAAATAGGGTCATCCCATTTTTGTGCCTCGTCCACTTAGGATCGAGTGTGGCCTGGCACTAACTCGAACAAAATGGCGCCCAACTGTCGGTGTGTGTGAATCATAACAAGCTGTTTCGTGGGCTAAAAATATTAAACGTTGAGAGGATTCAGGTACTTCATGGTTAAAAGGAGACTCTGATGCCAATAGGAATAGCAAATGTTTGTTTTAACAGCGCACGACTCTGATTTTCCGTTTCAACCAACGTTTCTGTAGCTCTTGTATAAATATCAATGAACATCCACCTATAGTCAAGCTTTTGATTACAAGACGAGAATGAAGGGCGATACATCACGTTAATTTAAAACAATTTTCAAGTAGGGATAACTTGTAATTTGCTACAACCTGACCTCTTGTTGCAATCAGACAACATGGCTGACTCACAGATTGTCTCCATCACAGCTTCCCTTGTCAGGGAATACCTGAGCCGAAAGGTAAGCTTAGATTTCCAAAGAAGGCTTAATCTTAGCATATATGTGCTGGTTGGCATCTCTGTATATTACAGGGTAGGGCATTACATCTGCAACCCCTTTTCCTTCCCTAAGGATGGCAGGTTTTTGAATAGGGGGTTCAGATTAAGAAATTGACAAAATTTTGACCCTTCAGATAATTTTTTTAAAGTTGCCTACATTAACCCTTAAGATTTCATTTTTCAAAAGGTGCCTACAGGAATTGAAGGGTTCGGGTTGCATGGTGCAGACAATAGAATGCAGAGTTCTAGTGAACATGTATATCTGCCGTTGTACACTTAATGTCAGGTCCCAAGCTAGGGAAAGCATTTAGTTTTGTTTTCCTGAGAGTCCTACCCGGTAATTACCATGTTTGCTCATTCTAAATGGCTGGACTTTGGCCAAGTTCCTGTCTTTTATAATAATATTATTATTTTTTGAACCTCAACTTTGTCTTTGGCTATAAGCACACCAAAAGAACCCTTTGCATTTGAGTTAACATTGACAAAGCAGGCTTTGTCTTTGTTAACTCGTGAAATGTATAATGGAAGCATTTTAAATAATGACACACGCATTTGTTTATGCACAAGCAGGGGCTTAAGACCACCTTACAGACCTTGGTCAAGTTCCTGTCTTTTGTAATAATATTATTTTTGAACCTCAACTTTGTCTTTGTCTATAAGCACATCAAAAGAACCCTTTGCATTTGAGTTAACATTGACAAAGCAGGCTTTGTCTTTGTTAACTCATGAAATGTATAATGGAAGCATTTTAAATTATGACACCCACATTAATTCTGTTTATGCACAAACAGGGGCTTAAGACCACCTTACAGACCTTGGATAAAGAAATGCCAAGAACTGAAGATAGGTACATGTCACTCCATAAGATACATCTGTACTGAGTGCTTTTAGTAAAAACTTAGAGAGTTTTGGACAAGAAAGGTGCATGATTGTGCCAGTTAGGTCAATTTTCTTTACAAGTACATCCAAAACAACAGATAACTTTATGTTCACCAAACTTTGTTGTGGGAATTTAATTTCTAGGTTTTATTTTTCGTGAGAAATGTGAAAAATTTGTCAATATTTTGCTATTTTAATTTCTATAAAAAATAATGTTGTAATGTAATAAAATTTTGATGGGCAGCAAATTATTGCATTTAACTGTACTGTGAATATTCTACAAAGCAAATCTAATAAAACAAAGAGGTTATGAAATGTGAATGAGTAACGTACAGTTAAGTTACTAACTAATTATTATAGTCGCATGGACATAACAACTCACTGTAAGTGAACCAAATGAAGTATGCAAAAAAAGATATTCCTTTTAGTGATAAAAATGCACTTAACCCACCAAATAAAGGAACCTATCTTCTTTTGATTTATTCCATAGCATTAGCAACCGTCTGCAACTTGCCAAAGAGATGCACATAGAAAGACTCATGAAAAAGAATAAGGTGGGTAGTATGCAATGGTCTCCACTGTTACAGTCAGAATTTTCAATAATAATTATTGCATTCTGCACATTATCTAATCAGAAAATAATACTACAGTCAACTCTCTTTAAGATGGACACTTATGGGACGGGCACTAAGTGTCCGTCTTATAGAGAGTCAAATAAAGGGAGTCAAGAAAGGCGGGGACCAACTCTAGGTGTCCATATTACAGAGGTGTCCGTCTTATAGAGAGTCAAATAAAGGGAGTAAAGAAAGGCAGGGACCAACTCTAGGTGTCCCTTTTACAGAGGTGTCCGTCTTGTAGAGAGTCAATTAAAGGGAGTAAAGAAAAGAAGGGACCAACTCTACGTGTCCATTTTACAGAAGTGTCCATCTTAAAGAGGTGTCTGTTAAGCATTATCTTAGGGTTATCAGGGCTGTCAGTCAGAGCCAGGGGTGGGGGATTTTCCCCGGCTACTATGAACGTGGCCCTGACTACCTTCATAGGAAAATAGAACCAAAGCAAATCCTTACCTGTTTGATTCCCCGTCTACTGTTTGTATCTACCTGGCAACTTGAAATCTTAGTCTTTATGCAAAAGTTCTGCCAAACTCACCCACCCAGTACTCAACCTCTTTATCCCTACTGGGACATAAGACCTTGATCAAGCTTTGACACTCAATCCTGTTCTGAGCTTTGGCCTGTGATTCACCCCATGTTAGACCCATCTCCTCCAGCTCTTTCATCACTATTCTTTACCAGGTAGTTTTTGGACCGTGCCTTTTCCCCCTCCCAGTTGGAGTCCATCTCATGGGTATCCTGTCGCTGGGCATGCTTAGAACATAACCAAGGCATCACAGCCTGTGGCTCATAATAGGCTGATTTAGCAACAGAACGGGAGTGTCAGTTGATGACGGAAAAGTGCACGAAAAGGACTGAATGCAACTGACAGTGCCCAATTTCCCACTCTGCCATTAGTTAAGCCAGTTGTTTCATTTGTGTGCGCTGTCGTCAACTGACATTCCTGTTCTGTTGCCAAATTAGCCTAATACATGTATTTTGAGAGACTGTACCATACTGTCCATCTTTTTATACAGCTCGTCATAAGTGATCTTGAAAGTTCTGCAAAAGAGGTTTCATTGTTTTGAATGGCAACACCATTTGTCCGCAGACTGAATAATGTTACTGTTTTGTAGAGTGACAAATAATCTGGCGATAACTTGGTGGATGAGTGAAAAGGTTAATCAGGAATGGGTTGCATCTCATTGGAATTGATTGAAATCTCCCTGGTAGACTTATTCAAATGCACAGGCATAGTTTTGATTGTGTCGTTTCTTCTTTGTTTAGTCAAAAGTTCAAAGGTACCTTGGAACATACATTCACTAGGAATTTTAGTAAGAAATAGCTGACTATTACTTCTAGGTGCCCTGAATTCTTTGCAGAGCTAACTTGCCAGCTCTCTGTACATGTACCAAGAGAGAATTATATTCACTGCTTGATTTCCATGATTGAAGTTACCAGCCTAACCAAGAATCTTCTTTCCTACTTATTGTTTGGTCAGGAATTACCAGAACCATTTCGTACCATGCTGGAGGTCATGGTTCAGTTTATGAAAAATCGAGACGTTCAAAGTGGCTCAACATCTGTTGGAGCAGATAAGTCAAGTCAAAAGTCAAAGCAAACAAGGTATTAATAACACTGCTGCAAGAGCTGTTTGTACAACAAATGAATAATTGAAAATGGTTCCTCCCAGATAAAATTGGTACCACACAAATTCAAAACATTTCAGTACCACTTTTGAGGAGTGAGGGCATGAACAGCCCAGGATGGGGGTACTCCCAATAATGGCGTATACAGGGAGGCTTCGCCCAAAGGGGTACCTTTTTCAGGCTTCAGGGTTGTATATGAAAGGGCAGGGAATTTACTGGTTGAAGTTAGTATATATATATGTCAAATCAGTCTGTAAAAGGACTTAAAAGTCTAACAGATGCATCTTGGGCCTGTTGAAATGACAAGAAAACTTCCTGGTTTAGTGATTTATTCACAAAGACAGTACATTTACAGTACTCAAAAGAAATGCATGCTTTTTGACCTTATCACAATGTAGGTATGTGAAAAAGGTTGGGAAAAGGTACCTTTTCTGACTTGGACCTCAGGGCAGAACCTCCCTGTACAATGTACATGCACATATCTTCATTGAGTGCCCTCATCCCCCTCCGGGGTATTCAGTCAACTCTTGAATTTTGTCTGTAGAGGCACTCCTTTCAGTGAGTTCCATGTACATGTACTTCAATGGTATGGGCACCTTTCAATGTAAACTGACATCGATGTATGGACATGTATATAAAGTTAACTCCTTCCAGTCTTCTCCTCAGTTCTTTTCTAAGAATATTGACGGCCTCTTAGTACTCTATGCTGTTCATCTACACTGTACTGTGGTAACTTCATTTGGTGCATTTGACTGTCAGGGAAAGAAAAAAAGAATCCAGTACTAGGACAACTGCACAACCATCAAATAATGATCTCATCGATAACATGGACAAACTGGGTGATAAAAGCGACAGAAAAGACTATGACGATCTATTTAAACGCCTGGAAAAACCTTCAAGCAAAGTTCACGGCTCTCCAACAGGCATAAAGTTCGCTAATGACTCCACCCAGATGCAAGTCAGTACACAGAAAGATGATTTGCATAAAGGAGGAGGTAGAGAGGCAAGTGATATTGGTGGATTACTACAATCAGGGAGCCTGGGGCCAACTGCGTCATTGTCGGATCAAATGGCATTGAAACAGAAAAGTAAACGGAGACTTAATAGCAGTATTGGTGGACCAGTTATTAGTTCTGGACTTGCTGTTAAAAGAGACTCAAGAACTCGTCATAGTACTGGGAGGCTTAGTGGCAGTTTAACTGCAAAAAGCATTGGAAGCTTGTTTGGAGATGATGAGGACAGTAAAGAATTGAGTAGTGTATCCACTCCAGATCATGATCCATTGGTTAACAAAGTAAGGAGTTACTTTGCAGTGTATGTCTGGTGCGGTATATCTACATCATTAGGGACCGTTCATTTTTTATGAAGTAGGGGGGCTTGGGCTGGTGGGATTTGAGGGTAGACCATGAAAAAAATATGGCTTTAAAGGGGGGTTCAGGAGACAACTATTGGGTGTAAAGGGGAGGGGGGGGGTTACCAATAAAATCCTTCAAGTTTTGTGGGGACTATACTTGTAATAATGCAAAGAGCCTACCAGAATGCAAAAAACAGCGTTTCTGACGTTCAGAAAGTTTACATTTTGCCGGGGATGCATGCCTCCGGACCCCCTACTTAATTAAGCACCAAAAAGTAATTCTACCCCACCAAAATAAAAAACTTTTACGTATTAACAAACCAATTTACGTATTAACAAACCAATTAAAAACAACATGGCCGTCCTCACTTGGTATACCATCCAATGTAGTAAATATTTTGTACAAAAATAACTACGTGTGCTACTTTTTGAAGCTCCCAAAGTCTCTCTTGCGGTTTTCGTTTTTTAATAAGACTCCTTTGCATCGTCAGCTTAAGTTATATAGACAATGTCTGTTCTCTACTTATATGGCCATTCAGAAAGTGTACTTGATTTATGTTCTGTCAATTGGTTCATTTTTTCTCCATCCTTTTTTCTGGCGGCGGGGGGAATGTCATCTCAATTAATCTGGGATACAAGAGGGAACCCCCCCTAAAATAATTTCTAATGAAGAGGGGTGTCATCATATACTACAGGAGCTATCCGTTAAATTCACCAACACCCCCCTCCCTTCTCCCGCCCTTATTAGGGCGCTTAAGCAAAGGCGTTTCTAAGCAACACATGGCAGTCGATTTGCCCAAATTTTCAGGCAAATTAACAAACTAAGCAACATAAATTTTATAGCATCAAGGCATATTAAAAGGGAAAAATGCTCACTTTGGGAAATGGCGTCGCTCAAGAAGGCCTCTTTTTAAGCTCCCTATTGAATATAATTGTAACACGAGACACCCCTGATTGACCCCCTAAAAAATTTGTACTTGGGAGAATTTGTTTAAAGATCAAAGCATTTTTCCTTAATTTGGCTGATCATTTCATTGATTCTCATTGCCTTTTCTTATGCTTTTTAATGATATTGTTCGGAAAAATTAGCCTGCCAGCAAGCTCTCCAAGGTGCTCTGGTGGCGGGGCGAAAGGAGAAAATTGACGTTAGTCATTCTTTCAGATTTAAAGGTTTAAGGAGTGTTGTCCATCTTTGAACTTTAATTTCTTGACTCTAGTTCCTCAATACTCGCCTGCGTAGTTGAACTGAAGGGACTTTGCACGCACGACCGAGTAATTCCATAGATGTTTCTATTTGTTGTTGCCTTGGCTGTATAATGTCGCGATAAGAAAGGGGATGAGTTGCGCTCATATGAGGTGGGCTGACTGGTGCCAATTCACCACCCTGATTCTGCCAGTTACGTATAGGCTAGACTTGCCACAAGTCGACCTCACGAGTTTCTAAACGAGCGACGAAGTTGTGAGGGGTCTTGGACGAAGGACTTTTTTGAAAGTTTACGTATAGGTACCCTGCGAACAGAGGTTTCTGTCTTGCATGGCTTTTAGCGTTTACGAAGTCGCCGGTTCGCGTGGCGTGTCTGTCGTGTGGTTAGTTTCTTTCCGCCCCGTGAGACGTAAACAAACTAACTACGCGACAGACAAGCCACGCGAACGACTTTGTAAACGCTAAAAGCCATGCATGAGAGAGACCTCTGTTCTCAGGGTAGCTATAGGTTACCTGGATACTTACTAGAGTATCGAGTTTTTAACCCAAAGGAATGTGCCTAAGACGTTTTTAGTATAATGTCGACCTCTGGAAATGAGGTCTCCGTCGTTTGAGTCAAGAAATGTCTTACATTTGTACAATAGTGGCCTTATTTTCCCTTTTCGGCAGACTGATGAACTTCACAATACGCAGGATGTTCCTGTTGACCGAAAGGGAAGAGAAAAACATAGACCGTGAGTATCACTCTAAAAATTATCGACTCCTTTTTTTTTCTTTTTAATAATTTGGGAGACAGAAATAATAATTACCTGCATAGAGTATACTTCGCGTTTAACATTATTTGTGCTTAAAACGTTGTGTGCTCAAAAATTATATCAGTAAGGATGATGTTGCTGTATACTGTTTATTTCTATTTTTCATTTTTTCAGGGAAGATATTTCAGCTAAACATCATAGAAGAAACACATCTAATGAAATCTCAAGGTAGCTATAAGTTAAATGATGTTCTCAGTACTGGCGTTCTAGAATCAGGTCTCCCTCTGTCCCTTCAAGTCATCTAGATTTTCAACTGTTTGTTTTTTTCTGCTTAGAAACCAGCCTGTCACCAGTACATTGAGGAATCAGAAGGTAATACTATGATTATTTGAACAGTGGATGAACAGTCGAACCTCCACTCGGAGGTTACAGCAATTGCACCAAAGTCATTAACCACCTTTTTTTTGTTTACTTAAGGCTAAAAGCAGCGATCTGGTGTTTGAAGATGTTGACGACGACCTAGATCAAGAACTTGGTCATTTAACCTTAGGTATGGTAGATCTATACAGTCGAACCTCCATGTGCGACCATCTCTCGTAAGCGATCACCTCCCATAAACGACCGCCAATCCAAAACAATAAAATTTTCCCAGTGAAAGCCTTACAGCTGGAACCTCTAGTAAACGACCACCTCGGTCCTCCTATAAGCGACCGCGACTACTTTTTGTGCCTGACTGTCAATGATTTTGCATTGGTTTTAACCTCTTGTAAGCGACCACAGTTGACACATTCTCTGATCTCTAGGTTCGCTGTGTCCACTATGCTTCTTACAATATACAAAGAGCTTTAATGACCACGTGGAACTACAAATGTCGTAATTATCTTCCATAAAGTAGATGTGTCTGGACCTCTTCTCGGAAGAGGTTCCCTGTGGTTCGATTCTTGTAAACGACCCCCTCCCGTAAGCGACCACTCATTCTTTTCATTTTGGGTGGTCGCTTACGGGAGGTTCGACTGTACGTGTAAATATGATGGTCTGAAAGCTGTTTAATCCGACTGTAAATCGATTCACCTCAGGGAACCCGCTGGATAAACCTCGATTTGTCCATTGTCAGTGTAAGACCTATTAAGATCAATAAAAGGAGGGTTTATTGACTCCAAAATACTCTAGCTCTAGCTACTCTCGTGTGAAGCTGCTGGTAACACCATACAGTCAAATCCCGTTTTACGGACACCTTTTTGATTGGGACTTCTTATTATTTCGAATAGTTTTCTTTGTCCCTAGCCTGGGGAAATAGAGCCCTTACATTTTCTCTAACTTCAACCCCCTTTATACGGACACCCCGTTAATAAGGACACTTTCTCGGTATCCGTGTTAATTGGGTTTGACTGTACACAGAAACAAATAAATCGTTAAGATCTCCCGCCAGGAAATGGATCCGTAAACAAAAACAAACAAACAAACAAATCACTCCGTATGTGGACGTAGCGCTTGCGTTGGGGCGGGGCTTGAACTTGCAAATCCAATTCCAGGGCTCTAACCAGCCTCTTACCCAGGCCAGTTCGCGCTATCCGAGTTACCAGAGGAGGCTTGGAACTGAGCGCGATAGCGCGAGGCGTCCTCGGCGAATTTTCCCGACAAGCTTGACAGGTGACGTCACATCCGAAATCCCCGAGGACAACTGAGGACGAGGCTGGGTTCTAACCTCTCTGCCACGGTTCCTCCAAATGTAGGACTTACGTCCTTCTGCACTTAGAGTTTGGTTAATTGAAAGCTGCTATAACAAAATATTTTAAGTTTACTCATATTTTAGGTCCAAAGAAAATTACGCAAGTTGATGTCCAAAACAAACCTATCACTTTGGAAACAGCAATGGTAGGTGCAATCTTATGGTCTTGAAATTTACATGTAACTAGTGAAAACTTCCAGTGACTCTTTCTGTATGTTATTGTATTCTTTTTCTTCTTGTAATATGTTGAACTTTTCATCACCTATGCGTACTATGCGTAACGTTTTGTCCCTCCTAGATTAGCTTAATAGCTATTTGCGGGGTATACAACACTGTAAAACTTTATCTTTTGTTGTCGTTTTAACATTGTTGTTGCTGTGCATAAAAAGGCCGTTTCATCCTTTTTGTAATTACATTTTGAAGTCAATCTTATCAAGACAAGGACTTTGTTATAATGCTTTCCCCTTAGCCTATTACAGTCTACGCCCCCCTAGTCCTTATCGTCGCAAGCGACTGCTAAAAGACAATAATAATAATAATAATAATAATAATAATAATAATAACAATATAATAATAATAATAATGATAATAATAATAATAATAATAACAATAATAATAATAATAATATTTATAGAGGAAGCCCAACTCGCCAAGGCGGTTTTCAGTGGGGCCCTCATGCATTAATTTAACTAATTTAATCAATTATTACGAAAAAAGTAAAATAAGTTTGCAAGTAAAAAATTTTAAAACATTTAAAATCTTAAAATCGATTATTCAAAAAATATCAAGAACGCCTGATCACGCTGACACACTTGATTTAGGCAATACCCTGAGTAACTAGTCGCCTATTTACTGATGCATTTGTTGATCACATTAGGGCTTGAAGAATCTTATATTTGGAAATGCCAAGTCGAGCTTTACACCTGAATGGAGAAATCAAAGCTTTTCATTCTGTGACTTATATGGACTGGAATACGGAATTGTACAACTAAAGGTAAGGTCAAGTTAATGCGAATATTTCGCTTGAATCTCTAGAAAAAAAGGGAAATTGTTTGAACCATACAACGGTGACCAGTGGTCCAAGCTGCGACCGTTTTGGTTGCCATGGTGAGTAAAAAACAAAATTTTGCGATTAAAAGTGCAGCGAAAGTCGCCAATTGGGTACACACCTGTTTTAGGCGGTAATGCGGCCAAGCCGTTGCTTTTTCAATAAGTAAGTTTTTAGTGAGATAACATTTGCGTGAAATAGTTATCAGTTACGCTCCTGGCGACCATTATATGATTTTAGGTTGCAAAAAGGCAACTCTGTAGCACTGAAAGTCTTCAGATTTTAAAACAAATGAATAAAATAATTAATTAATTAAAAGGAACCCTAGAGTGATCAGCCTCAAAGTTCTCCTTGTAGTATCTTTGCTTTATAAAACATAGTGATTAGATTATGATATTAGGGGTTATCGTTGTTGTTGTTGTTGTTTTTCAGGGTGGACCCTGTGGAGTGCTCGCTGCTGTACAGGCGTTTGTCCTCAAGCATTTGCTGTTTGGCGGAAAGAAAGGGGACTCTAAAAAGTACATTGTGTTTCAGATACAAGAGTATCTGATGTTTACTCATTTTTTTCTCTAGGGTATCTTTAAATACCACGAAAATGTCTGTTGGTTTGATGATTTAGTTTAGATTGTAAATAATCATTTTCAGTTGTCGTCCCTTTTTCTTGCAATATTCTGTACCATTGACGTCATTTCAAATAGACTGAGCGCGGATGCCAATGGCGCCTTTGTATGCTGACGTCCGAGCTTACTGTTCACATGTTATAATATATTGTAAGAGGGCACGTCTGTTGTCCTCTCATCCACGACTCTTCATTTATTCATTCGTTTTAACGGATATCGCAAGCGTCTTCCAAAGTTGGTCAACGCTAGCTGGTTATATTAAGGTGTTTCGATACAGTTTTTCAGAGGCCATACCGATATTTTTCTTATAAGTGGTTTTTTCCTCCTCCAATCGCTATAAAATTTTCACCTGTAATTGCCTATGGATTGAAATTTGTGAAAATGTAGTTTTAAGTAAAATCGATATTACAATGACAACAATAAACAAAAAACTTTGAAATTGGTAAAAGCCGAATTTTGTGTGATGTAGACCAGCTACTGAAAATCCAACACTAGGAACTTAAAGTTTGGTGTCTAGCAAACGATCTCCTTAAGAAGTAGAAAATTCTGTATGTTTGAATTCGACTAAAACGAAAATATATGTCAACCCTTAAATTTTCAATAGCCGTGATAGATTATTTAATAAAAACCTTATAAATGATTCAAATTATTGTTAAGTAGCGTCAGAATGCGCTTAATATAGTATTTTGATGCTAGGAAATCTTGGTGTATTTTTGTTCTTGCGATCTAGAAAACTAAGACGTTTTCTCACCACCTGTCTAAGTGCAACTTCATTCAAAATTTGGACTTTTCGTGCTTTTTTGTATATCTCTGAAACGACTGGAACGAATTTTTTAATAATCTCCTCTCATAATCTTCATAATGTATATAATAATGTGTCAAACTTTCATTAAGATTGATTCACTGCAACACCTTGAAATTTCAAGACAAACCTTTCCTACGAATCGGTCAAAAATCTGCGTTACAACAGTCACTGTTTTGACGTTATGCTAATTGTTCCAAAGTAATGCGAACTATACATACCTAAATGACCAGTACATTTTAGTTTGAATTTATCGCATCTTTTGAATGTAAAACATCGACAATAGTCACACTGAAATATATTAGTCATGGATATATGTATTGTCCGCATTAATTTACTTCTCACGGAGGTTATTTGCTAAACATCAAACTTTTTTTGCTAGTGTTGAATTTTCACTAGCTGGCCTAGATCGCGCAAAATTAGGCGTTTCTCAATTTCAAAGTTTTTTGTTTATTGTTGTCATAGTAATATCGATTTTACTAAAACCCACATTTTGACAAATTTCAATCTATAGTCAACCATTGTTGAAAATTTTATAGCGATCAGACAAGGATAAAATCACTTTTAAAGTGATTGAAAAATATCAGTATGGCCTCTGAAAAACTATATCGAAACACCTTAAAGATGAGGGATTTGAGCCAATCAGAAACGGAGAAATTAAATGGCGATAATAAATTTTTTCCCATTACCCTTGTCATTTCCATTTCTAGTAACAACTTCTGAGAATAACTCAGCCATGCCCTTCTTTTTCGGCTGCTCCTGTCCGGACGTGGTGATTATGGAAACTAGTTTTTTTTAATCTTTTAATAAATCCTATTTCATGTTCATTTTAGGAAACTTCAGCCTTCTTCACGAGAAAGAACCAAAGCTCTTACATCAGCTATTAGTGAAATATTATGGAGGGCTGGTGACAGCAGAGGTGCAGTAGTAGCCTTGTAAGTTGCTCTCGAATTTAGTTTATGCATTATTTAAAAAACGAGCAGGAGTGTTTTACCGAGTTTGAAACACGAGGCGTTGCCGTGAGTGATGTGTCGATATAGAGTGATTGTCATCGGGCACTCCACTCTGCTCAAGGTGGCCTCAGCCGAGTCACATGTCTGGACTGCCAGTGCCGGTAGTCTTCTGGGTCAGCCATAATAAGGACTTTAAGATCCAACGACGCGGACGGCAACGCGAAAGTAGAAAAATCAATAGGTTTTATCAGCAGACAACAACTTTGAACAAGTAGACGAAATTTTATCTCTTTCTGAACATGGTTATGGTCCCTAGGAATTCAACTGCAGAAGGGTTCGCCTACATTCGACAAAGTAAGAGGGTAATGATTGCGATAAAGACTGAAAGAACGCAAATTCACTTTTTAAGCGACGTTCTCGTTGCCGTCGTGTCGTTGGATCTTAAACTCTCTAGTGGTAGCCTGCGTCGCAGACGTAATCTTATCGCAGTTAGTAACGTCTGCGAAGCAGCCCAAAGGTTCTTGTTCGACGCCCCAAACGGACTTGATGAATCAGTTATCGGAAGGGCGTTTGGATTTCCCTTCAACCCGGACCAATCACGGCGCGTACTCAATCCTGGTACACAGGCGGCGCCTTGAAGAACGGTGACGGAAGAACGGAAGAACGGCGACGGCAACGGCAACGACAAACACCAAAAGCCGTGCCTTTTGGTACGTTATTTTACCGTTCTCTACGTAAAATTTGTTTTTTGCTGAATGTGGCGAACTATGAAGTGGGTGACCACAAGACGTCGATGCGATCAAAGTTGTTTTCGCTGTCGTCGTCGTTGTGATTGCTTAAGCTTCTCGAATCACATCCATTGAGACCATAGCAATAGAAAACAAAACCAAAATAAAACATCAAACAAAACAAGTCAATAACAACAATCAAGACATGGCCTTTCGTTTTCCCTTTTATGGTGTTGTTAGTTTTGCTCTTACAACTCAAAATTAAGTCAGTCACTTCACATCCTCTGATTCATATCTCTCGCCCCAAGAATAACGTCGCTTGAAACAAAAATCGCGCAACATCTTTGAGGATGGAGCAATCACCAAATCAAGTAACACAAAATATCGAAAAGACACCTTAACTCGGTAGCTACAATAATTTCGACAACACCCGAAGTTACATCCCATTTAGTTAATTCTCACAATTTATTTCAGACCTACTGGTGGTTCTAATGTTTTTGGTGCTGGGCGATACAAACCGGACCAGTTAACAGAAGCGGTAAGTACTGCAATTTCCCATAAGATCACCCGACGTCTACCCCCTGACAGAACGTTTTAAAACAAGATGGGACATTTCACGCCAAAATGGTTCGATCGTGACATTTTTACGGGAAAATAGGGTTGAGAAGTCACTTTCCGTGAAGGGTGACTTCGTAATACATGTTTGGCTTTACCGAAAGAGATCGGTCTCCGCAATAGTGCTCCCATTAGACCTCTTTAACGAATATTGTTCATGGTGGATGTGAGATTTGCAGGTAGACTGTTGTTACTATAATTGCTGCCATAATGCAATAATGGTATTTTGTTCCTACACATTTGCTCGGGGTAGATTTTAGCTGTTCAAACATAAGATGCAGCGTTCGTACGCGTCTTGAAAACCCTTGAAAACCCTTGAATTTCAGGAGTCCGATTTCAAGGCCTTGAAAGTACTTGAATTTCGTTTTTGGTCCTTGAAAGTCCTCGAGTTTTTATTGAACAAGATCGAAAATGTTCTGCACTATCTGTAAACCCAAATTATAAATGTTAACACAAACATTTTTCTTGGTTTTGAGGTAAAATTGTCATTAAAAAAGTCCTTGACATTTCTAGTTAGGGTCGTGGAAAGTCCTTGAAAAGTCCTTGAATTTTTGGCCTGAAAAAGTGTACGAACCCTGAAGATGGCAAAAGGAAAGAGTGAGGTCTGAATTCAGGTTTGAAAGCTAAGAAAAATAGAAAATTCAATTAAATTCTTTTTGTCTCCACACTGATGATTGGGTACTCTAAAATGAATAGAGAAAAGGTTTCTGACAAAATGCTTTATTAAAAAAGAAAAAGAAATCCAGATAAAATTTTAACCCTGAGTTTGCTCTAATCGGCCTTCGAACACCTGGGCCCTGCAATGAAAGCGATTACCTCTTTGTTATTATTTTTGACAAGACATGTCCAACTGATGTCCGACCGCAGTTAAGATTTCGCCGAACGTGGGCCAATTTTAGTTGGACTTTGTTCGATGACCAACTATTATTTGCAGCCCTGCACGATTGATAAAAATGGGCCTTGTTTGTTTTCTTACATCAAGATGAGGATATTTTTCTGTTGTACTCTACTTGCAGTTTTGTAATTCTGAGTTAATCACATCTGCTCACTCACTTTTTTCTGTAAACCGCAGCTTGTGGTATACACCTTCAAGTCTTCTGAAAGTCTTCTTAGTTTTATCTCGCAAAATATATCGCAGGTACGTAAAATTCTTACTAGGTTGCTCTATCCTTACCTGTTGTGTGTCTGTACAATTAGCAATTATTGAATGAGTCTGGATAAGGTGGCTTTTATTTCTCCTTTTCACAAGGTACCGTTGCTTACCTTTTAACCATTGTATCTGTTTTATGATGTTTGTTAAAAAGGATTATTTTATTAAGCGTAAATCATTGGTGAAACGATTACTGAAGTCGGTTTACTTAACAGCAAAAGTGATACTTGATGTGCCCACCAATGACTTATCGCGATATTTCCAAGTGCTTGACCTTGTCCGATAAATGCTTATTGCTTGGAAACAAGGGCCGAAAGTTAGCGGTCTGTAATATGCCCCTTCATTCTAAATGGAGCAAATCAGAACCGCCTCAATGAAGAGGAGAAGTCGTTATGTCACGTTGCCATGGTAGCAAAATGTCTGGATCTGAACAAACCGTAGCCCATGGCACAAAAAAAAAAACGAAAAAGTTAACGTGAATTCCTTTCCTGTGCATGATTGCACTCAGGAACAAAACAGTATCCCACACTTTTCTTCCATCGTTCGACAGTGCAAATGGCCGTCCTTGTCAAGAAAGATTGTTAAGATCCAGATCATGATTTTGCCACCATGGTAACGTGACGTCACACTTCTCCTCTCCCTAGGGGAGTTTGCTTGCTGATTGTGGTTCACTTAAACCAACATTGCCACCGTGACGTCATGGAAGGTCCTCATTAGGCTTCTTCAATCCAGTTATTCCGACCGTAATCCTAAACATGCCTTTCAATAGACAGATTTGTTGGACTGAATACAGTTACAGTCAACCGAATGACAAAACGTCGATATCGTAAGTCTAAATGAAAGGTGTTTAGAGCGCGTCTCCAAATTAAGTGATGTATCGTTTTTCAGTGCAACTGGTTTGCCAAATTTTCGTTGTCCAATTCCCGTCTCACTTTCATAATTTCACCCTGAATCTCCATTTCCTTTCCCTCTAAAATCCCGGATCCCGACCGTCAAATAAGCGAAATCTCGGATCCCGAAAAGCCTACTGAGGGCCCATCGCGGGAGGGGGGGACTCCCATATGAAAGGGGCGGAGATGATGGTCGGAACTTTTGAATTAAATCCCTAAAGGAGACCAATCTGGGCGTGGCCCAACCTTTTTTGACCCGTAAATAAACTTTGATAACATGAAACGCGTAAATAAAACAAAAAGAGACCTTTACGGCTAAATATAATGGCGTTTTGCCCAGAATACCGTAAGTGAGACCGAACATTGCACCCCTAAGCGAGACAACGAGCATCCACGCCCCTTTAGTTCGTCTTCAACGTCTTGCGCTTGCCGGTATAAAATTAACATGGCTTTACTAGAGTTTTTATCACAGGCATATTAACAGCTCATAAGAGCCAAACTTAATCCTGAATTATGTACTTTCCGTATAACTGCATTTCATCTAGAAATAAATCCACTTTTTGTCCATTTTCAGTTTGAGTCTGATAGTAGCAGTGGATGTATTTTACTGTTGTATTCTGTGATATTGTCCAGGTCAATACGAAAGTAAGTGAAGCTCTAGTAAATGATATTTAACCCTTTAAGCCCTAATACCCACATACAAATTCTTCAAACTAATGCTAGATATTTCCTCAAAGAATTAGTTGAGAGAATGTGATATAAAAAATCAAAGCATTTTCCTTTCAATGATCATTTCTTTAATTCTCATAACGTTTAGTCTTGATTTTGTATCTATATCGTGAGGAGAAAGTTGATGTTGGTCACTCTTGGAACTGATGGTTAAATGAATAAATAACAATGTATGATTTAGATGTAGCGTATCCACATGGTTGTTCTTCGTCTATTACTCCTGATAAGGATTGTCATTTAGTGCCGGGGGGCGGCCATTTCCCCCGGCTGTTATGAGTATGACCCCTGGCCACTTTCTTAGGACACAAAAGGAAATAGAACCAAAGAACCTCCCAGCTGTTAAATCCCCGCCTTCTAGTAAGTGCATATGCACGGCACATTGCTTATCTTGTGACTTACGTTGCATCTCATGCTGGCATTTTGAGCTGATCTTTGCGGATCAGGTGTTTTATTCCAGTCTTTGCGGATTCTGGCTCCCACCCCCTCCCTCCCCTTTTTGGGTTTATACGTTGGTAAGTGTGGGGTCAGGTGAATATTTTCCACTGAATTTCCATCAGTGTGACGGTGCCGGTTGGCGGCTACATGGAGGGGTGGTTCCCGCTCGCAGGGTTGCCATGGATACTTCCTTGCTATGCCTGAGGCGCTCAGCCTCCCGTCCAACCATTAAGGCACCAGTTCCCAAGCTCATCCATTGGCGATGAGTTTAACGGCAAATAGTTGACGAGGGGCAAAGACGTATCAATACCAGTAGAAATCGAGAGTAAGCCTTGGTGTAATAATTTCGAGAAAAATAATCTGCTAGTATTATATTGCAAAATTAATATACGAGAGCTTCTGGTAAGTTTTATCAAGTATTTAGTGGCCTTAAACTTTTCTTGTTGTTGTTGTTGTTTAAGAGTGATATCTGATATGGATGAACCTCAAGGCAGGCTGATGGGTGCTCACGGCTACTGCACGCAGGTTAGATTTTCAATGCAGTACATGTAAACTTCAATCTTTTTCGTTTACGGGTATGGATCAATCTGACGACGACGACGAGGATGATGATGATGATGATGATGATTCCCCCCACTTTAATCTTAAATGGAATGAATAGTCTTTGTAGGTTATGCCTTGGCGCGCCCATTTATTTTAATAGAATGTGTAATATTATTTTTTTTGTATGCCTGCTAACACCCATCCTCGGAGACCCAGGGGCAGTCAGTCGGATCGGGAGAAAGGCGGGACGAAAGTTTTCGAGTAAGTGCAAAAGAGCCCCTGGGTACCGACTTTCACCGAACTATTTCCAAAAATTCAAGCGGATGCCGGCTCCTGATTGGGCACAAAAAATGCTTTGTATTTTTTGGCCCAATAGGCGAACAGTTTCTCCTGAGTTCTTTTCGTGAGTTGGTACACGACGGCTATTGTCTCGATCACGGCTTGTCTGGTTCATGCACCAAAGAAATGCACGCGGTCAGGAAACTTTCAGTTTGACATATTAAAATCCCCATCTGATTTCAAAATACTGTCTGCCCGAGAGCTAAAGACGCTTTTCCAAAAATACAAGCTTGAGCTTACAACAGGTATTCACGCTTGAATTGGTCACGTCTTGTGTAAATATTAGGGAGTTTTCAAAAGATACCACGACGGCTCACAGCCACGAAAACGTCGCATGGAAAAGTGAATTCACATTTTTTTCAGTCTCTATCGTGATTATTCCAACTCGCTTACTTTGTCAAATGCAAGCGAACTCTTCTGGAGCTGAATTTCTAACAACCATATCCACGTTCATGAGGAGAATGAATTTTGTCATTGCTTGTTTACGTCCTTCACAAAACATGAAATTAGGCATTTTCACGGGTAGTCGTGCAGTTGACGGCAAAGAAATGTGCAAAAAAGCGTGATGCACGTGCAAAGTTTTTGTTTTGCCTTGTGAAGCTATTGCTTATTTGACTTTCTCGTCGGCGCCGCGTCTTAAACTTCCTATTATTTATGATACATTGTGATCCGTCAAAAACAGAATATTCTAGGGGCAAATTGAATTGCTTCTGCTGATAGTATCCCAAACGTTTTATCAACTCATCGGTAGTTCCTTCGTTTCTGGTTAGGAAAGTAGGAAATAAAAGTTTCCATTGCACGCACAAGCTTAGTGAACGAACCGGACAATAGCCGTCGTGTACGAACTCACGAAAAGAACTCAGGAGAAACTCTTCTCCGATTGGGTACAATAATACAAAGCATTTTTTGTGCCCAATCAGGAGCCTGAATCCGCTTGAATTTTTGGAAATAGTTCGGTGAGAGTCGGTACCCAGGGGCTCTTTTGCCCGTACTTGAAAACTTTCGTCACGCCTTTTTTCCCAACCCGACTTACTGCCCCTGGGTCTCCGAGGATGGCTAACACCATTCTGACCACAGTTTTCCCAAGTGCGGTGGTAAGGTTTTCCCTTAGTCCCTTGATGTATCCTAGAAGTGTTTGTTACTTTGTTTGTTTGTTTCCGTCTTTCTTTCGTTCTGTCTTAATAGCTGAAATTTCGTCCAGTTTGAGTTTTTTTGTTGTTGTTGTTTTTTATCATTGGTAGCAAAAGTCTCATTCTCATTGTTATTACATGTATTGTCCTTTACAGGAACTGGTGAACTTGTTAATAACTGGAAAGGCTGTCTCAAACACATTCGACAATATCATGGAGGTTGATACGGGGGGATCGAAAAAGGTGTAGTATTTAAGACAATGTCATGAAAGGTATAGTTCATCATGGTTAGTGTATAAAGGGTTTCGTTTATCGTTTGTCTCACGGTTGTCACTAAGATATTGATCGCGACTTTTCGACCGCGTACTACAGATCCTCGTCAGGTGATAGAGTCGACTTACTGTGTATGACTGTTCGTACCCTCGTGGTTGTTAATGAGCCCTGACATTTTTCTTAATTCAACCCTCTTAATACGAACACCTCGTTAAAGAGGATTTCTACTAATACAATGAAACCTGTATTAAGCGGACACCCTCGGGGAATGCTGTAGTGTCCGTTTAATACAGGGTGTCCGCCTAATACAGGTTTCGATAGATAACGTCATATGACGTGTCAAATGCTATTGCATATGAACAGTGGAAACGTTTAGAATGCTCCCAGCGACTGTGACGATATAAGTTTACATTAATTTCTTTATCAGAGTGAACCAATTGATCATAGTACCATAAACAACGATTGCAACTCAATTGTGAAGAAATCAGATGAGTGAAAAGAGCTTTATACAAACAAAACGAAATAGAAAACAATACAGTACGGTGAATCTAATCAAATAAGTTCGTCAAGTCAAGTTTTTAAATGCAAAAATCGAAAAATTTGTAGGTGGCAATTCGAGGCAATCTTTCACATTTCCGGTGTCTGGCATGTTGGGTGGTGGAATTTAATTACAAGTGTCCGTTTAATACAGGTTGGCAACAATAGAAATGACCATTTCAGGTACTTTTTAGGTGTCCGCGTCTGCTTAATAGAGGTGTCCGCTTAATAAAGGTTTCATTTAAAGTAAATAAGGGACACAAATTTTGGGACTTCGGCTACTGTCCGCGTAATAGAGGGTGTCCGCTTAATACGGTGTCCGCTTAATACAGGTTTCGCTGTATGTGAAAAAGAATTACAACGATTCAATGCGATACAACCCCAATATCTCGAGAGTATCTGAAGGAATTCCCCTTATTCTACGCGACTGTTGATGCCTCTGGGGTTGAGCTTCGTCCCTCTATGCTGTTTAATCGTTCGACGTAAACGTCTTATAGTAAGGTTTTTTGCTTCCCATTAAATGCTATCATTCAACGATCTTTTTGTGTTTTTTAGAATGTCTTCAAAGGGATAGATAAACAAAGTGACATCGGGTTTCTCTCCTTATTTGAACATTACAAGTCATGCGAGGTTAGTGATGACTAGAGATATTTCTCTGTGTAGATCGGAGAGAAACAAGGGCGAGTGCGATGGAAGGGGCCGGGAGGTGCTTACTAACTGTCACGGTCTTTAAGGAGTTTAAGCAGCGCCGTTTTTGAGCGACGCAGGTCAACCGGAACTGAGCCTTTTTCTGTTTTAATATGCCTTGGCGCTACCAAATTTGTATTGCTGCATGCCTTTACTCTTAAAGAGACGATTTGCACAAAAATTTGACAAAATAACGGCCCAAGAGTTCAAAAGGTCCACTTCCGCTTCACGTGCGTCGCTCAAAAACGTCGCTGGTCTAGCTCCCTTTAATCTTTCTGCACACCTCCAAGGCTGCTTCCTGTTCGTCCTTTGTACTAAGGTTAGGAGATTCTTAATGGAACAGAACTCGTTGTTCTTCTTTTATACACTGAGGCAAACCTTGGGCGGAGCTCCCGTCCATAATAGTCGACGGTGGAAATGAACAGGCTGTTAGATTTCATTTAAGTATTCTAATAGGCAAAGACATGACTGTTCCTGTGTTTTTTTGCGTTTGACTACAGGTGGCTAAAGTGCACTTTAGGAAACCCTGGTGCTTTAATATGAAGTGTAGAGCTGTTTGTATTGACAAATCTAGCAGATATGGGCCAAAACGTTTCTGTCTGCACGAAGTTTTTTCAAGTTTGCGATGTCCACTTGAGAAGTTTGAAACGATATAGTATTCGAGGTCCTCATTCCTTTTGTTAGTTTGGGACGTGCGCACTCTCTGCTGCACATTGTCTGCAATGATTAAACTTGTTTTTTAAACAATGGTCTGGGTGGTCTCTATATATGTTTAGACGATCATATGGAAATATACCCGTGAGGCGATACAGAATTATCCGAACAATTGTGGCGATCGCAATCGCGGCCATTCAATCTTCTGGATAGAACCAAGCTCTGTAGATAGGCCGGCTCACATATTTTGGTTTGCAACGTTCCAAGTAGAAAATAGAGGCGACTGAAACAATCCAGATTATTATAAGGAAATCAGGCTTAAGGCTTAACCGGAAGGTGCAAAGGACCAGTTGTGCTAGCCTGCAAAACAGGGGGAAGACGCTGAAATTTTTTCTTTATTATTTTTGTGCGCTTTTCCCTGCCGCGCTTGTTTCCCCTCCACGCCTTCTTGGTGCTCGTCCGAAAAACGCGAAAAAAAAGGCGCCCGTTCTGCATGCTACAGTTGCACTGACAGAAGAAACAAAGAGCAAACTGCGGTGATAAACATATAAGGAAATATAAACGCATCTTTATTTATCACTGCAGTTTGTTTTTTTTGTTTCCTCTTCAGCTTAGATGGCCAAACAACATGAGTTTGTGCGATGAACTCACAAAATTCATCATTTCATTTGTTACAGGTTGGTGTGAATTACAAGACTCCCAATTATCCTATTTGGGTGATATGCAGCGAGAGTCACTTCAGTGTCTTGTTCTCTATCGACAGAAACCTCTTGGACGACTGGTAAGCTTATAGTGACTAGTAAATGATACTGGCCAATTAACGGCATTTGAACTTGTATTCTTTGATGTTATGAATGTCATTAAAAGCCTGTTATGCAGTAATGAGGGCACTAATTCCTTCCGTTGATTAAAAACACTGATGTTATAAAAGAGATACTACGTTCTGGTCACTTTTAGTGCTTTACCAAAGGGCTAGAAAAGCAAAGGGATCATTATGCGTTTCTTGGAAACTGCCCACCTACCCCTCCCCTAAGTCCTCTAAGCTAACATTTTGCCCTAAGAGAGAAGTAAGTGTTAATGTTGGCTTAGGGAAGGGGTAGGTGGGCAGTTTCCCAGAAACGTATAGGGATCATTATGCGTTTCTGGGAAACTGCCTACCTACCCCTCCCCTAAGTCCCCTAAGCCAACATTTTGCCCTAAGAGAGAAGTAAGTGTTAATGTTGGCTTAGGTAAGGGGTAGGTGGGCAGTTTCCCAGAAACGTATACTCCGAGGAAAAGCTTTGGGATCAATTGAGGCTTCTGGGTAACTGATCACCTACCCCTCCCCTAAGTTAACATTAACTTTTACATTCCACTAAGGGCAAAATTGTTACGTAGGAGAGGGGTAGGTGGTCAGTTACCCAGAAACGTCAACTGATCCAAGTTTTGGATATCTCCAAGGGAAATTGGACCCAGAGTACTCTTGTCAATACCGTTGGACGCTTGTGCTAAGCTTAGCAAGCCATGGGGCCCACACCATCGAGGTTTCTCCTAGCCTCTTTAGCAAAGAAAAACCTTGGTGAATTGCTTTCCTACCCCGCCATCTCCTCCGCTAGGAAAGGAAACGTCTGCCTGCAGGCTACCGCAGGATTACCCCTTGAAGTTTGTCGCCAGGTCCCGTTAATACATCTGAGTGACGGAATGAACGCGATAGCAGGGCTTGAGCCCCGAACTACAGATCTGAAGCCAGAGATCATTGCAGGGAAGTCCTAGTCATAATAGTGAAACGCTTGCTGATTTCGTCGCCCCTTCCGCTTCAATTTTTATTACCAAAAAAAAAAAACAGAAAAAGCTACTAGAGAAGTCCAAACAATCTCTTGAAACCAACACTGGGAGAAGGAGACCTCAAGGGAATGTGAGCGTGTATTCGTGGACTGACTTGGTTTATCTTGTGTTTTCAAGATTATGACGATAATTTCAAGTGATAGTGATTGCAGGATTAGATGTGTTTATTATGTACTATCTAACTGCAGGGTCAATATAGGAGTCGACGTAGGCTAGCGATTGATTGAGTGATTGATTGAGTGATTGATTGATTGACTGACTGACTGATTGACCAATTGACTGTTGATATACACAGGAGGTTAGAGAAGAAGTTTGAACTTTATTACTATGATGGTCTGGCACGGCAGGATGAGGAATTAAGATTGACAGTTGGTGAGCATGCATTTCTTCGTGTAAACCGTCATAGTGTAACTTATATGGTCTTGGTTGGATACATAGCTGTTACAGGCTAGACAATGGCCCCGGAAAAGAGATACTTCAAGGTCGTGAAAAAGTCAGGGAAGTTATTTTGAATCCAGAAAAATTGAAATCCTTTTAAGAATTAAGAGAAAAACTAAGGGAAAATTGAAATTATAAAATCACTGGTTTAATACCATTAACATGGAAAAAACGTATTTCGGGCTAATATAATCTCAGAGATGTCTTTTCTTAATGAAATTATGATAGCGTCTCTGTAACATGTATGACATCATCGTATTTGAATTGAAACCTCCGTTTTCATGAAAAAAAGATAGGCATGCGTTTTGCAAATTAAAAAAAGAAGAAAGAAAAGAAAAGAATCAACACTGTGAAAGCGTTTTACAAAACTTGCGTTTTAGGTCCCCGAAAACTCCGTTTACGTGTGGACGGCATAAGAGTTAAACGGAGAAAAAAATGGTTTCAAAAATATTCGGATACGTGTGGACGCCTTTAAGTGATTTCATCTTTCTCTTGATAAAGATACAACAAAAGAATGCCCAGAATACAAGGACAATGATCTTGTGCCTCCACTGGAACACTGCATACGAACAAGGTGAGACAACAGAAAGAGGTAAAAAGGTAAAGCAACCATATTTTACCTCGATAACTCGTGACAGAAATAACTGATATATTTGAGGTCGACAGCACACTTATTTTACCTCCCTCTCTCCCTTAATGCTCCGTTTTAAGAGTATCTAAAGCTAGTCAAAGCTACACAGAAAGGAGAGAAGTTGAAACAAAGACGTCATGTCACCAGGGATTGAACTCGGGACCTCGTGCACCGAAGACCACGCACTAACCAACTGTCAGGCCACCCTTGCTTCTGTCAGAAAAGTGGCCCTTTGCTTTTGGCCGAGTGGCACTGACAAAAACGCCATGCTGGGAGGCAAGAAAGCTGCTTGGTCAAGAAAGAGAAAGTAAATTTCTTATTACATTAAGGTCTGCTTTTCTTGTCGTCCCTGTAGTTTTCTTGCTCTCCATCAAGTCGTTTTTGTACCCTGTCATTGATGAGCTTCAAAAGGCCCATAATGGCCGTATTCACACCAGAGACGGATTATCCGTTGGATAATTCGCGTCAGACAGATAATAGGTCTTAATTTGAACATGGAATGGTCTTAATTTTGGGTGGATAATCTGCCGTCAATTTTGACAGATTTTGAAGATGGATTATCCGTCTGAGACGTATGATCTGTCTCTTGTGTGAAAACGGCCATTGGGATCATTTTTGACACAGAAGTGCATTTCAAGGCTCGTTTTCAACCATCAGGTAATGTTTGTAGTCATTCAGATTAAACCTCGTCAGCTCTACTTTCACAAGTTTCTATATCGTGAGTGAGAATTTTTTAGTCTGTGGATGAAATCCTATCTATGGGGTGACCATTCAAATGAAACCTCTTCAGCAGTACTTTCAGATGTTTCTTTTAATTTAGTATGTAGCTGTTACTTTTGAGTCTGTGGACGAAATTCTAGGGCGTGGTCATTCAAAAGAAACCTTCTTCGCAGTACTTTAACATCGTGATGGTACTGTTTTAGCGTGTAGTGCTTAGTTTGTCGGCAAATTTTTAAAGTGTTACTATCCAAAAACCTATTGCTTGCTCGTTAAAGGGGTATCTGGAATCTCTTTGATGACGAAAAGTCTAGTCGTTTTAGGATTTCTTCTTCTGACGCGGAGACAGGCGTGTTCGATGTATTTGTTGACGTGCCGGGCTGAATAAAAGCTAGAAATATTTTATGCACCAAGTCAAAAGATATTTTTTAACTGAGCGGACTCTCGCGCGCTGATTGGTTGAGAGCTTTGTTCGAACAGAGTGCAGACCACGGAAATAACGTCATGATGGCGCAATTTGTTTTTCTCTTTCTCTCGCGCGCGATTTTCCGAGAAACTTCAACGTGAATGGACGCCAAAAACTGGCAATGTTATTGCAAGAAACAAATCGACAACAATTTTCCATGGTCCGTACTCTAGTCTACAATATAAATGACGTCAAAATGTTCAAAACTTTGCAATGAAACCGCGGCTCCTGGTTTCACGTGAGTTTTGAACATTGTGACGTCATTTCCATGGTAGATAAGTTTACAAACCAGGGATTGTTAAAACCAGCTTGTAACATGACGCAGAATGCAATAATTGGCATACGATAATTTGGCGTCCTTGTCCTAAGATAGTAGTAGACTATTAAACCCTTGTGTATTTTTTTACTTATCGTACAGGTGGAAGAATGCTGTCATAGACTGGAATGGATCCGAACCTATCTTATGATGTTCGCCCCTTTTTGTAATCAGGTATCAAAGCCAGAGGACTAAAGAATCAAGACATAAAATCCTGTTGTTTACAGGACAGAGGACTCTATTCACTGGATAAATCTGCTTCTTTTTGTTTAGATGATATCGTGAACTTTCCTCATAGGGGCAATCGCGACTTTCAAGTGTTTAACTGGAAACTCTCCTCATAAATACTTTTTTATAAAATGGAGACCTCTATATTACGGAAAAGCTTCATAGCACTTGAATACGGACCTAACGATCCGACAATGGCGACGTCCACGAAAAAGTCGTTAAAAAACAGACTTCGCAACCTTTCAAACTTTTTGGCGATTATCCCTAAGTTACGTAAAGAAGAAAATTTAAGTTGGAGCTGAAGAGAAGAGACTGCGCCCGATATTAAGACGGAGATGTTAGAATTTATTGCCTTGTCCGCTTCCCGTTCTCAAGTGAACGTAAAATTTGACCTTGTCACGTCTGTAGTTGTGAAGGGACGGCAATAAAATTAACCAACAATCGTGATGCACGCGCAAAGTCGTGTGTGCTCATTAAAACTGATGCTTTTTTGACGTTCCCGTTAACGTTGCCGTCGTATTATCGTTAGGTCCCTAACGATACCGTCGAACCTCAATTAAGCGGCCATTCTCAGGGTACAGCATAATCTTTAGCAGCAACATCACTTTATTTTGAAACAAATCGTGACGGAGGAAGCATTTCTTGTCAACAATCGGTTGTAATCTTCTATCTTTGGACTGTATTTTCCTTCATCATGTTCTTGAAATAAAGCTAAACTAAGTGTATCAAGCGCTTGATGGCCGCTTAATGGAGGTGTTCGCGTTGGAATTTGTGAATATATTACTTCAGATGGTTGCTCAGGCGGTAAAAAATGCGTCTTCACTTTTATTCAGCGGTCATAGCGAACTCGAATACACTTTAATAACCCTACTTAAAGTACCTACCAACTCGAAACTGGACTATTGCTCAAAAGTGTTACGTTTTGAGCTTGGGTATTAGAAAAATCCCTTTTCAGTCAGGTATTAGTAAATCAGAAGGAAAATAGTGTCAAGTCGGTCCGCTTTATCGAGAAATTATAAGCGCACCTGTCGGTCGCGATGACCGTTGTGTTGTATCAAGTATAAACATATTCCCAAATGTTGCTTTCAAAATTAAATATTTATGAAGTCATATGGACAAATGGCTCTGGCTTTTAAGGCAGGGAATAAACGGCCTAATAATAAGGAGACCTAAGCGTGCGGGTAATTTTTTGCATAGTTCGTCAACATGCGAATCATATGCCATGATTTTGCTGAAAGTTTTACCTGAAGTTCTGGTGAAGAGACTGGGCTGTGTGTTGACCGGGCTTCCTGGCGTTACGCTTCCCTGTAACAGGCCTCGTCATTTTTCAAGGTTTGTCGTTCAAATGGAACCTTGTGTGCGATAAATAGAGGTCGGGGATTAATAAGTACGAAAATTAATCGATATCAAGAAATGTTTATTTCTATGAGCCCAACTTGAGGCGTGCGTTATATCTGGACTCCCCCAGGTATCTGTGCTAGACCCCCTTTGATTTACAGTAAGCATATGAGCAATCTTCCACTTCTACTGGCTTCTCCTGAGGGCAACGCACATAACAATGCGACACAGTTCACTGACGTTTAGCCTGCAGTTCGTTCTTCGTTTTTTCAATGAAAGGAAAGAAATGGCTGGGTCGTGGTGTCATCATGTAAAATGTCAAAGCTTCCATATAATCTCACTTACTGTATTACCATCAATGAATCTCAAATCAAAATGGAAAGTACCATCGGAAGAAATTATAGGGAGTTCATACTGGCGAAACGCTGCACTGGTTTATGCACTGTGTATCCTGCGACGTATTCGGCACAAGTGACAAATGAGGCCCACGTAGCCCTCTATAATTGCCGTATACAGTCACTAATGGATTACTGCTGAGTAGTGTATGGGAAATACCCCACAAGAAATAAAATCTTGATAGGTTTCATTGCCTTCAGAGAAAGAAACTGGACGAAAAAATGAATATGAATCAATTTTTTCGTGCTACATTAAAACTCGTTTCAAGTAATTTGTAGAATTTATTGGAATCATGTCTGTATAAATTTTTATCCAACAAAAAGAATCTTAAAGGAACTTAGGTTCCCCCCTATGTTCTTTGCTGTGCGAAGTGTTTGCGGCTGAACATGAGAAAAGACTCATTTACGTTCTAGTTCGCTTCGCTCAAACGAACGTAAATCATTTTACCCTTAAATTCCCGTAATACAAACAAATCACACGAGAAATATGGTAGGATGCGCAAGCAGATCCAAAACAGTTTATTATAAGATAGATAGTTACTAATACAGAGCGGACTGCAGAAAAAAGAAATTACAAAGTTGTTGTTGTTTTTTTTTTACACACTACTGTATAGAGAAATTAATATACGCTCGATAGTGCATTACAAACCTAAATACTTAGTTACTTGTAACCTGTTTTCAAGGCTTTCTTCAACATACATATCCTTGGCAGAATCAGATTTCCATCTACCATGTATATTAAGAAGTCTTTCTGGAATCGAGTTACTACTATTACGCACCGCAGAAGTAATACCACCGGATCTTAAACTATGAAGACCATAATCATTAGGGTTGAGGCCCAGCTGACTTAAGGTATCCCTTAAGATATCTCTACAAGTAGTATAAGAAATCTTTCCACTTCTCAGAGTATAGCTAGAACTACTACGGTGAAAAACAAGCGGTCTAAATAAAGGGAGAGAACTACATAAGTCAATACCAGATAAATCTAAATACCGTTGTAAAACACCAACAGGACAGTACTTAGACCTGGATGCACTAATAAAGACGAAAATCCCTTCCCTATAAACATCTGTCTTACTACGAGGTACAAAGATTCTTATATAATCGCTGTGAAATTCGATATGCTTAGGAACAATATTGCATAATTCGTCGTAACGAAAAAATCCTGCAAAAGCTAAAGAGCATAACGCAGCGATACGAAGATTCTTCAAATTAGCATCTTTCTTGTTATGAATATCTAAAATACTCCTTATGATTTCTGTGGTAATAGGCTTCTTTTTCATTACTGGCTGTGACTTCTGGCGTTTAGCAGATTCGATAATATTCCTGCAAAATTCACTATCCAAAGGATTACGATCCAAACTTTAGACCACTCCAAGAACTTTCTAATAACGCGAACGTAGGCTTTAGTAGTTGTATCCGCCCTGGACTTCAACATAACTTCTAAAACGTCATAAACGTTGATTGAAGAAAATTGTTGAAAGCCTTTCCAGGAATTACTTGATAAGATTACCTGGAAAGACAAGAACAAACATATATAATAAAAGAACAAAAAAGAACCGTATAAAAATCGATCAATGTTGGGGCCAGTGCCACATAAGACGATAGACTATTGAATGGACCAGTGTCCCGTAAATCAAAAACCATTGATTGGGCCAGCGCCACGTAAATCAACTATACGCTGTTAAAGACAGCGCCACATGAAATGACAAACTATAAATTAGGCCAGTGCCACATAGATAAACAACATATTGCTTTGGCCAGCGCCACCAAAAGTGAATAATCATTAGGCTAATGGACACACCATCCAATAAATTACTCAGTAAATTTTAATCTAAAGGCAATAATATTTCCTGTGAAAAGATCAGACCCTAAGAGCGAATTAAGGTTTCTTCCGCGGGTTAGAACCTCATTCCCGATATGAATACTGTGAGCCACAAGATAACTACTATACTTGTGTGTAATTAAAGGCCAAAAGTGAGCCGAAGGCCAAAGAGGTACAACGAGCGTACCAACGGCCCGCTGAGATTTCAAATAATGCAATACGCGTGGGACGATACCAACTGGAGGGACTACTAGGCAATTTTCTCCTCGAGGAGACTGAAAGAAAAAATCAACACCCGAAGTATTGGGGTTCCAAAACCTCGAAAAATATTTGGGGAGCTTGTGATTATAATAATTAGCAAAACAATCAACACTATGCGGGCCCCACCGACCATCAAGAAAAAGAAAAAATTCTTCAGTAATTTGCCAATCATCAGTATCAATTGAACGACTTATATAATCAGCTTGCTGATTCGAAGTGCGAGGGATCCATTGCACTTCTAAATGAATCCCCGATCGAATACAAATATAAAAAATCCTTCGGGCCATCTTATGCAAACCTAATTTCATGCTGCCCACTTCAACAATCTTAGCAGCTGCTTGGCTATCAGTAAACCACTTAACGTGAGATCCTTTCAACACTGAGGCAAATGATTGCAATGAAAACTCAATAACAGACAACTCCCTCCACGTTGAACTTTGAACTCTCTCGTTCTCCGACCACATTTTGTGGCACACAAAATCATTGTTCAAGTCAATAATTGCTCCACCTCCGGTAGCACTGGCATCCGAATATACAAAATAACTAGGATCTTTACTTACAAAGCAATACCTAGAGTTGATATTAACCATATTTTCCTTCCAAAAAGACAGTTCTTCCTTACAGTAATCGTCGAGACGGAATACAGAATCCCAGTTATCTTTGCACAAGGTGGACAAGACACAATGTCTGGTCATTATCCTGCCAATGTTACCAACTACAGGCCCGGTAGAAATAATTTGACCTGTGAAGGAGGCCAACTCTCGCGCAGACACTTTGAAATCGGCTTCAATAATATGATCAATTGTACTGATAATCTTAAGAATTCTTCTCTCTACAATTTTTAAAGTACCCAGTGCAGAATTCCAGGTTATACCCAACCAGTCCAATACTTGGGTGGGTTCCCATACCGATTTGTCTTCGTTAACGACAAAACCCGCGTTATACAAATCCCCCCTTACAGCTAGGGCCTTAATGCGACAACTTTCTCTATCCTGAACAATCGCCCAACCATCGTCCAAGAAGATGGCTATACAAAGACCCTGTATTCTCCAATACTTTTCTAAAGGCTTCAAAACCTTTGTGAAAACATAAGGGGCAGAGGAAAGACCGAACGGGAGCACAGTGAAAACATAAAATACTTCATTAACGGAATCAGACGACCGCCATGAAAACCCCAGAAAAGTTTGGTGCTCATGCGCAATGTCGATATGGTGATAACCGCTTTTTAAATCAAAGGAAAACATGTGCGCGTCTTTCGCAAAATAAACCATAGCAATTTTCCAGTCCTCGTACTTAACACTTTGCTTAATTAATGACTTATTGACATGGCGCAAATCAAGAATTAACCTCTTTTTACCGCATGGCTGTATAGAAACTGACAAGGGATTTACAACAAAGGGCTGCTCATCAACGATACGCACCCGACCAGAGTTAACAAGCTCAAGAACGGCTTGGTCCACGAAATCAGCATGAAGTCGAGCTGACTTATTATTTCCTAGCTTTACGGCCAACGGAAAACTGATGAACGGCAGCCTGTAGCCGTTTTCAATAATAGACAAAATAAAATCCGGAGCACCTATAGATCTCCAGAAACCTAAATTGTTCTTCAGATTACCCTTAACGCTTAATGAATGTCCACTTTCAAGTTCGTAATTCTGTGTAATTTGATCTACCTGCGCCAAGTCATCTTCATTGCTTTGGCTGAGTTGAATGGCCTGCGGTTGGCTTGTTGTAGGAGATTCCAGGGCAAGAATTGTAGCTAGGGGACTGGTAACTTCCCGACCAGCACATGGATCTACAGTCCTTGGCCCAGTGTCCAAATTTGCCGCATTTGAAACAGCGAAAGAAGTCGTCAGAAGCGTCTCTACGGCCTGAAAGATAACAGCAATGACGAAACCTGTAATAAACGGGAGGGGGGGGGGGTGGGGGGCGTAAACCAGAAAGATAAATAAACTGTATGGAACCGCGAGCGTGAATGGTACTCAAGAGACAACGGAGAGTATAAATACTAATAACGGGCCAATCAGAACATCAATGCAAAACAGAATGCACAATAGTGGGTGCGTGTACCGCCACCGAAATGATCCCCACCATGGAAATGATCCCCGCCACCGAAATGATCCCCAATCACCACCGAAATGATCCCCACCACCGAAATGATCCCGTCATAAATTTTCGGAACCTTGGCTTAAATGGACTTGGGACTTTGCTATCTATTCTAAATTCTTCGTTTATTCATGCGAACACGATTCTAAAGAGAGGAAAATAGAGAAAGCAATTAGACGGATAACAGTTCTATACACTGATTTTATTTTCAAAATTTTAACATTTTTTT